TCCAGTGAACTGTGACTAAAAATCTTAACAAAATGGGGAAGCAGAACAAAGTGTATACAACACACAAATCGACGTTTCGCTCTTGGCCTTTCTCGACATGAACTTACTATTCAACAACAAAAAAAGGGGGATCATACAGCCTTGCCTTTACCGTGGCTGGAAGTGGCAAACACAAACGAATGACTGCTGTACGTCTGTTTCGCGTAATTCTTCTTTTAACCATGCCGTATTACTTTGGTAGTCATGTCTTTCAATAACTGTCTGTCTTGTGTGCTTTCAATCTCTCCTGACACATATAATCTTCCATGCTATGATGTCAAACTGTGATCTTCTCTCTCTCTCTCTCTCCACCATTTCCCCTCCAACTTTTCCACCGTTACTATGTACTCAGATAGCTACCATTCACGTTCACCGGCTGTAAACGCTTGGCTGTTCACCCACTTCTGATTCCGGAATGGCGTGCACATGTTTTATACATCTGGCTTATTTGTATGCAAAAATCTTGGTTCCTCGCATCTCAGGCATATGCACTACGGCTTCGAAAGAAAAGTCGATCCTCTATGTTTGCTCTGTGTTGCTTGTTCATCTTTTTCTGCACAACATAACAAAATAAAGGATAGGAAACGTTTGAAGCTGCAGTGCTGCAGTGACTTGTTGCTTGCTTGCAGGACTGAAGCTCTTTGGTTTGAACGTGCAGTGGATCTTTAGAAGCTCTTGGGTTTGAACGTGCAGTGGATTTTTAAATCATTGACCTTCCGTGTGTGGGCTCCAGGACCCTATTTAGAAAAAAAAAAAAAAAAAGAAAAGAATGGATCCACTGCCGCCCGAACAAGCATCTCGTAAAAGACGACTATTTATGGACTTTTCTCCCAAAGTCAAAATGCATCTGCCTGAGTGGCGAGAAACCAATATACTGCATAAATGTAAGCCAGATCTGTAAAACGGATGTGGACACAAACTTCTAGTTCTGGAGCAATCATGAAGTACAAAAGTGGACAAACAACCAGAACTTTCTGCCAGAATTTACAGCCGGTGAATGCTAAGAAGCAAGTGAAATGGTTTGCCCACTTAGAGAGAATGCCTTGTGACACCATACCATACAAAGCATACATGGAAAGAGAAGAAGGACGTAGAGCACGGGGTAGACCAAGAACAAGATGGAAGGATAACATCAGAGAAACTCTACAACAGCACGATGTGACTATGGTCGAGGCAGCCAGAAGAGCTAGAAACAGAACCTTATATCTCCCTCGACACCCACAGTGGTAAAAGAGGAAGTGAAGAAGAAGAAGAAAAAGAATGCTAAGAAGAACTGCTCTCAGTTCCCAGGTCAGCCCAACCTAAAATGGGTACCAGAAAATGTCATGGGGAGTAAAGGCAGCAAATGTTTCTAGCCATATCAGCCAGCAGGTGCCTAGTGGCCTATATGAGTTTGAGCTCAGCACTATATGCCCAATGTGATAAAAAAGGGTCATTCACTTTTACAGGACCTTATTCCAAGGATGGGTTCTGGGGTCTTGGGGGGGGGGGGGGGGTAGACCCCCTGCTCCCTGACAAATGGGACTAATTAGGAGTCTGCTAAAATCGGATGTGTTGGTCCAAAAGGCACAGATATCACAGCCTAACTGTAAACCACAATACGCCAACCGCTCTTGTAAGGGTAACCCAGTAGTAGCAGTAGAAGTATTATAGTCCTAACAATAGTAGTGGAAGTAGCAGCAGTACTACAGTAGCAGCAGTATAGTATTAACAGCAGCAGCAGTAAAAGCAGCAGCAGTAGTAGAAGAAGAAAACCCTTTGTGTGATTATGGTTGGAATGAGAGTGGCATAAACACATTGGAGCCTTTATCCGTGTCTCACAGTGCTGAGCTTAGTCAGCAGGTTACAGCTGTATTGGAAATCTCAGTATTCAGTTAGTACGACACTTAAAAATGCAACCTTGCAAATATAAAATGATGACAAAACTTTGATTGTAAAAGCAGTTAAAAACAGTTAAGGACAAAATAAATATACTCCTTGCTCTGTGTGTGTGTGAGCACATACATACACAGTACATTTATACCCGCACCCGAATGCAGAGTACACCAGGCTGATACAGGAATATTTAGGAAGCGATATATTGCCTACAGATTTTGTGATCTCAGGGTGGTCACACCTTCAGTAGCAGACCCGAGGGAAGAAAATGAAAGGACGAAATATATATATATATATATAATCTTTAGGCCATTGGCATCTTGCCGTCTTTCTGGACGATAGTGTAATATTGTGCTATGAGAAGACATTGGACTGACATCCCAAGACGATGGCGAGTATGAGAATCAAGACCCGTCACTGTTAGGGAAAGTCTTCTACAATTATACCCCATGGGATTTCAGGATCGCTGCTGTCAACATTTGTGGTTAGTGTGTTTCTTCTCAAACGCTCATCTCTCATCAATGATTTCATCCCTCATTCTCATTCATTCTTGATATTTGTGAGTCAGCACCTCTTCTTCGTGTTCATGGGCTGCCTGTAAATTCCAGAGGCAAAAATTAAGGTTGTTTGTCCACTTCTGGACTCTGGATTTCCTGTCATACACGACACAGATTCCCTGCCACACACAACATAGATTCCCTGCCACACAGAACACAGATTCCCTGCCACACAGAACACAGATTCCCTGCCACACAGAACACAGATTCCCAGCCACACACAACACAGATTCCCTGCCACACACAACACAGATTCCCTGCCACACACAACACAGATTCTCTGCCACACACAACACAGATTCCCTGCCACACACAACACAGATTCCCTGCCACACACAACACAGATTCTCTGCCACACACAACACAGATTCCCTGCCACACACAACACAGATTCCCCTGCCACACACAACACAGATTCCCTGCCACACACAACACAGATTCCCTGCCACACACAACACAGATTCCCTGCCACACGCAACACTGATTCCCTGCCATACACAACACTGATTCCCTGCCACACACAACACTGATTCCCTGCCACACACAACACTGATTCCCTGCCATACACAACACTGATTCCCTGCCACACACAACACTGATTCCCTGCCACACACAACACAGATTCCCTGCCACACACAACACTGATTCCCTGCCACACACAACACAGATTCCCTGCCACACACAACACTGATTCCCTGCCATACACAACACAGATTCCCTGCCATACACAACACTGATTCCCTGCCATACACAACACTGATTCCCTGCCACACACAACACTGATTCCCTGCCATACACAACACTGATTCCCTGCCACACACAACACTGATTCCCTGCCACACACAACACAGATTCCCTGCCACACACAACACTGATTCCCTGCCACACACAACACAGATTCCCTGCCACACACAACACTGATTCCCTGCCATACACAACACAGATTCCCTGCCACACACAACACTGATTCCCTGCCACACACAACACTGATTCCCTGCCATACATAACACTGATTCCTTGCCACACACAACACATATTCCCTGCCACACACAACACAGATTCCCTGCCACACACAACACATATTCCTTGCCACACACAACACAGATTTCCTGCCATACATAACATGGATTCCTTGCCACACACAACACAGATTCCCTGCCATACACAACACATATTCCCTGCCACACACAAAACAGATTCCATATAAAATGTCAGTTCTCTCCATACACATTTAAATAAAAAAATACACAATATGACACTTACAATATATAGTCTTTGGACACAATATTACATTAAAAAAAAAAAAAATGAAAGTTACTGAAAATTAATATCTTTACTCATAATGAAATAAATTAATTTTAAACATGAAACAATCCAAGATACAAATACCTGTGGATATCACTGGCTTTCCTGGGCACTCAGCTGGAGTTGGAACTGAGAGACAATCATAACAATTATCTTGTTATGCTTTTGTAGTCCCATAATTGTTCATAATTCACTGCTGAAGAACATGTATAAGCACAGTTGGAGTTATGCTTGTAATGGCATTGTGGGATATGTTTATTTTTCGTATACATGGAAACTTATGGGACCATGTATATATCACACAGCTTACAGTTTATTCTTCTATTCCATTCTATTCTGTACAGTTCAGAGATACATTTTCATAGTAGTCACAAACAACATTCACTGTTTTTTTACTGTTAACAAACAACAATCCTGTTTTTATAGTTAAAACACAACAATAATTCTGTTTCTATACAGGTAACAAACAGCAATCATTCTGTTATCTGTACAGCTAACAAACAGCAATAATTCTGTTTTTTGAAGAGTCAACAAAAAGCAATCATTCTATTTATATATGGTCAACAAACAGCAATAATTCTATTTATAAACAGTCAACAATAATTCTGTTTTCTGCTGTTACCTCTGTGACCACAAGAAAGCTGTTTTCCTGGCATTTATGGCTGTTTGATGACCTGCAAGTCTTTGGGCAGAGATCACTACTCTTATATAACAGCTTCGGAACCAATTTTCTTTGGGCAGAGATCACTACTCTTATATAACAGCTTCGTAACCAATTTTCTTTGGGCAGGGATCACTACTCTTATATAACAGCTTCGTAACCAATTTTCTTTGGGCAGGGACCACTACTCTTATATAACAGCTTCGTAACCAATTTTTTCAGCAATCTGACTGCCGCAAAGAAAATGTAACCTTCATGCTTGCTTGTCTGCTTTGTAGTCTAAGTGTATGACCCTCTGGATTTTTAAGAAAAACGAAAATTCACATTTCTTCCACGTCTTCTTCTCTTCCACTAGTTTCTTAGGCCAGCAGACGTTCCAAGAATTACAACGATACCTTCTTTTTTATTGAAATTTAAATGTTAAAGATTCTTATGGGTCAAAAGGGTTGACAAACAACAAATAACTATCAAATAACAATTCCTTTCACATTCACCCAGTGACAAACTAACACAGCTTCACACCTCCAATACCAACGGCAGTAGCTCCCATAGTTTTCAACCCTTTACAAAGTTTTCCTGGAGGTAAACATTTTTTGGCCATTCTGCACCGAGGCCCTGGCATATTTCGTCAACAAGGCACCTGCATCAGTTTTATCATCGGTGAGATCCCTGGCAAGGTACACAAATATCACACTTAAAAAAGGATTGCAAATATTGAAGTATTAAAACAGAAAATGTCGCCATCATAGAACAATAAAACTGTAATCTATTGGGCATGTCCTAGCCAATCATAAATATGGAGGGATCCGTAGAAAATTTATATAAAAAATCAATAGATATGTAAATATTATGAGGAAGCTTAGACAGATGACTGGATGACAGGCGCTATAATTCAGCCATGGATGAAGTAAAGAGATGGGAGGCGGACAGGCTGCTGCTTCGTCAAGAGTTACATACTCTGAAGGCATGCTGGGAAAGGGGAAGACAGGGATGCTTCGAGCAGAGTGGCAAGCTTCACTGGAAAGGCCACGGGTAGTGAGCATACTTTGGATTTTTTCTCCAGCCGACGCTGGTGTAGTGGGTAATGAACAGCCAGACAGACTGGCTGGATCTGCACCACTGGGTGGTGAATTGATACATGACAAGGCAGATGTGGTCAAGACCCTTTGGGAACAAGCAACCGAATCAGTAGAGAAACAAGATTATTTTGGCCTGGACAGAATGAGGCACCTGGGTGTAACCAGAGGGTCTGGCCGGCTCACTACACTCAGAGGAAAGGCAAGACGGACATATAACCAGTTTGTGACTGGTACCATCAGTATTGGAAATCTGCGCTGGCTGCTGAAGATGAGGACGGAACACCCCGAGTGCTGTGATGTCAATTATTGACAACTCAACTCAAGAGCTATGTGATACTTATCAAATGGTTGGCCACTGAGAGAATGTGGGAACACAAATAGATCATCACAGTCTTCAGAGAACCGTACAATGGGAGGACCAGGGGATCTCACCAACACTCAAAAGAAAGGCAAGAAAAGACACATAATCAAACTGCTACTGGAGGCATCAGATCTATGAATATGCATGGGCTGAAGAGGATGGGGATGGAATTCTGGTGTGAACGTCTTATGAGGGTGCTTTGATGTGGGGTTTTAACTCAACCATCCATTCTTTGGTCAAGGACAAAAGATTCAAAGGCTGTTGAAAACACCCTTATATCTCTTTTCTTTAAGAACTCTATCCATTCACTAATTTACTTACCTACCAATAAACCAAATAACTGTCCTACCTATCTGCCCATCTAGGTATCTACCTACATAAGTTTAAATTACATCCATGTCTGTGACCTGTTGCTCTATCATTGTAGATTTTTTATGTGCATGCTTTCTCAGTGACTCAATGAGTGATACCCAGGAAGACATAGAAGGGCTGGATCCGAAAACAGTGGCTGGAGTCTCTAAAGCAGTTGGGACTGACACATATCAGTTTCATATTTGTGCTAGGGCATGCAGGGGTGCAAGGAAATGAGCAAGCTGATCAGCTTGCAGGTGGAGCTACTGTGGAGGGCGGATGAGCCATGGACCATGCTGATATTCTGTATGTTCTACGAGAAGTAAGACATCAGCGAGAACCAAGTGATGACTGTAAATCAGCAACAATGACCAGACTACAAGACATCTTAAAACGGGTGTGGCCAGACAAGAGTACTATGCAGAAAGCCAAAGAAGAATAAGAAACCAATACAGAACTGGTGTCGTGAGCTGCCTTATGCTGCTGGATTTACTAATGAGGGGATCCTAGCACTTATGGGCTGAATGGTTCGATGTGCAATGAAGATAAAATGTTGACTAACTAACTAACTGTACATTACACACACATTATAAAGAAGTAGTGCAGTGACCAGACACTTCCCCAGTCATCCTCCAGTCAAAGTTAGTTTCAGAGCCATCACATTTTTCTCCTTGTGTCCCTGAAACTTTTCTGGACATTTCACTAGAATTCAGAATGATGTCAAGCTCAAAAACTACTTATTAACATGCTTAAGTTTTCAAGTCAATCAGACTTTAATTGGCCAGTTCTTTTTTTTTTTCCTGTGTTCACTCTAAAAAAAGGCAGTTGGCACGCTGCATTCTGGCTCTCAGCTAGGCTGTGATATCTGTGTCTCTCAGCCAAACATTTCAGATTTCAGCAAACTTTAGTTAGTTACCTTTTATAACATATGGGTTAAAGGGAAATAAGTCTATTAATTTGTTTCCCCCGCCCTAAAAGATGTCCCAGAACCCACATGGGGATTTGGTCACATAAAGTAAAGGTCAAGGCTGCAGATCAATATCCCACCCCATGTCAACACACAGATTACCAGAAGTGATTTGTAGAAATACTGGATTGGATTACGTGCTATATATGTCACTGAATCTGAACTGTCAAGCAGTCTCCTGTACTGAAGCCACAATTTGTGCAGTCTGGTATATTAAGATATTCACTATTCTATTCAGTTTCGTCCTTTTTAGGATGAAATTTTTCGTTTTTTGAAGCCCTACTCTGGCTCTTGCAAGGGGCCGCAATATACTCTGGCAATAAATATGGCCGAAAGGATGGACGCGGTTTTTGGGACCTCTCCACAGTGATCCTCACCCACATGGTGGCATATTGTGTCATCAGATGTTTATCGCTTGTGTGATGACATGGTGGGGTAGAAAGTCAGTCAGTCATTGTAAAACACTGTATTGTGGTTTACAGCTAGACTGCAATATCTGACTGCGCCTTTTGGCATACAAGATTTCAGCAAACCCCTAATTACTCACCTTTAACAACATGCTTATCAGGAGGCAGTGGCCCCATCTTCTCACCTTTTTGCTCCCCGTTAAAGAACACAAATGGGGAATCAATGTAAGATGATGGCTGAGTCAGGGTAATGCACAAAACATCAAGTATAAGTAGGTAAAGTCTGGCACTTTGCTTCAGTAAGTTACCTGATGTAAGGAGTTATCTCTTCCAAAGACCATTTCTTCCTTTGTTCAAAAAGAGCTTCAAACCTGCAGAGTTGTTTGAAACAAAATACATGTGATTATCATTTCTAAGATGGTACAAGCTAATGTTTCCAAATCAGTCGAGAGCTGAAGTGTACAGAAACAAATATTTTGTACAGCAACAAATATTTTAATAGTAATTTTTGTTGCTTCCACTTGTTCTCAACTTGTAATTTTATCACTGCCTTTGTCTTTAATCAACTCTGTCCTTTATTTGCACATATGTTATTTCACATATCTTCTTCTTTCTTCTTCGCGTTCACCAACTGTACACTCTGGTGGAAAGTTCTAGTTGTTCGTCCACTTATGAACTGCAGTCCTGCTCCAGAACCTGAGTGTTGCCTGTGCATCAGTTTTACAGATCTGATTCACTTGAACCAGATGGTTGGTTCCTTGCCTCTCAGGCAGATGCACTCCCATTTCAAAGGAAGCTCCCCAGTTAGTCGACTCTTACGACATGCTTTTGGGTAGGCAGTGGGTCTATTCTTGTTTTCCCCACGATGGGGCCCCGGAACTCAAACGGGAATTTTCACATATGAATGTTTACATTGATTAGGAGATAATCAGATGTAGAAACAAAACAGAAGACAATTTTATTTCGTTTTATTGTAACGTTCACACAACTGTGAGCGAGAATATTTCTGTTTCTCAATGAAGAGTTCTTGTCATCTGTTGATAAATATTTGGTCAGAATGTTCATTTGCGTACTTGATTTTGTTGAGAAGGCTCTGTCAGTCAGACATAATGGAAGTAGACCCAGAGGTCGACCATGCAAACAATGGATGAATAGAATAGCCAAGGCCATAAATACGAGCACCTAACCTCACGGTCGCATTTGAAAAACTGGTGAACAAACAATCAGTCCCGGAAAAATCCAGAAATCTGTGCATGCAGTAAATGCATATTTCAGTCGCTAGAGGTGCCACAACTACAGACGCCACCAGAAATACAGTTTGTCATTGATGGAAGTAGTTAGGTATGATAAGACACCTCAGGTAACTTGTAAAGAAGTTATTAGTGGGACACCCTTTAATTCTTATATACCAGCCTTGTGTAATCCCCAGACCTATGCAAGCAAGGATAATTAATAACTCTGCTAGAATATAAATAAATTATCACATTTATATTGCCAGCTTGTCATTACCTATCGCTCACATCCTCTGGCAAATTCTCCACACTGTAGTACCAGATGACCTCTGGCCGAGAGTCTCGGTCAATCAAAGCCTTGCCCTTGAATAAGAAAAAAGCACGCAAAGGACAATATTATTTTATGCGCCATTGATTCACCGGGCAAATAAATTTTACAGATAAACGGAACTCGACAGGTGATGTGATCAATATCAGGCCATCTTTGCTCCTCAGTACCTGGCACCCGTTTTAGGCTGGGTCGACCTGGGAGCCAAGGTCAGTTTTTAAACAAATCCGACTTGATGCAGATTTGAACACAAGATCTTGAGCATCTAGCCCTCACCCTTCGTGGCTCCCTGCCCAGAAATAGGATTATGTCTCACAAAGAACACAATCGCATTTCCACAAAATGATAACATAAATGTTGATTTGCATTCATTCTGTTGTGTGAAGATTAAGTATGCATTATATTTTATTTACGTCAGATTATGTTGTTTTAACATATGAATATATGCATGTGTGTGTGGCTACGATAAAAGGTGTTCGGTTTATTCAATGGATCAACATAAGGGCACACAGGTGTAACCCATAATTGCTCAGTTCTACTTCTAACTCAAGCCAGAGACTGAAAAATCTCAGCGCTGTGCACGAAATTCGTTGCACCGGTGAGGATCCTGAAATACTTTTGATAGATTTTAAACTCAAAATTTTGCGCGGGCAGCGCCATAAGGCTACTCTTTTGTCAATTTCTAACTGCCAAGGTATTTTTTTCTTTCAAGACATCTTCATTACTCTTTTTATCTGTCCACAATATTCTCATCATTCATCTGTAAATCCACATCTCCGCAGCTTCCAAATAAGCTTCCATTATTTACCAACTGTCCATGATTCACTTCTATATATCAAGACAGGATTTATATAGCTTTTAAGATTTCTTTTTCTCGTCTTAACTGACAAAGAAAAACTGCATAAAATATGTGTCCTTTTGTAAAATGCTGACACTAAACTACAAATTGGTAAAAGATGTTGAGTTCAGACTCTACTATGATATAAAGATGTTTGAATGTGGGACATGAATGATACAGGTACTGAGGTGCAAACCAGATGCCATGGACTATTATGTTGCACAGAGGGATACAATTAGGATGGGTAGAGGGATACAATTAGGATGGGTAGAGGGATACAATTAGGATGGGTAGAGGGATACAATTAGGATGGGTAGAGGGAGACAATTAGGATGGGTAGAGGGATACAATTAGGATGGGTAGAGGGAAACAATTAGGATGGGTAGAGGGATACAATTAGGATGGGTAGAGGGATACAATTAGGATGGGTAGAGGGATACAATTAGGATGGGTAGAGGGATACAATTAGGATGGGTAGAGGGATACAATTAGGATGGGTGGAGAGATACAATTGAGATGGTTAGAGGGATACAATTAGGATGGGTAGAGGGTTACAATTAGGATGGGTAGAGGGATAAATGAGAAAATATTTGCAGACAGGTAAAAGAGCTCAGCATCTGAGAAGAGGCATGGTCAATGCATCGCCGTGGCAACAATTATCCCCAAACCCAATGCTCTAATTGTGGAAGACCTCTGTTAATGCCAGCGGGCCTTGCTACTCACACCTGAACTTAGCCGTGGTTTGTGATTCCCCAGCCACTCTACAGCACAATTCAACAGTATGAGACTATCATATGGAAAGGTGACGTTGTATGTATGTATATATACGTGTATGTTGCTATAATATATACAGGAGAACAGAAACTATTGAAAGAATCAGGGCCCGATTTAGACCTGATGAGGCCCTGAGCTATTTAAAGCCCAGAGGCCCCTACCGATTGAAATTACACCAGTTAATATCAGAAATTTGTTTAATATACAAGTTAATACAAGATTATAAAGTTGACATGTATCAAGCTGATTATTTTATTCAATGTAAATAAGCCATAAGATGTTAGAATACAACAGCTGAAGGAAACAAAACAGAGACAAGTGAAGCTGAAGGAAACAAAACAGAGACAAGTGAAGCTGAAGGAAACAAAACAGAGACAAGTGAAGCTGAAGGAAACAAAACAGAGACAAGTGAAGCTGAAGGAAACAAAACAGAGACAAGTGAAGCTGAAGGAAACAAAACAGAGACAAGTGAAGCTGAAGGAAACAAAACAGAGACAAGTGAAGCTGAAGGAAACAAAACAGAGACAATGAAGCTGAAGGAAACAAAACAGAGACAAGTGAAGCTGAATGAAACAAAACAAAAGCTGAAGGAAACAAAACAGAGACAAGTGAAGCTGAAGGAAACAAAACAGAGACAAGTGAAGCTGAAGGAAACAAAACAGAGACAAGTGAAGCTGAAGGAAACAAAACAGAGACAAGTGAAGCTGAAGGAAACAAAACAGAGACAAGTGAAGCTGAAGGAAACAAAACAGAGACAAGTGAAGCTGAAGGAAACAAAACAGAGACAAGTGAAGCTGAAGGAAACAAAACAGAGACAAGTGAAGCTGAAGGAAACAAAACAGAGACAAGTGAAGCTGAAGGAAACAAAACAGAGACAAGTGAAGCTGAAGGAAACAAAACAGAGACAAGTGAAGCTGAAGGAAACAAAACAGAGACAAGTGAAGCTGAAGGAAACAAAACAGAGACAAGTGAAGCTGAAGGAAACAAAACAGAGACAAGTGAAGCTGAAGGAAACAAAACAGAGACAAGTGAAGCTGAAGGAAACAAAACAGAGACAAGTGAAGCTGAAGGAAACAAAACAGAGACAAGTGAAGCTGAAGGAAACAAAACAGAGACAAGTGAAGCTGAAGGAAACAAAACAGAGACAAGTGAAGCTGAAGGAAACAAAACAGAGACAAGTGAAGCTGAAGGAAACAAAACAGAGACAAGTGAAGCTGAAGGAAACAAAACAGAGACAAGTGAAGCTGAAGGAAACAAAACAGAGACAAGTGAAGCTGAAGGAAACAAAACAGAGACAAGTGAAGCTGAAGGAAACAAAACAGAGACAAGTGAAGCTGAAGGAAACAAAACAGAGACAAGTGAAGCTGAAGAAACAAAACAGAGACAAGTGAAGCTGACAAAACAGAGACAAAAAGCTGAAGGAAAGTGAGACAAGTGAAGCTGAAGGAAACAAAACAGAGACAAGTGAAGCTGAAGGAAACAAAACAGAGACAAGTGAAGCTGAAGGAAACAAAACAGAGACAAGGAAACAAAACAGAGACAAGTGAAGCTGAAGGAAAAACAGAGACAAGTGAAGCTGAAGGAAACAAAACAGAGACAAGTGAAGCTGAAGGAAACAAAACAGAGACAAGTGAAGCTGAAGGAAACAAAACAGAGACAAGTGAAGCTGAAGGAAACAAAACAGAGACAAGTGAAGCTGAAGGAAACAAAACAGAGACAAGTGAAGCTGAAGGAAACAAAACAGAGACAAGTGAAGTGAGCTGAAGGAAACAAAACAGAGACAAGTGAAGCTGAAGGAAACAAAACAGAGACAAGTGAAGCTGAAGGAAACAAAACAGAGACAAGTGAAGCTGAAGGAAACAAAACAGAGACAAGTGAAGCTGAAGGAAACAAAACAGAGACAAGTGAAGCTGAAGGAAACAAAACAGAGACAAGTGAAGCTGAAGGAAACAAAACAGAGACAAGTGAAGCTGAAGGAAACAAAACAGAGACAAGTGAAGCTGAAGGAAACAAATCAGAGACAAGTGAAGCTGAAGGAAACAAAACAGAGACAAGTGAAATATTCTGGCCACATTAAACAATATAACTTTCTTATAAAAACCACAGAGGAGGGAAAGCTGAAGTGGCTGGACATGGCCACATTTTTGGTTCCATCACTCCACACACAAAATTATAACAGCAAGAGTCAGGTAGTTATAAGTGGGAGGATAACATCAGGAGATGGACAAACTAAAGTCTGAGAGAATGTGGGCATTTTGTGGCATGAGCATTTTTGGGGGAAAAAAGAATTTGCAGATTTTGGAGCCATTAACTGCAGCATAGTTAGGTTATGTATAAACCCAGCGCTGGAAAGAACACTTAGTGATACAGTGATACTTTCTGTTAGATCAAATGTTCATCAAAAAAGCCTGAAGAATGATGTACATGTCAGTGGGTGTTTGTTTGTGCAATTCTACACATTAATTATTACTAAAATGGAAAGAGCTTTAAGATAAATATCCTGTCAGTGATGCACAACTTGCCGTTACTTGAAGTAATTTTTCTGCTTTTAATGTAACAATATTTTGTTGGTTACTATAAGGTGCAGATATCTATAATTATGTTTCAAACTCAAAGCGAATTACAAAAGGGCAGATTTGAAGAACAATGACAATAACATGTACTGAATGGAACTTTTACTAAAGATTACATTTTCTTATGAGGGTAAACTGGAAAAAAAAAAAAACTAAAAGCAATTTTGTGTTTTCGCAGAAATAAACGAAGACTGGGTGTTTTGGCCTTCACCATGCGCATACTTTGAATGATGTGGAAAAAGGAATATCTATCACAGTCCTATTCAGTAGGGTTCGTGGAGCAAAAAAGGTCACACATACTGCGGCACCACTCCACGAATGCACCATTTAGGAACAGCGCACTGTAGTACACTTTCTGTGGTCAGAGGGAGTCAAACCGGCAGACATCCACCGTGACCTGTTAGCGCAGTATGGAGCAAGCATCATGACTCAACAAAAGGTGTATAGTGTAGTGGACTGCTATAAAGAAGAAATTGTCTTTAGTTTTTATTTACCATCGTTCAGTTCACAGATACCTACATAAACAAACATAAAATAGACATCACTCATAACTAATGGAATTAGGCCTTTCTGCTAACAAGTAAAGAACTCACTGACCTCAATCTGGGCCAGGTTGGTCTTCATGCCGTGGGGGACACTCTCCTGCCAAGCTCTGAGAAAGTCGTTCAGATTGAACTGGAGGAAAGCAAAAGTCAAGGTTATCAAAATTTGCTTGTTTGTTAATTTGCTATGGTTTTGTTAGGTGTATCATCTACCGGCCTGAAAGTCTTGGGTTCAAATATGCAGTCTGATTTTTTTTTCAAAAATGACCTTGGCTCTCAGGTCAACCCAGCCTAAAACTGGTACCAAGTAAAGTTGTGAAAAGTAAAGGTGGCCGGCGTGATGTTGACATCACCCAATGAGGGCTGACTGGTCTAAAAAATATGAGTATAGTATCATATACCCGATGTAGAGGGTGTATTTCTCTGGCGGTCCAAAGTATTTCTAGCGCTAACATTTTTTCCAGCACAACTGCAATAGACACTATTGTGGAGAGTACCAGAAAATTTATTTTAGACACTCTGTGATCAGTACCGGCACCTCTTTTTTCTAGAAACAAAAAAGATCTGCAAATGCACCAGTAGCATGAAAACGTTCACTTTCATTATATACAGATCCCTCAAAACTCCAGTTCTGGAACAAGACCAATGTCCAGAAGTGGATGAACAACCAGAAATCTCAGACAGAGTGTACAGCCAGTGAATGATAAGAAGAGGAGAGGAGACTGTTACCTTACCTTGCCAGAATTTCTCAAACATAGTTCTGCGTAGTGTCTGCAAATCTTGTCCTCGGACAACCTGACAACATCTGTTTCAAATATAAAGAAAGTAATATTACCCCTGCATCTCTAGAATTATGTGGATCAAGACAAAGAAAAATGCAACACACGCACATGCAAACATAAATACATACATTCACCACAACATTAGGCAGAGCAAGACAAAGAAAAGGCCAAAAGTTTAAGATCGCTTAGAAGATCATAGATTTTTCCATACTTTTACAGGGTACTGTATCCAGTGCTATTTTAGATCTACTAAAGGTGATCACCGCAATCCTCTTATGTCCTAAATCAGCAAATGATGAAAGACTCCATATTAATGCAGCAACATCAATTATTTACCAGGTGGTGTTAAACTTTTGGCCACCAATGTGTGCTGAAAGTGCAGCTCATACAGGAAATAAAATTACAGGCTGATTTCAAATCTTCTGCTTCTTGGCGTTCACCGGCTGTAATCTTTCCAGCAGAAAGTTCTGGTTGTTTGTCCACTCCTGGACTTTAGACTTATTCCAGAATCTGAGTGTTGGGTGCACATTTATTTCACAAGACTGACTTATTTGCATGCAGACTGTTGGTTCCTCGCCTCTCAGGCAGATGTACTCCGACTTCGAAGGAAGCTCCCAATAAGTTGACTCTTGCGACAAGCTTGTCAGGTAGGCAGTGGGTCTGTTCTTGTTTTTCCCACAATGAGTCCCCTGGAACCTACACAGAGAACTGATTCCATATGAAGAAGTGGAAAAAAAGAGAAATCTTTGTTTTGCAGAAGCTGTGTTGGGGTCCGTGACTAGGTTGTGATATCTGTGCTTTTTGGCCCAATATATCTGATTTCAGCTAACAGTTCATTCATCGTCCTATCAGGCAATTATGTTACCTAGGGCTCACAGCCTACTCCTCCATTATGCTCTATCCGGTGCAATACTTCCGACAGCACAGATGGAATTCAGTCTGGCACCTTTGTCTTCCAGCCAGCATGATGCTGACGACATCACACACCAAGTGCTGTTTGGTCTATAAAATATAGGTCTAGCCCTATATACCCAATACACCTGAAATAAAGTTATGAAATAGCAATGAAAATAATTGTATGTTTGTGGGTCGCCACAACATGAGGAACTGTATGAAAGGGTCACGGCATTAGGAAGGCTGAGAGCCACTGCTTTGAAGAATAGGCAACCAACTTTTTCTGGAATTAAAAGGCACTGGATATATTCTTCCATTTCCCAGAATACACTGGGAGAATACTAAATAATTATGTAAACATTTGCTTCAGACCAGGCTCTGCTAAAAACAAAAACCAAAAAAAATTGCACATTGAAAACTGTGAGCTGCTTGAGGACTAATGCTTTACTGCAAGATGAAAGACAGAATAAAACAAACTTATGCTGTAAAGCATACCAGGAAAAGTGTAAAGAAGACTATGATAATAGTAAGTTGAGTTAAGAAAAAAAATAGAAAAAAAAATGTAATACCTGATTTAGAGTTATCTCCCTCATCATCTGAGTGTTTTTGAATTACATGTTCAATAATTTCTCTAGTATTCAGGAAACAGAACAAAAGATTAAATTAACATTAAAAAAAATGCTTCTTTATTATTTATTTTCAGACAGAATTTCCACTGTACCTGCTTTCAGCACAGCTGCAGTATATACTTTTTAATTCAGTGTGTTTCAATTTCAATGTAAGTTTTGAGGCCCCATTTTGAAAAACCAAACACACACACACAAAAACAGACCCATTGAGCTATCATTGTCAAAGGCAAATAGGGTTTGCTTAAATGGGATGGTTGTGGCAGAGATATCGCTGTCTTGCTGTAAACCCAACCAAAATGAAATATAACTAGAACGTGTTTGCAAAGGAACCCATAAGACTAAATGAATAAAGGCAGACCAAAAGAAATAAAGAAACAAAAAAAGGGACTGACTGACTTTCTACCCCACCAGGACATCACACAAGCGATAAACACCCGATGACACAAAGTTCCACCATGTGGATGAGGATCACTGTGGAGAGGTCCCAGAAACCGCGTTCAGACAATAACAATTGGCCACATTTATGGCCTGCCTATATTGCGGTCTCTGGCAAAAGCCAGGGTGGGGCTTCAAATAACAAAAAATTTCCTCCTAAAAAGGACGAAACACTTATGAATGCAATAAAGGGAGACAATGGTTCTTTTAAAAACCCTTGGTTCACTGCCAGTATTCTTCTTCTTCATGTTCACCAGCTATAAACTCCTGGCCAAAATTGTATTCAGACAGCTGACTCTTCAACTTTCTGGCAAATACTCTCTGAGTTGAAAGGAAACACCCCTGAGTAGTCATTGTATTCAGAAAGGTGACTCTTAACCTTTCTGGCAAATACTCTCTGAGTTGGAAGGAAAGACCCCTGAGTAGTCATTGTATTCAGACAGCTGACTCTTCACCTTTCTGGCAAATACTCTCTGAGTTGAAAGGAAACACCCTGAGTAGTCACCATTTATGACTATGAAATGCCTGTTAGGTGGGCAGAGGAGCTTTTCTTGTTTTCCCTCAAATGGAGCCCACATGGGGGATGGTTGGTATTCAAACATGTTAACTTCTGAGCCTGATGCAGGCACAATAGCCCCGGTTCCAAACCCCCGGCACCAAACTGTCTCCACACTGCTGGCGATTTTAAGTAAACCTGCAGTAATCCTTCATTTTGGAGCAGCAAATTTTTTTTTTAAAATTACCACAATATACACCAGCTGTTGTTTTCGGCTTTCTTTTTTGTCTTCTTCGCGTTCACAAGCTGTAAATGCCGGTGAAAAATTCTGGTTGTTGGTCCACTTCTGGACTTTAGTCATGTTTCATATCGTGAGTTTTGTATGAACATCTGCTTTTTAGGTGTGGCTTATTGTGTACAGTCTGTTCATTCCCACGTATGAGGCAAACATACTTTGTGAAGGAAACACCCCTAATTATTCACTTTTTATGACATGCTTGTGGGGGGGGGGGGCGGATTCACTGTTGTTACCCTTAAAATTGGACCCAGGAACCCACAGGAAGATCTTTATCGCTTTCAATACCATATCATAAGTAACTGCCAAGTAAAAACTATATAACATACAACAAACTACATATCAATCCATATAACATTTAAAAATACACACTTTGGAAACAGATCCATCAAAACCTGGCAGCACTCCTCCATATTGACACCCTCAAGCAGCCAATCCCTTTCTTCACAAAGCTGGATTATGTGGTATAAGACTGTTGCTTCGTATTCAAAATCTAGCAGACGCCAGTATCCTGTGAGGAGTAGAGACAACACATAACAATTAACCATACATGTTTTTACATCATCTTATCTCATTATTAAATAATACACAATATATCAACAGATAATATGAAAATCAATAGAACTGACAGACACAAGTGCTCTGGTACAATCTTCAACTGCTCCAACATAATGAGAGAAGAAACACAATCTGGAAATAAGGTATGCTATGCCCTCCAACATATAGGTCTAGCCCTATATGAAAAGGGTCCTTGGTTATCCTCCGAATAATAGTCCTAAATTATCGAGGTGGAAAATATACCCTAACAGGGCCTCAGTCATGTATCAATTGCGCACTTCTGGGGACTATAACGTCACCACCAAATTGCAAACTTCCTGCAACTTCCGCCACGGCTATCCCCTATGCTGCTCACGCGGCGCAGATTGGGGTTAACTAGTTGGCTAGGACTCACGAGCAAATAAAATGAAGGAAGCTGCAGGAGATACGGTAGCTGCTGCTCGTGAGTCCCAGCCATCAAGTATAACCCCAATGCACCGGAAGCGCGCAATTCAAGACGGCAGAAGTGGGCAATTGACACGCGACCGTGTTAGGATATATTTTCCGCCTCGATAATTTAGGACCGGAATTCAGAGGATAGCCGGTTCCTTTACTTTACTTATACTTGTATCCCGTCCAACATATGCAAAGCTGCTCTATCTCATAACAGCAAGGTCACAATTATAAAACACTGACCAGGCCAATTGTCATATATGGTTAGGAAGCCTGGAGTAAAAGAGATAAAGAGTTTTATGACAAATCTTTGGATCCATCAAAATGCAAACAGTAGAGAATGGAGAGGGAAAAGCAACTAAAATAAATAAAATTAAATCAGTTTAAACCACTACTAAATACTGGCATCATGAGGGCTAACAGACTGCGAAGGTTGGAGCCATAGAGAGAATGGCAGATAACAGACAAAAACTGCCCACACAAAAGCTTTTATTTGGAGAAGACCTTAAAACAGATCAAGAAGATGGTGAAGATACACAGGCAGATCTATAAACAATTGGAGTCCCCAAATGGAAAGAGAAGGTCAACCAGAGAACTGAATGGAGGCAACAATGAACCCCATGGGCCTGAGATGATGAAGAAGAAATAGAAGACCTCGTTATATTTATAATGGAATCAAGGCCGAAGGGTTGCGATATCCATAGTACCGAGCCGAAAAAATAACAAAAAACAAAAACACTACCCATTAGGCTTGGGTCTGACAATGAAATACCTATATGTAACATGACCAATGTCTGAATAACCCTCTCACTCCAGAAAAACTAAAACAAATGAGTCAACATCCCATTGGAATTCCAGAAACTATTCTCATAATAACCAATAATTTTATACAAGTCCTGAAAAAATGCATAAAAATATATTTAAATAAAATGTTTTTTAAACCAAAATATATAAAGATATAAGAAGGAAGGAATCAATAAACAAGAACACTGTGAAGCATAAAACATAATACATTCCCCCCCCCCCCCCAGTATCAGGTGACCTTTGACCCCTATCACTGAGGCTTACAGTATATAAGATGTCAACCTGGCTTTAAAAAAAATGCTATTTGTCTCAAAGGACCCCTCTTCCCCCCCCCCCCCCCCACTACAAATGATATTTTTAGTTAATATCTTTATATCATGACCCACTAAATGATTGCGAATGCACAAGCTCAACCAACAGCATTAACTATGTGTCTCATAAACAGATCACTATAGACAAGCCAGAAAAGTGACATTTATGGAGAAGTGAACCCAACAAGTTCCGATTTTGTGGCTTTTTCTGGTGAAAGGGTTAAACCAAGCCAGTCTTTATCAACTTTGCCAATTATGGGTTGGTTACATCCAAATATGCTTGTCTCCAGATGTTGCTTCAGCAGTGACCCTTGAACACTTCACTGGTTTCTGAGACTGAAGAGCGGAAGGAGAGCTTTGCATGACAACCCTAGTGAAGATGAAACTTCAGAGCTGAATCAAAAGGATATTTCTATATGAAGCTTACTCTGATAAAAGCAAGCCTCTTCCAACATTTGTGTCAATCTATTAGATTCTTCTTCTGTATTTTCCCCTTAACAGTGTGGTTGGCACATTATTTTGTGGTTCACAGCTTAGCTGCGATATCTAAACCTTTCTGCCCAACACATTCAAATTCTGTAAACTATAATTAGTCACTTTTGACAACATGCTTCTCGGGGGCACTATTCTTTCTTCTCTCCTAAAATGGGGCCCTGAAGCCCACATGTGAAGTACTGGATATAACTGGTGAAATTTAATCTTCCTGAAGATTCACCAAATGAATGATCATCATCATAATCATCCCATAAGATAACGTGCCGCTGGGTCATCAGTTTCTGTTGGCTGTCTGATCAGCTCTTTCCACCTTTAGCGGTCAGTTGCGATGGACTTCATGGTTGCATGCCTGAGGCCTGTCCAGTCAGCCAGGTTCTGTAACCAGGTCTTTCTTGGTCTGCCACTTCTCCTCTTTCCCTCTACTGAGCCCTGCAGTATTGTTTCTGAGAGGCCGTTATATATTACCTTACCACTGCCCAATTTTTGCTTTTTCACTGTAGTTAAAAGAGGTTCATAAAATTAAAGTTCATTAAATAAATGATCACATTCATGATTAACATACCTTGAATTTCACATGCATTTATTTTGGCAAGTCCTGATAGAATTTCCTGATCGCTGGCTTGAACAAGATTTTGAAGTTCAGACAATGTGAACTGAGGAGAAACATACAGCAAATATCAGACAAAACAATTTAAAATTCACACAAACATATCTTGGATTCACAGAAATCAAGTTTGGGAGATAACTTGAAATTCACATGAAATATGCAACAACAAAGACATTTTTGTGTATTCCTCTTCATCTTTGTTCACTGGCTGTGAGCTCCAGTGAAAAGTGAAATGATGAACAACCAGGACTTTTGACTTTGTGCCAAGGTCCGAGTTTTGCATGTACATACGTTTTAAAGGCTTAATTGTGTGCAGCTGGCTGTTCCCTGCCGCTCAGCAGATGCACTTCAAAGGAAATCCTCAATTAATCGACTCCTATGGCATACTTGTTGAAGAGGCAATGGGTCTATTCTTTTTTTCCCCACAATGGGACCCCAGAACCCACACATGGAGTGTGTGTATATGAATGTATGTATGTGTGTGTATACGTAATAAATACATACATAGTATAACCCTCACTTATCCATGGTTGGTTGGTTTTTGTGGCTGTGGTTTTCACAGGATGAGGTAGCCAACCTCAAGCCCAACCCTACCCTTAGTCGCCTCTTACGGTATGCCTGGTAGGGTGCAGTGTCACTATTCTTTGCTTCCCGTGAGGGTCCCGGTGACACACGGGCGAAGTAGAAGTTCTTGGCAAGAAAGAAAGGAAACATAAAGCATGGATAACACCAGAAACCATTAAACTGATTGAAGATAGGAAAAGTAAAAAGGCAGAATTAAACAATAGCAAAACTAGAGCTGCTAAAGCTAGAGCTCAGGAGAAATACACAGAAGCCAACAAGGAAGTTAGGAGGCATATAAGGGCAGATAAAGTGAAATATCTAAATGATCTAGCACAAGAAGCAGAGACAGCAGCAGCAAAAGGAAACCTCAGAGAACTTTACAGTAACACAAGAAAATTAGTAGGTAAATATAGTCAGCCAACTGGATCAATCAAAAATAGTCAAGGAAAGGTACTTACTAACACTAAAGATCAAATGGACAGATGGGTTGAATATTTTGAAATGCTTCTAAATAGACCAGGCCCAGAGGTTCCCCCAGATATCCAGCCTTTAGAAATGGAACTGGATATCAACTGTGAGATACCATCCAAAGAGGAAATTAGGAAAGCTATAAATCTTAAGGAAGGAAAGGCGTCAGGCTCAGATGGTATCCCAGCTGAAGCCATCAGGACCAACATAAACACATCAACAGAATTGCTACATAGATTATTCAGTAAAGTCTGGGAGACCGAAGAAATACCAGCAGACTGGAGAGAAGGATATCTTGTGAAACTGCCCAAAAAAGGTGATCTACGGGAGTGTGAAAACTATAGAGGAATTATGTTGCTGTCAGTTCCTGGAAAAATATTAAGTAGAATTATTTTGGAAAGATTAAAAGATGCTATTGATAAAATGCTAAGAGATGAGCAGGCAGGTTTTCGGTCAAACAGATCCTGTACTGATCAGATAGCCACATTACGTATTATAATAGAGCAAAGCATTGAACTGAACTCACCACTTTACATTGGATTTATAGACTATGAAAAAGCATTTGACAGCATAGATAGGGAATCTCTCTGGAAATTGATGGGGCACTATGGAATCCCACAGAAAATTATCAACTTAGTAAAGGCAACATATAAAGACATGAAATGTCGAGTTCTTCATGAGGGAAAGCTAACAGATGCATTTGAAATAAAAACAGGTGTGCGACAGGGATGTCTTTTGTTGCCTCTCTTATTTTTACTGGCTATAGACTGGACTATGAAAACAGTAACTGCTAACACCAAGAATGGAATTCAGTGGACCCCTACAAAACAGCTTGATGATCTGGACTTCGCTGATGATATTGCTCTTCTGTCCCATTCACGGAATCAGATGCAAGATAAATTAAATATACTTAATGCGAGATCAAAGCAGCTTGGTCTGAAAATCCATAAAGGAAAGACAAAGATAATGAGAATAAATCAGGCAAATAGTAATGTGGTTTCTCTTAATGGCACCCCACTCCAAGACGTGGAGTCGTACACCTATTTAGGCAGTAATGTAGATAAAGATGGAGGAACTGATAGAGATATTAAAATAAGAATACAAAAGGCAAGAGGGGCTTTTATAGCACCAGGGAATTTGTGGAGGTCAAAAGAAATTAAAAGAAATACTAAACTAAAATTTTTTAATTCTAATGTCAAATCAGTACTGTTGTATGGGGCGGAAACATGGAGAACAACCAAGGCAATTACTAATAAATTACAGACATTCATTAACTGGTGCCTGCGCAGAATAGAGGGAATAAAATGGTATGATAGAATAACTAATGTAGAACTTTGGGAGAGAACTAAACAGGCTCCAGTGGATCAGGAAGTGAGGAAAAGACGCTGGCGTTGGATAGGGCACACACTGAGAAAACAGGAGAACAGCATAACTAGAATGTCTATGCATTGGAACCCACAGGGGCATAGGAATAAAGGAAGGCCAAAAAACACATGGAGAAGAGAGCTGGAGAACGAGGTTAGAAAGATTGGGAGGACATGGGGAGAGCTCCATGCAATGGTGAAGGATAGAACGACTTGGCGTGAGTTGGTTGAGGGCCTATGCTCCATTGGGGGATAGAAAGGCAGAAGAAGAAGAATAACCCTCACATGGAGTGTGTGTATATGAATGTATGTATGTGTGTGTATACGTAATAAATACATACATAGTATAACCCTCACATGGAGTGTGTGTATATGAATGTATGTATGTGTGTGTATACGTAATAAATACATACATAGTATAACCCTCACATGGAGTGTGTGTATATGAATGTATTTATGTGTGTGTGTATACGTAATAAATACATACATAGTATAATCCTCACATAAAGTGTGTGTATATGAATGTATGTATGTGTGTGTATATGTAATAAATACATACATAGTATAACCTTCACATAAAGTGTGTGTATATGAATGTATGTATGTGTGTGTATACATAATAAATACATACATAGTATAACCCTCACATGGAGTGTGTGTGTATGAATGTATGTATGTGTGTGTATACGTAATAAATACATACATGGTTACATATGTATGAAGGAAACCTTCATTTTAAAATGGCTGCTAGTGTGAATTTCCAATTATATGTGTGAAACAACTAACAGAAACATACACCTACTTTTTTTCCTTCAAACTCATCCCCTTCACACTCCCTCCCTCTGTACTGGCTCATCTTTAATAATTCATGCATATTCTTTAGCCGAGGCTTGATCACACGCAGCTCATAATAGTTGTGCACTACGGACGTTACCTGAAATACGTAGAAACATATCTTACAAACATATTTCTTTGTCCTACTCTTCTTGCAAAAGCTGTTAATTTTTTTAAATTATTTATAATAACATAATTAGCTGAAGCTTCATGATGACAGGGCAAACTGGCACATTACATTACTCATGATGACAGGACCAACTGGCACACTACATTACTCATGATGACAGGACCAACTGGCACACTACATTACTCATGATGAGAGGTTAAACTGGCACACAACATTACTCATGATGACAGGACAAACTGGCACACTACATTACTCATGATGACAGGACAAACTGGCACACTACATTACTCATGATGACAGGACAAACTGGCACACTACATTACTCATGATGACAGGACAAACTGACACACTACATTACTCATGATGACAGGACAAACTGGCACACTACATTACTCATGATGACAGGACAAACTGACACACTACATTACTCATAATGACAGGACAAACTGGCACACTACATTACTCATGATGAAAGGACAAACTGGCACACTACATTACTCATGATAACAGGACAAGACCTGCCTGCTGTCCTCTGTGCCCCTTGCAGAAAATGTGCAAAAGTTATTTCTCTGGAATTTTCTTCCAATTCATCCAACACATTTTTTGTTCTGAGTGTAACTTCATTATGCCTATTTACAGCACAACTGTGATATCTGCACTTTTTAAAAGGAAAAATCTGATATGTTCATGCATTTGTTGTCTGGGTAAGCTTTCCTTATTAGTTTGTAAGACACTGCAAATCCACACTGTTTTGTCATCTTCTTTGTCCCCTAATCCATTGGTGGTGTCTCAACAAGAACTACTGGACACATGGTGGCCAACTCTCAAGGGAAGGCAGCGGTAGGATATGGGCATTCCCCAAAAACCAAGAAAACATTTCTCTGGAATAATCTGGCAGAAAGTATCCTTCAACACAGGAACAATGAGGATGAAACAAAATTAATGGTTTCAGTCTTATACAGATAATTTCAAAAAACATAAAAATAACAGGACAGTTGACGAGTCAGCGCTACTTTTCTGATCCCAATCTCCTGGTTTCCTGACTCGGGAAGGTCACGGCCCAGAGACAACTGAGGTATCATGAGCATTGAGTTGGAGGTCTCAGCTTCTTTAAGGTCATAGGTCGTACTCTCTGTCACAAGCACAGCATTTTGGAACGGGGATCCGCGGATCGTTACTCTGGAAAGATTGGAGAAGAAAACTGAGTACATATTCAAAAATATTCAATAACTTGTTTTTTTGTACGTGCTTATACCAGAAGGTTGTTCTTCTTAGTGTACACTGTAAACTTTGGTGGAAAGTTCTGGTTGTTTGTCCACTTCTGGACTTTAGTCTTGCTCCAGAACTTGAGTTCTGCATGCCCAGTGTGGGTTCCAGTTCCCACTGTGGTAGACAAACAAGAACAGACCCCACTGTGGGAGACAAACCAGAACAGACCCCACTGTGGTAGACAAACAAAAACAGATCCACTGTGGGAGACAAACAAGAACAGACCCCACTGTGGGAGACAAACAAGAACAGATCCACTGTGGTAGACAAACAAGAACAGACCCCACTGTAGTAGACAAACAAGAACAGACTCCACTGTGGTAGACAAACAAGAACAGATCCACTGTGGTAGACAAACAAGAACAGATCCACTGTGGTAGACAAACAAGAACAGACCCCACTGTGGTGGACAAACAAGAACAGATCCACTGTGGTAGAAAAACAAGAACAGACCCCACTGTGGTGGACAAACAAGAACAGACCCCACGGTGGTAGACAAACAAGAACAGATCCACTGTGGTAAACAAACAAGAACAGACCCCGCTGTGGTAGACAAACAAGAACAGATCCACTGCCTCCCTAACAAGCAGGTCCTCAGAGTTGACTAACTGGGGAGTTTTTTTCAAAATCAGAATGCAAGTTCAGAGCTCAAGTTCTGGAACCAGACTAAAGTCCAGAAGTGGACAAACAACCAGAACTTTCAGCTGGTGTGTGCAAAAAGGAACAGTTTTGCATGCACATCCATTTTACAGATGTTTATGCAGACTATTAGTTGCTTGCCTCTCAGGCATATACACTCCAACTAAGAAAACACCCCAAATAGTCAAACTTTTTTTTGGGACATGTTTGTTAGGAGGCAGTGGGCCTATTCCCCCCTTCCCATCATGGGGCGCTGGAACCCACAAGGGAAAGTAGACTTTTCAACTCCAATGCACTAATGTTCAGATAACCTGAGTCTTTCAAAAGATTTACTGTAATCAGGGGGAGGTTGGTGCAGAGACTTAACACCCAAGTTAGTATCTCTGTACCATCTAAGTGACTAGCAGAGTCTGTGGCTTAGACGTTGCGAGTCTGACTCTTAATTCCGACGTACCGGGATCGAAACTCACTGCTGGCTGCGTGGATTTTTATCATGGTATGGGGCATCGCAGGTCGACGCAGCCTAAAATGGGTACCAGGATGGCTGTCCTGGGGAAGTAAAGACGGCACATGTAATGCTGACCACATTACCCACCTAGTGTCGATTGGTCTGTAAAAATATGGGACGCTCTTCCCATATGCCCAATGCGCCTAAGGGTGTGAAAAGGGATCTTTACTTTATCTAAGTGACTGCCAGTGCTCTCCCCTCCCTTCCAAGCTCAGAAACTGGTTCAGTGCTCAAGACCAGCACTTAAACTTTCATGTGAACAGGTAATCATTCAGCCCAGCACAGTTGACTGTAGGAATAAACTCACAGGGAGCAAGTACAGCAGGGATCTACCAGTCGTCAGTAGAAATTATCCTCGTCGACAAGTGTTTCGGCCCACGATTCCTAGACACTTTCGGAGGTGGGCCCACCTGAGTTCATGAAGCTCAGGGCTGGTACCCTGCTGCACGAAATTACCGGATGGTGTTTTTCTTTCGGATAGGACAAGACGACTTGGTGGTTTGCAGAAGGTACTGTGAGATAAGAAGTCGTCGCGGCAGCCTAATTAAAGCAGTCAGCATACCTGGACGACCGAGCGACAAGCTTACGATTGGTTTACCGGACACATGTTGGACTTTTATTAGCAGGTGGCAGAGGATCACTGGCAGACAATTCGGACACGATGGACTTTCAAGGGGTGAGAAACCCTTTTCCACTAGACACCCGGACCAGCTCACCGAGGCCCGTCCCCTACGTTGTTGCGTTGCGTCCAAAGCCAACTCGAGGCTCTTTCGGCTGCCTCGCCCAGTTTTTTAAGTGTTCGTTTCCGTTCATTACCGCGCAATCCTAGTTCTTTAACCACATTGTAGAGCGACTGAGATTAAGCCCTGGTTGGTAATATTGACTAGTTCTGTTTTCACAGGTCTCTGCTGACTCACTTCATGTCAACTTACCTGTAATGATTCACCTGCTGTGCACAATGATCAACTACTGCTTGTTAAGTATGTACGTATGGATGGATGGACGTACAAATAGATGAATGCGTATGCATGAACATGTGTGAATGTATGAGTGTGTAAGTTAGTGAATGTGTGAGTGTGCATGCAATTTGTTTACCATCCAAGCTTTTGTATGTTTCCTTGATATTCATATTATGCATAATGTTACATGAACTTAATCTGCTTCTTCTTCTTCAACTTCCTCAACACTTAAGGTCCATTGCTGCAGATATTGCACACCTCCACTCATCTCTCTGGTTGGCCTTCTCTTTCCAGTTGGTGACACCAAGTGTTTGTAGATCTCTCTGGATGTTATCTTTCCATCATCTTCTTGGTCTGCCTCGTGGTCTATGATCATTCAGCTTCCTTGAGTATAAAGTCTTTACCTCTTTGTCAACTGATATTCTCTCAATATGCCTCAGACATTTAAGTTTATTAGCCATCATGATGCTAGTGATCAAGGGTGATTTAAACAGATTATGAATTTTGTTGTTGCTTCTCACTCTCCATTCCCCACTGTTTGCATCTTTGATGAGTCCAAAGACTGTTTTCGAAAATGTTTAATAAAGCATCATCTCTTTTAGTTGTGCTCTAAGTTTCAGATCCATATAAAACTATTGTTCTTATCAATGTGTTATAAATTTTGATCTTGGTGCTGCGAGACAGACACTTTGACTTTAGCAGATGTTGAAGGGTATAGTATACTTTATTTCCAGATTGTATTCTAGATTGTATTTCTTCTATCGGCAAGCTGGAGCAGTTGAAGTTTGCACCTAAATACTTATATGCTTCCGTTTGTTTGAACTTCCTATCATCGACTTGTATGTGGCCGAGGTTTATATCCATTACTTGTCTTGTTATTATCATGTATTCTGTCTTATCTTGATTGATAACTAGTCCCATTTTGTGAGAGTCAAGATCTTTACCATCTCTAGTTCATTTTCTCGAATGATATTATGTCAAATCCATAACTAAGTATTCTTGTAGTTTTTCCTAGAGTAGAACATAACATGCTGTCTTGATAAAACACAATTGGTGTGTGAGAAAGATGAGTGTTTGTAAGGACCGAATTTAAGACAGGCCTGCAAGCCCAATTTGTGACTCTGAAAATATAGTTTGTTTATTTGATTCACTTATTTTCTGTAATGATTCTACTGTCTATATTGATTCAGCTACTGTCTGTAATGATTCAGTTACTGTCTATATTGATTCAGCTACTGTCTGTAATGATTCAGTCACTGCCTATATTGATTCAGCTACTGTCTGTAATGATTCAGTTACTGTCTATATTGATTCAGCTACTGTCTGTAATGATTCAGTTACTGTCTATATTGATTCAGCTACTGTCTGTAATGATTCAGTTACTGTCTATATTTATTGAGCTACTGTCTGTAATGATTCAGTTACTGCCTATATTGATTCAGCTACTGTCTGTGATGATTCAGTTACTGTCTATATTGATTCAGCTACTGTCTGTAATGATTCAGTTACTGTCTATATTGATTCAGCTACTGTCTGTAATGATTCAGTTACTGTCTATATTGATTCAGCTACTGTTTGTAATGATTCAGTTACTGCCTATATTGATTAAGCTACTGTCTGTAATGATTATACTGCCTATATTGATTCAGCTACTGTCTGTAATGATTCTACTGTCTATATTGATTCAGCTACTGTCTGTAATGATTCAGTTACTGTCTATATTGATTCAGCTACTGTCTGTAATGATTCAGTTACTGTCTATATTGATTCAACTACTGTCTGTAATGATTCAGTTACTGCCTATATTGATTCAGCTACTGTCTGTAATGATTCAGTTACTGTCCATATTGATTCAGCTACTGTCTGTAATGATTCAGTTACTGTCTATATTGATTCAGCTACTGTCTGTAATGATTCAGTTACTGTCTATATTGATTCAGCTACTGCCTATATTGATTCAGCTACTGTCTGTATTGATTCAGTTACTGTCTATATTGATTCAGCTACTGTCTGTAATGATTTAGTTACTGTCTATGTTGATTCAGCTACTGTCTGTAATGATTCAGTTACTGTCTATATTGATTCAGCTACTGTCTGTAATGATTCAGTTACTGTCTATATTGATTCAGCTACTGTCTATAATGATTCAGTTACTGTCTATATTGATTCAGCTACTGTCTGTAATGATTCAGTTACTGTCTATATTGATTCAGCTACTGTCTGTAATGATTCAGTTACTGTCTATGTTGATTCAGCTACTGTCTGTAATGATTCAGTTACTTCCTATATTGATTCAGCTACTGTCTGTAATGATTCAGTTACTGTCTATATTGATTCAGCTACTGTCTGTAATGATTCTACTGTCTATATTGATTCAGCTACTGTCTGTAATGATTCAGTTACTGTCTATATTGATTCAACTACTGGCTGTAATGATTTAGTTACTGACTATATTGATCCATCTACTGTCTGCAATGGTTCCCTTCATGTTGCCTACCTGCAATGATTCCCTACATGTTGCCTACCTGCAATGATTCCCTACATGTTGCCTACCTGCAATGGTTCCCTACATGTTGCCTACCTGCAATGGTCCCCTACATGTTGCCTACCTGCAATGGTTCCCTACATGTTGCCTACCTGCAATGATTCCCTACATGTTGCCTACCTGCAACGGTTCCCTACATGTTGCCTACATGCAATGGTTCCCTACATGTTGCCTACCTGCAATGATTCCCTACATGTTGCCTACCTGCAATGATTCCCTACATGTTGCCTACCTGCAATGATTCCTTACATGGTGCCTACCTGCAATGGTTCCCTTTATGTTGCCTACCTGCAATGGTTCCCTTTATGCTGCCTACATGCAATGGTTCCCTTTATGCTGCCTACCTGCAATGGTTCCCTTTATGTTGCCTACCTGCAATGGTTCCCTTTATGCTGCCTACCTGCAATGGTTCCCTTTATGCTGCCTACCTGCAATGGTTCCCTTTATGCTGCCTACCTGCAATGGTTCCCTTTATGTTGCCTACCTGCAATGGTTCCCTTTATGCTGCCTACCTGCAATGGTTCCCCTTATGTTGCCTACCTACAGTGACTTTCTGCATACATGTAATGTCTCACTCACCTCTTACCCGCCTGCAATGTTTCTAGCACAGACTCTTCGATCTCCAGTATCCGAACGCTGTCATTTTCAAGCTGCTCAGAAAAATACAGGCACTGCACAAATGGTTTTAAATCAGAAGGGTCCAATTTGGCAAACCCCAGGATAGCGTTTATGTCTGACAATGATCTGTTTACATGAGAGAGAGAGAAAAAAGATAATGACATGTACTGAAAAAATGCATTCAGTCATACTTCTTAACCTTAACTCTGTGGCCCCATGAAGCACCAAATCTGGCAATGCCGTCTGCTGAAAAGTCACTTTACCCGTATTGCTGCAGTGACCAGACTCCACAAGCCTAGTTAGGGACATTGTTTTCTTTTTACACATGCACAGTGTTTAGGAGGACATAGGTACAATTACATTTACTAAAAATAGGAGCAGTTAAATGTAGCAGTGTGGGTTAGTCTAACAAATGGAGCAGTGTGGGTTAGTGTAACAACTGGAGCAGAGTGGGTTAGTCTAACAAATGGAGCAATGTGGGTTAGTCTAACAAATGTAGCAATGTGGGTTAGTCTAACAAATGGAGCAATGTGGGTTAGTCTAACAAATGAAGCAAATGTGGGTTAGTCTAACAAATGGAGCAGTGTGGGTTAGTCTAACAAATGGAGCAATGTGGGTTAGTCTAACAAATGGAGCAATGTGGGTTAGTCTAACAAATGCAGCAATGTGGGTTAGTCTAACAAATGGAGCAATGTGGGTTAGTCTAACAAATGGAGCAATGTGGGTTAGTCTAACTAATGTAGCAGTGTGGGTTGGTCTAACAAATGGAGCAATGTGGGTTAGTCTAACAAATGGAGCAATGTGGGTTAGTCTAACAAATGGAGCAATGTGGGTTAGTCTAACAAATGGAGCAGTGTGGGTTAGTCTAACAAATGGAGCAATGTGGGTTAGTCTAACAAATGGAGCAATGTGGGTTAGTCTAACAAATGGAGCAATGTGGGTTAGTCTAACAAATGGAGCAATGTGGGTTAGTCTAACTAATGTAGCAGTGTGGGTTAGTCTAACAAATGGAGCAATGTGGGTTAGTCTAACAAATGGAGCAGTGTGGGTTAGTTTAAAAAAGGGAGCAGTGTGGGTTAGTCTAACACATGGAGCAGTGTGGGTTAGTCTAACAAATGGAGCAATGTGGGTTAGTTTAAAAAAGGGAGCAGTGTGGGTTAGTCTAACACATGGAGCAGTGTGGGTTAGTGTTACACTGGAGCAGTGTGAGTAAGTGTAACTGTTGGATGTGGCATGAGATCAGAATAATGTACAATGAAAGTAGAAGTCAATAAATGCAGCATCACTAATCCCCCTTTCCCGTGACATGCAAAGTTAAGGGCAAGAGCAAAAGTAAACACTGATACAAGCAGGTGGATAACATCAAGAGATGGATGAACAGCTGTCTGAGAGCAAGGTGGTCGGCACCTTTCCGGATACAAGTGTTATATTGTTCTATAGTAGTACCTGGGAATCAGAGCCCATAGCAATCATGATTGACTAGCAAGATCCGCTAGCATTCAGAAAATTATTTCCTAATCCAATCAACTCTCAAAACCAAGGATGACAAAAATAAGATGGGATCTGTGACTGTGAGTCTTCTCCTCTCCACAGTACAAAGCCTGGGCTGTACAGTCAAGACAATGCATTATTAGGATTCCTCTCTCGGCCTGCCTTGTTTACTCCGAATGAATGGTAACACCAGTGCCAGTATATTTGGAACAAAGCAGCTGAAGAAGCCACCGGATCAGAAAATGAAAAGCACAACAGTGCCCTTCTAGACCAGTTGGGATGCAGAGTTTCGTTGCTAGATTAACTATCAGCCACGGCTAAGGAAAGAGTGAAAGAAAGAGTGTTAGTGTTAGTGTTAGAGATACACTGTAGCTAAGCTTCGATGGGGAGACGGCATCTGATTGAGTGATATGATTGACTATTGACTGGCATGCGAAGGGAAACTGAATGTTGAATTAAGATTCATTCTAGCACTCGGCACACTGACACTCGAAGCGAAGAGAGTTTGAGAGAAACTCAAAAACTAGACTGATAAGACTGCCTTCTGAGTTCTCCTCTTGAAGTTTGAAGAATTCGTCTGGCGTGAGTTTCTAGTTTTCTTCCCAAAAGGTTACCGTTAACATAAACAGCCTTTGCTAACAACAATTACCGCTGCGAAGACTGAGACATAAATGTATCGCATGCCCCTGCAACCGTCTCACTGTCGATATCCATTTCTGCCAAAGATTCAGGACCAGTCTCCACAGACGCCATGTTTGTTTACATAATCTCCCGCCACTGCTTCGTACCAAACGTACTTTACCAATTTGACGTGCCGGTCAATACATTGTCTCTTCACCTTCTTCTTCCCTTCCTCTTTTACCGATGTGGGTGTCGAGGGAGATATAAGGTTCTGTCTTAACATAGCCATGGTCAGATACCGTTTGATCAGTCGGTTTATATCTCATTGTGTTTTCTGTAGCGATAATAAATCCATTGCCGGCTTGCTAGGCCTGTCGCAACTTCACCAGAGCCCCATTGGCCAGGACGTTTCGGGGTGGCCTTCATGACTACCGTAGCGGTCCCGTGGCACGAGGCCACACCATACTTCGCCCACACCTAGCAATCCCCTACTTTGTTCTGTTACCACCTCGTCACCAGATTTATAAATCCTGTTGCCCGGCTCTCTAGCGAAGTTGGTTAAACCTGACTTTCGCGGCGGCCGGGTGATGAACTCCTTGTGGTCCGGGTTCACTCCCGGGGGTAGGCAGAAAAGCCACATTTCTCCCAGATTAACGGTACCTATAATGGAATCAATGCCGAAGGGTTGCGATATCCATAGTACCGAGCCAAAGGGTTTACAACTCATGGTTTCTGGATACGTAAAAAAAAAAAAATAAATCCTGTTCTGTTGAAGTGGTTCAAAAATTATGATTTTCATAGCACTCGGTAGCACCATAAGTAGGTAGGTAGGTAAGTAATTGTTTCCCTCTTCGGTTGTATTCTGTAGGATTAATACCTCAAGGATGATAATCAAACAGGCATAAATACTAGAAACCCCGTTCAACAGGCTACTAACAAACAAGCAACACCCGCATAGCTTCGCTACTGGAGAAAACATATGTTTGTCATAATTTTAACATTCAAAGTGCATGTAATTTAATGAGTAAAGCTGTTTAAATTGCACACAAGAATACTCCAGGGTTTAACTGTTTTACATCTGAGACAGTTTCAGTTTTTTGCCTGTTTAGGCTTTCCGTCAATTAATAAAAACGCGTAATCCGATATTGCGGTTTTTTTTTAGCGGGATAGCGTCATCTGATAACTATGTTTTTCTCTCTGTGTATGCCTCTCTCTCAACACTATATTAGAGCATCCGACAGTTACGAAGTCTGACTCTTACGACATGCTTGTTGGTGAGGCAGTGGGTCTATTGCTGTCCCCAAAATAAGGCCCCGGAACCCACATGGAGGAACAAAGTGTCTAGAGGTACCAGTACTCCAACACAGTTTCTGCCACTATCGATTTCATTTAAAAAAAAAACTAGTTACGGTACACGAAATCGGTAACGCTAGCAGGCATTCACATATTTACAAGAGGTTTGAGGTTTGAACAACGGATCAACATCATGGCACACGAGTAATTACCCATAAGTGCTCCGTTCTACTTCTACTCGACTTCTGAGTGTGAAGTGTCTCAGCTCAGTGCATGGGCTCCGTAGCACCGGTGAGGATCCTAAAATACTTTGGGTAGATTTTTAACTACAAAATTTTACCCTGGCAACGCCGTTAGGCTACTATTTTAGATTTCCAACTGCCGAGGGCTTTTTTTAACTTGCGCAACAATACACACGGGCGACCGAACTCACTACCCAGGGACCAGGGAAAATTACTAGAAGTCCACGTAAACAGAAAAAATCCTAGCCTCAACCCGGGACCTCTAGTACTTGAGGCAGACACCGTACCTCGAGACCACGCAGCCACTTACATATGTACAAATACCAGAATAACATTTGGGTTATAATAAATAATAAAGTCCACTTTTCGTCGGCTACTAAAGAATGAGACGGAGCTCGCGCGACAATGACCCGTGTGCAGTTGTGTCAGTTCTTCATTCATTCGTTCATCCATTTATCCATTTTGGCAGCCGGCAGCTACACAGTGATCTGAGATCCAAACTTTCCTGCAAATTAATTTTGCTCCATAAGTGGCTCAGGTTTCTCCCATTACCGCGTGCAGCTGCTTTCCCTGAATCAGCATCAATGCCAAATGTCTTCAACGAGATCTTTACATTGTCCTTGAGGCGTTTCTTGTATCCGCCTTGTAAGAATTTCATGTGTGAAGATCGCCATAGAAGATTCTTTGTGGCAGCCGCTGGTCTCATGTGCAGACCACATGACCTGCTCAGCATAGCAGGAATTTAGTTCAAAAAAATTGTAGAGACAGGCCAGATCTGTTAAGAAATGCAGACTCAGGGATCTCTCTTGTCTTGCCATGTTCTGTTTATCAGTTTCCTGGGGCACACTTAACACAATTTATAACTTCTTTGTCATCATTGAGCAGCTCCCTTACAGAACGTTGTTCTCGTTAGGGCACGTCTTCTTCTTCTTCTTCTTCTTTGCATTCGGTTTCAGACCATCAGGTGGGCTGCCTCTATGAACTTGCATGTCAGTAGCAGGTCCTGCAAGGTTTCCCAAACCTTGCTCTGCACACTTTGCTCTTGAGGCCAGGTGTCTTATCGAAGTTGTAGGTAGAGTGGGCAGGTCTGTAAAATGTGCTCAGGTGTTTGTGGTCTTGTTTGACAGGCATACTGGGGGACTCTAAAATCTTTATTTTATGCATGTGGTAGTTGAAATTGTCTGCGTATGTCTATATGTGTGTGTCTGTGCCTATCAGTGTGTGTATGTGTGTGCCTGTGAGCATCTGTGTAGGTGTCTGTCTGTGTGTATGTCTATATCTGGGTGTGTAACTTTGAGTGTGTGTATGCATAATGGATGCATATGTGTGAGTGAATGAGGAGTTTTTGTGAGTATGTGTGCGTTCGCAAACATGCACATGCATTTTACCACCCGTGCTTTTGTATTTTTGCTTGATATTCATAATATGCAAATTATATGAACAGAACATGCTTTATTGATAAACTACAACTGCTGTGTGAAAGATGGGTGTTTGGAAGGGCCGAATGTAAGACGGGCCTGTGTGACCAATTTGTGACCTTTGTAGCTCTGGCATCTGCTGGGGCTAATTGTTTGTTCACCAGGTTTTTAAACACGCCAGTGAGGGACATTTAATTTGATTTGCACTGGCACAGGAACGGAGCAAGTATGGGGTGACCTGATTGCAGTGAAGTTGAAACCTAGACTAAAACTAAGACTACTGTTCAAATGAATCTTAAAACATAAACCATCCAACAGAATGGTTCTCACAGAGAGAGAGAAAGACAGAGAGAGAGACAGAGAAAGGAACACACAGAGATGAAAGAGAGACAGAGAGAGAGAGGAACACACAGAAACCAAATGAAAAGTGCATGCTCACACAATATATCCAGAAGTCCGTACTCAAACACAACCACCTCATTTGGTGCTCGCTGGCAGAGATGCAATAAAAAAAAACCTCACAAGACAGTTTTCTATGTACAAACTGTATTTGTATAATAAAGATATATTTATTAAATCATGAACATCTTCCGTCAGATTCACCAAGTGAAACAAATACAATCAAGAGCAGCAGACATTCCACATTAAAAATATTCTTGCAGATTCTCGCCGACAGAGACTTCCATTGCAGCCAAAACTTTATGGGTGTATTTCTCCACGTCATCAACCTCATCTGTTGATAAAAATTTATCAAGATACAGAAATGAGACAACTTGGAAATTCAGTCAGTACCGATACAAACTTTCTTCTGACACAAGGTTTTACCTCTTTCAGTCCAAGGAGAACTGCTCAAGGAAGTAATAGCCATCATCGTAGTGTATTGCTATCAAACTGGCTGCACACACTGCAGACGCTAGATTTTCTTAATATGCTATGACAAAATGTAAACATCTTAAGGGAAGCACTGAGTGATTTTATGCTTAGAAAGAGAAAGACTTAACACATGCCCTGTATTGTTTCGTAAATGTTACTCTGGTCTCCCCATTTACACACCGCTACACACTAGCTCGCTTCTGATTGGACGAACTACAGCCCACCTCACTTCTGACAGGTCAGCCTCGAGCGATCCGACTTTCACACAAGGTTACGGGGATATTCCGCACTCGCACGTGTTGCATATTTCACCATGCCAGAGCTTTTAACACTTCTAAAATATTTAGATACTGGGTCTAACACACAACCCCCCCTAGAGAGTGACAAAACCTATGTCACAGGCCGTCTCTTTCTCGGAAATAAAAACGTAAATGCAAGACAACAACAGACTACGACACCCATAACCTCGACCACGGTAGACTAGTCCAACCAACTTATCAATGGAGTTGACCTACAACCGGAGGTGTGTAATTGGGGAGACCATTGCATAAATAACCAATTGTTTAAGTACCCCATCTGCTAATGGGAGACAAAGCACTTATTGATGTACCCTAAGTGCTATGCTATCACCACTGTTAACTAACAAGCAATAATCAAATGACAGGTACAAACCTTCCATGAGCTCGGCCATGAATGGGATTGTCTCGGGGACTAACTGAGTGTAGTCCTCGCCCAGCTGTTTATGGAAGGCATCTACGGCACATAGGGCCCAGATTCGTACCTGAAAAGAAATTTGTACATGTAACTGAATAAATCATGATCCAACATCACTGCACTCGGGACATTCCCATATGTGCTCTGTTCCCTTCCCCAGTAGCCAATGAAGAGTTCCAATACTCCTTTTTATTCTCCCTGCCACTGGTTTTCAGACGAGAAGCCCACAGGCGTCTGTGAGGTCTGTGGTTCAATGCAATTCTTCCACTGTTCCACACAGCCTGGTTTCCATTGGAATGCCAGCCGGCCAACCCCGTGACCTCTACTGCGTGTAGAGAGCATATCTGTCATACATGTTCAGTATTGTGTAGTGCCTGTCCAGATGGATAAGGTTCTGAGGCCACAATCTTGAATTTCTTGAACATCTGGTGCAGTCTGTGGTGTCCAGTTCATATAATGAGGAGTGCCAGTCGCAACCTCACCAAAAGACTGTCTTTCCTTTCCCCTGCATCTTGAAAACCATCCAGACCCTATGCCTATTGCCGACTGAATCAGTATAGTTTTAAAAATTAATAAATGATCCCTTTCCCACCTTTTGGTACACCAGGCATATAGGGCTAGACCCATTCAGCACTTGGTGGGTCATGTGTAACAAAAATAACTATACAAAACACCACCTGTAACAAAAATAACTATACAAAACACCACCTGTAACAAAAATAACTATACAAAACACCACCTGTAACAAAAATAACTATACAAAACACCACCTGTAACAAAAATAACTACAAAACACCACCTGTAACAAAAATAACTATACAAAACACCACCTGTAACAAAAATAACTATACAAAACACCACCTGTAACAAATATGACTATACAGAACACCACCTGTAACAAATATGACTATACAAAACACCACCTGTAACAAATATGACTATACAAAACACCACCTGTAACAAATATAACAATACAAAACACTAACTGTAACAAATAACTAAAACATAAAATCATTGGTGTGATCAAGTCCAAGTAACAGCAGCATACCTTTGGACTTTCATGTCTGGTCTTCAGCAAGATCTGGTAGTTCATATCTTTCCACAGTGAATCATCATGGGCCGCCATAGCCAGGCTGGCCAGGCATGGCACCACGTGGTTGGTGATTCTGTCGTCATTCACTTGGTCTTTGCCCAGGGTATTCTCCAGCTACCGAGAAGAAAAGAGGAACAAAACTATTGATTTAAAAACAGATGAAGCACACAAATCTAAAACTAATGGTAAAATCATATAACCTGACAGATATGATACAACCGATAGCATTACCATTTTAATAAAACAGTTGTTAAATTCACTGAGAAACAAAGAGGGAAATGATCAACTAGTAAGAATACAATGATGCTTCCCGTGTGGGTTCTGGGGCCCTATTATAGGGAACACAAGAACATACCCACTGTCTCCCCAAAAGCATATCATAAGAGTCGACTAAATGGGAGTTTTTTTTAAGTCGGATTGCATCTGCTTAAGAGGCAAGGAACCAACTATCTGTATACGAATTCACCAGCTGAAAACTCTGGTGGAAAGTTCTGGTTGTTCATCCACTTCTGGAATGTAGTTCTGTTTCAGAACCTCAGTGTTGTGTGTGCATCTGTTTTACAGATCTGACTTATTTGTATGCAGACTGCTGGTTTCTTGCCACTTAGGCAGATGCACTCCGACTTTGAAGGAAGCCCCCAATTAGTCAACTCTGACGACAGGTTTTTGTGTAGGCAGTGGGTCTATTCTTGTTTTCCCTATAACAGGGCCCTGGAACCCATTGGGGGATTTCATCTGTTCAACTGTGATGAAAAAAAAAAAATCTAACACCAAATAAAATGTGCATACGATACCACAAGCAGCGTAGTGTTAGAGGCAACGCCCGACACAGAACACAATCAAGATATGTTGTAAATGACTTACCTGATCGACCAATGATTGCATGACAACATCAAATCTCTCTTTGGTGACAAAACCTTCCGTGTCAAAGGAGAATGTTTTCTGCAGACAGTCAACAATGTAACACAGCAGACGACAACTCTTGCGGCGAGCATTCTTCCCCTTTCCAAAAAATTTGCATTCTGTGGAGGAAAATGTTATATGTTACTGCATGTGATATTCCTTTGATGTGGGAATGCTACACAGATCTGTGAAATGGATGCATGCACAAAACTCAGGTCTTGGAAAACAGCCAAAGTCCAGAAACTCTGCCAGAGTTTACAACTAATGAATGCATCAAGCAACAATAAAGAAGTGTAAGTGACAAGCATGGCTGGAGACAAGGTTAGCATTTCTTCTTCTTCTTTCTAGTGTTTCACCAGCTGTAAACTCCTGCAGGAAGTTCTGGTTGTTCATCCACGCCTGAAATTAGGCCTTAATCCAGAACTTGAGTTTTGCATGCACATCTGTGTTAGGTTCGCACTTCATTAATGTTCTACCCTATTTTGCCATTCAAATCCCAACCGACACAGGCCAAGCTTTTTGTAGATAACTTGTTGGATTTCCCATGTGGGTTGTGAGCTTGAGGCATAGCATTTGCCTTGATTGCTGGAGGTCCTGGGTTCAGGCCCTGGTAAAAACCGGGATTTTTTTAGGTGGACTTCTAGTAGTTTTCCCAGGTCTCTGGGCAGTAAGATTGGACGCCCGTGTGTATTGGTGTGCATATATACAAAAAATCCCTTGTCAGTTGGAAACCGAAAAGAGTAGCCTAACGGCGCTGCCCGGGCAAAATTTGAAGTTTAAAACCTACCAAAAGTATTTCAGGATCCTCCCCGGTGCTACGGAGTTCATGCAGTGAGCTGAGATTCGTCAGACTCAGGCTCGAGTCAGAAGTAGAACAGAACACTTATGGGTTACTACCCTTGTGCCATGATGTTGATTCATCGTCTAAACTAAAGAATGCAAGAAATGTGGGCAACAGAAGAGTAGATAGCTAGGCCACCGTATGGATTGATCCTGATCCTGAAAATCCCCCAGATATTCAACCTGCCTCTCAGGACCTTGACATTATTACTGAACCACCAAGCAAACAAGAAATCCTTAAAGCTATCCACACTTTAAAGAACAACAAAGCACCAGGGAAAGACGAACTGCCAGCAGAACTTCTCAAAGTAGATCCCAACACAACTGCTAGCATTCTAGAACCATTGTTCAAGGATGTTTGGGAAAAACAAGTGTTGCCTGATGACTGGACTGAAGGAACAATAGTCAAAATCCCCCAAAAAGAAGACATAACAGACTGCAATAATTGGAGGGGAATTACTCTACTTTCAGTACCAAGCAAAATATTTTGTAAAATCATCATAATGCGGCTTGAAAAAGGATTAGATAAATACCTACGAGTGGAACAAGCAGGATTCAGAAAGGGCAGAGGAACAACTGAGCACATCTTTGCCATACGTAACATTTTAGAACAATGCAATGAATGGCAGAGAAGTATATATAATAATTTTGTGGACTTTGAGAAAGCCTTTTTTGACAGCATCCATTGAGATGGTCTATGGAAAATTTTACGACATTATTGAATTCCAGAAAAAATAGTCAACATAATTGCTCTCTTCGAAAGCTGGTAACAATGAAAGTGAGTTCCAACCTATTAACAATGCTAACATCTTTTTTATTAAACAGAAAACAAGTTGTTTCACATAATAAATCTATATCACAGACTACTACTTTAAATTCTGGAGTTCCTCAGGGTTCTATTCTTGGCCCCCTTCTATTTGCAATTTACATAAACGATCTGCCCTTAAGTCTGTCGTCGTCGTGCGATTTATTCGCGGATGACTGTACCATCCATTCAAATGTTCGAACTTGTAATATACTAGAGTTGTCTTTGCAACAAGAATTAAACAATGTAGTTAGTTGGAGCTATGCAAATCAACATAAGTAAGACAAAATCTATGTTAATAACAACAAGACAAAAACTGTGCACTTTAAACTCTCATAGAACCCTTCAACTCTACCTAGGTAACACACCAGTAGAAAGTGTAACTGAGCACAAAACTTTAGGTCTGATCATCGATGGAAATCTTACCTTCAACTCCCATGTGCAAACACTTGTTAAGCAAACTGCTACAAAGGTATACCAACTAGCAAAAATTAAAAACTTTCTGGATGAAAACTCTAGGAAATTATTCTATACTTCTCATATTCAGACCCACATAGACTATTGCTCCACAATATGGGATGGATGTGCAAATTCAGTCATCAAACGGCTGAAAGCACTGCACAGAAGGGCTGTTCGTTTAATAGCTAATAGTCATGAAAGTGACTGTTCGCACCTATATAAAGAACTCATGCTATTACCGCTCCGGGAACGCCTACTATTCAATAAAGCTAAACTTATTAAGAAAATCATATCTAAAAATGTTCCATGTTACCTTTGGCCATTATTTAAATACAATGGAAGACATAGCAAACGCCTTAACATATTGCATATCTCTAAACCTAGAATAGACCTATATAAAACAAGCTTAGCGTACTCTGCAGCTCAGCTGTGGAATAATCTTCCACCGGAAATAAAAAATATCAATAACCCCTTTAGATACAATCGGAAACTATTTGATTATTATTTCACTACAGACTATATGCCCCCCTAAAAAGATTATAGTATGTTAAAGCTTTGATGTATTTCTTATTAACGGTTTGGGGGGGGGGGGGGGGGGGGGGGGGGGAACTTGGTGGTGGTTGAAAACTGAAGCTTATTATTGTTAAAACTGAAGATGTGAAGATTGAAAACTGAAGCTTATTATTGTTAAAACTGAAGATGTCAGTCGAATGCATTCCAATATTTGTAACTAATATTTAATTGGTTTTGATGATGTTTATATTATGCAACCTGTAAGACTTACATTTTTTGAATAGGCTTATTATTATACTCTTTCAAACGTTCAAGTAATATCAGTATAAATTAGAGAACATTCCAGCATTTGTAATTAAGACTTAGATATTTTTTTTTTTTTCCCTTCTTCTCTTTTTTGTTCTTTTCTATATTTCTCAAATTTTTAATTGTGCATTCCTCTTTTTATTAATTATTATTATTATCAATTATTATTATTACTATTAACTATGAAATGAGGTAAAAATGAAACATTGTATGAAAGGAGCAGAGTGGAAGGGCAGAATGTTAGACGGGCCTGCGTGCCCAATTCTTAACCCTTTGAAAATAAAGTTTGTTCGTTCGTTCGTTCTTCTATAAAGACTTTTCCTGCAGTATAAACAATTACAATACATCTTTCCCAGTAAAGACTGGTGTAAGACAGGGATGTGTTATGTCATCTCTCCTCTTCAACCTTGTGATTGATTGGATACTAAAGAACACAGTAGACAGGACATTAGGAGGCATACGATGGACTCCATTCACCATGCTTGAGGACCTTGATTTTGCAGATGATATAGCACTCCTATCACATGAACATGAACATATACAAGAGAAAAGTAACAGACTACACAGCACAGCAGAAATGGTGGGATTGAAAATAAATACAAAGAAAACTAAGATCATGACAAGCAGTCCAAACCAACAACCAGTGACCATAAATAACCAAAAACTTGAAAACGTTGAACATTTCACATATCTTGGCAGTGTGGTGTCCCTACTGGGAGGGACCAAAGAGGACATACAGTCACGTCTAAACAAAGCTAAAGCTGCTTTTAGAAAGATGAGGCAAATCTGGAAATCCAACAATTACTGCAGAGGAACGAAATTCCGACTCTACAAGAGCATCATTTTGCCAGTTCTTCTTTATGGAGCAGAATGCTGGAGAATGACCAAAAAGGATGCATACAAGCTGTCCTCCTTCCACTACACACGTCTACGTAAAATTATCAAAATTTTCTGGCCAGATACAATCTCAAACACTAAACTACTTCAAGTCACAAACCAAGAAACTTTAGGCAGTATGATAACCAAGAGAAGATAGAAATGGCTTGGCCACGATATGAGAATGAACCCTGATATACCTGCCAAAACAGCTCTCACATGGACACCAGAGGGAAAGAGAAAACAGGGGCGCCCTAAAACAACATGGAGACGAACGATGGAAAGTGACCTGAGTGCGGCATCTTTGACATGGAAAACTGCACTGAAGATTGCACAGGACAGGAAAACATGGAAAGTCCTCTCTGAAGCCTCGTGTGCCACTAGGCATAACAAGAACTGATCGTATGGTTTGGGCTGGCATCCTGAATGTCTTGAAGTATGACCTTAGTTTTATTGCTCATTGCTCCCAAAGCCACCAACTTCTGAAGATCTTGAATGCCTGCAGTCAACACTGTCTGGATGTGCACGACAATACCCATACCATATTTTTTTCTGCGTGTTTCACCGGCTGTAAACTGCGGCAGAATGTTCTGGTTACTCATCCATTTCTGGACTTTGGTCTTGTTCCAGAACTGGAGTTTTGCGTCGCACTCATTTGACAGACCTGGCTTTTGTGTGGGCAGACTTGTTTCCTCACCTCTCCAGCGGATTCACTCCAACTTCCAAGGAAACACCCCTAACTAGTCGACATTTATGACATGCATTTAAGGTAAAGGGTCTATTCCCCCCCCCCCCCCAAGGACAATGAAAGAAATTCTGTGTGGTTTCCACTGACATAGCAAGAGCAGTTCCTGAACGACCTGTCAGCTGTGAAGTTGGAGCTACTCACGACTCACCTTCAGGCCTTAAGATACTGGGTTCAAATTAAAACATTGGCGGATCTCTCTCTCCAAAATTGACATTGGCTCCAAAATCGATCCAGCCTAACTGTAAGTACGAGGTAATGCCCTGGGATACAAAGGGGGCCAGCATGATGCTGACCACACCACCCTCTGCATGCCGACTGGTTTATGGAAATTTGAGTCTTAGCATTATATGCCAGCTACACCACTGGCATAACAACAAGAGTCCTTTATTTTTTTTCCTTCCAAACCATGAATGCACAAACATTATAAAATGCCCACTCAACATGACAAACAGGCAAGCACTAACAGTGACAATAACGATAGCACTGTTTGCTGAAACACTTACTGTTTTTACTCTTGTTGTTAATGTCCAACATTTCAGCACTGTGTTTGAGAAAGTGGCCAGCAAACAGAGTGAACAGATTTTTCAGCTTCTCAGCCAAACTGCAAGAGAAGAAATACATATTACAGAACAATCAATAAACCTGTGTAAGATTTAAAAAAAAAAAAGCTATATTTTGTGCCGTTAATTTTCTCCCTAGTTTTTACAAATAGAACCAATGAAATTAAACTACCATTCTCGAAAACAGGTGCTTCAGACATAACTTGTTTCATTGCCTTTATATGGCAGCGACGGAAATGCCGGAGCTGTGGCTTCCAGATGCGAAAAGATTAATACAGAAAAGTACATTTCACAGAGCTGTATGAGAGAGAGAATTACAAACAACAAACAAGAAGATAATACACATTAGTACCCAAACCTACCTGTCACACAGCCTGTAGAAAACCAGCACCCTGTCGTGGTTGGTGTCCTCACCTGTAGCCCAACCGTAAATCTGAAAAAAAAAAAAAAAAAAATAAGGGCACATCCTGTGTTATAACGTCATGACATTTAGTGACAAAGAAGTCACCATAGCATAGGTGTCTCCTGAATGTCATGTGGGTTCACTTAGGTAAGTCACCTAAATGTCATATGGGTTCACTTAGGTAAGTCACCTAAATGTCATATGGATTCATTTAAGTAAATCCCATAAATGTCACATGGGTTCACTTAGGTAAGTCACCTATATGTCAGATGGTTTCATTTAGATAAGTCACCTAAATGTCATATGGATTCACTTAGGTAAGTCACCTAAATGCCATGAGGGTTCACTTAGGAAAGTCACCTAAATGTCATGTGGGTTCACTCAGGTAGGTCATCTAAATGTCATGTGGGTTCTCTTAGGTAAGTCACCTAAATGTCATATGGGTTCACTTAGGTAAGTCACCTAAATGTCATATGGATTCATTTAAGTAAATCCCATAAATGTCACATGGGTTCACTTAGGTAAGTCACCTATATGTCAGATGGATTCACTTAGATAAGTCACCTAAATGTCATATGGATTCACTTAGGTAAGTCACCTAAATGTTATATGGATTCACTTAGGTAAGTCACCTAAATGTCATGTGAGTTCACTTAGGTAAGTCACCTAAATGTCATGTGCATTCACTCAGGTAAGTCACAGAAATGTCATGTGGATTCACTCAGGCAAGTCACCTTAATGTCATGTGGATTCACTCAGGTAAGTCACCTAAATGTCACATGGATTCACTCAGGTAAGTCACCTAAATGTCATGTGGGCTCACTTAGGTAAGTCACCTAGATGTCATGTGGGTTCACTTAGGTAAGTATTAAACATGCTGTGTTGGTTTACCTAGGTAAGTCACCTGCATTTACCTAGACAACTGTCTTATATGCCATGCTGATTTACGTAGGTAAGTTACTTGTATGTCATGTGGGTTTACCTAGGTAAGTCAGCTAAATGTCATATGCCTTTACCTAACCTAGGTAACTGTCTTACACGCCGTGCTGATTTATGTAGTAAATTATGAATATGCTGTGTTGGTTTACTCATGTTACTTATCTACATGCCATATTGGCTTACCTAGGTGTTATCTACATGCTGTGCGGTCTTACCTGTAGTAGCATGGGTTTAAACTGTGCCTCAGACAATTTGAAGACCAGAGTGACAAATGCATCGATGACTGTTGCTTCTATGACATCCAAGTCTGCCTCCCTGATCTGGAATAAGACAGACAAACAATAAATTATTCAGATAAATATATTCTTCTCTGCATTTGCGCTCACCAGCTTTAAACTCTGGCGGAAAGTTCTGGTTGTTCATCTCCTCCTGGAATTTAGTCTTATTCCAGAACTTGTTTTGCATGCACATCAGTTTTACAGATCTGGCTTATTCATACGTAGACTATTGGTTCCTCGCCCCTCAGGCAGATGCACTCTATAGGACAAGCCCCTAATTAGTCACCTCGCTACAACACACTTTCCCCCCCCCCCTTCCCCCCTGTGAACATCCGTTTGACCGGCTTATCTGTTAAGCTCACAAAGCCACTAAAAATAATAAGATTACGGAATTAGATAACTTTAGGGAACTCACACAGCCACACAAAAATAAATAGGTAGCAGAGCCGGACAGATAAGGGCCTGCTTGGTCTTGCAAACTAACCTAGTCTGTCTGTTGAGAAAGGCTTTGGTTGAAATATTGTCCTTTATATTGCAGCCACTACATTTAAAATAGATAATAGGTAGCTGAGACAAGGGCACGCTTGGTATAAAACAGATAATAGGTAGCTGAGGCAAGGGCACGCTTGGTATAAAACAGATAATAGGTAGCTGAGACAAGGGCACGCTTGGTATAAAACAGATAATAGGTAGCTGAGAGGCAAGGGCACGCTTGGTTTAAAACAGATAATAGGTAGCTGAGGCAAGGGCACGCTTGGTATAAAACAGATAATAGTTAGCTGAGGCAAGGGCACGCTTGGTTTAAAACATAATAGTTAGCTGAGGCAAGGGCACGCTTGGTTGCTTGGTATAAAACAGATAATAGGTAGCTGAGGCAAGGGCACGCTTGGTTTAAAACAGATAATAGGTAGCTGAGGCAAGGGCACGCTTGGTTGCTTGGTATAAAACAGATAATAGGTAGCTGAGGCAAGGGCACGCTTGGTATAAAACAGATAATAGGTAGCTGAGGCAAGGGCACGCTTGGTTGCTTGGTATAAAACAGATAATAGGTAGCTGAGGCAAGGGCACGCTTGGTTGCTTGGTATAAAACAGATAATAGGTAGCTGAGGCAAGGGCACGCTTGGTTGCTTGGTATAAAACAGATAATAGGTAGCTGAGGCAAGGGCACGCTTGGTTGCTTGGTATAAAACAGATAATAGGTAGCTGAGGCAAGGGCACGCTTGGTTGCTTGGTATAAAACAGATAATAGGTAGCTGAGGCAAGGGCACGCTTGGTTGCTTGGTATAAAACAGATAATAGGTAGCTGAGGCAAGGGCACGCTTGGTATAAAACAGATAATAGATAGCGGAGGCAAGGGCACGCTTGGTTGCTTGGTATAAAACAGATAATGGGTAGCTGAGGCAAGGGCACGCTTGGTTTAAAACAGATAATAGGTAGCTGAGGCAAGGGCACGCTTGGTTGCTTGGTATAAAACAGATAATAGGTAGCTGAGGCAAGGGCACGCTTGGTTTAAAACAGATAATAGGTAGCTGAGGCAAGGGCACGCTTGGTTGCTTGGTTTAAAACAGATAATAGATAGCTGAGGCAAGGGCACGCTTGGTATAAAACAGATAATAGGTAGCTGAGGCAAGGGCACGCTTGGTTGCTTGGTATAAAACAGATAATAGGTAGCTGAGGCAAGGGCACGCTTGGTTGCTTGGTATAAAACAGATAATAGGTAGCTGAGGCAAGGGCACGCTTGGTTGCTTGGTATAAAACAGATAATAGGTAGCTGAGGCAAGGGCACGCTTGGTTGCTTGGTATAAAACAGATAATAGGTAGCTGAGGCAAGGGCACGCTTGGTTTAAAACAGATAATTGGTAGCTGAGGCAAGGGCACGCTTGGTATAAAACAGATAATAGATAGCTGAGGCAAGGGCACGCTTGGTTGCTTGGTATAAAACAGATAATAGATAGCTGAGGCAAGGGCATGCTTGGTTTAAAACAAATAGGTAGCTGAGGCAAGGGCACGCTTGGTATAAAAAAGGTAATAGCTGAGGCAAGGTCACGCTTGGTTTAAAACAAATAATAGGTAGCTGAGGCAAGGGCACGCTTGGTATAAAACAGATAATAGATAGCTGAGGCAAGAGCACGCTTGGTTTAAAACAGATAATAGATAGCTGAGGCAAGGGCACGCTTGGTTTAAAACAGATAATAGGTAGCTGAGGCAAGGTCACGCTTGGTTGCTTGGTATATAACAGATAATAGGTAGCTGAGGCAAGGGCACGCTTGGTTGCTTGATATAAAACAGATAATAGGTAGCTGAGGCAAGGGCACGCTTGGTTTAAAACAGATAATTGGTAGCTGAGGCAAGGGCACGCTTGGTTGCTTGGTATAAAACAAATAATAGGTAGCTGAGGCAAGGGCACGCTTGGTTTAAAACAGATAATTGGTAGCTGAGGCAAGGGCACGCTTGGTATAAAACAGATAATAGATAGCTGAGGCAAGGGCACGCTTGGTTTAAAACAGATAATAGATAGCTGAGGCAAGGGCACGCTTGGTTTAAAACAGATAATAGGTAGCTGAGGCAAGGGCACGCTTGGTTTAAAACAGATAATAGGTAGCTGAGGCAAGGGCACGCTTGGTTGCTTGGTATAAAACAGATAATAGGTAGCTGAGGCAAGGGCACGCTTGGTTGCTTGATATAAAACAGATAATAGGTAGCTGAGGCAAGGGCACGCTTGGTTTAAAACAGATAATAGGTAGCTGAGGCAAGGGCACGCTTGGTTGCTTGGTATAAAACAGATAATAGGTAGCTGAGGCAAGGGCACACTTGGTTGCTTGATATAAAACAGATAATAGGTAGCTGAGGCAAGGGCACGCTTGGTTGCTTGGTATAAAACAGATAATAGGTAGCTGAGGCAAGGGCACGCTTGGTTTAAAACAGATAATAGGTAGCTGAGGCAAGGGCACGCTTGGTTGCTTGATATAAAACAGATAATAGGTTGCTGAGGAAAGGGCACGCTTGGTTTAAAACAGATAATAGGTAGCTGAGGCAAGGGCACGCTTGGTTTAAAACAGATAATAGTTAGCTGAGGCAAGGGCACGCTTGGTATAAAACAGATAATAGTTAGCCGAGGCAGGGCATGCTTGGTTGCCTGGTATGTCTTTACACTGTTCAGTCTTAGACTGCCAGTGACTCCGCCCACTTATCTGCTTTTAGGTCTCCCTCTGCCTCTTGATGTTTCCATTTTCATTTGTATACTCTCATTATCCATAACTCAAATACACAATAAAGTTTTAAAAGACAGAATTCTTTCTTCTGACCTTCTTCTTCTTTTGCCACTAAGTGTCGCAAGTTAACAGACGATCCCAGGTAGGGCCCATTCGGTTGCCTAGTAAGCCTTAATGTTGTGGAGTCTCAAGGCATTGGTAACTCCTTTAATCCATCTTCATCTTTTTCATCCCCTGCCTCTTGGTGTTTGTACTTTCATGTTGTACGCTCTCTTTACCAATATCATTGGTTTAATTCTCATTAAATGGCCAAAACACTCAGTCTATTGTGTTTAAATGAATTTAATTATAGGTGTTTCAACATTCCTAATAATTTCTTCATTTCTCACATGATATTGTCTAGTTTTGCTCATGGCCCTTCCCAACAATTTCACTTCAAAGACGGTCAGTAGACCCAGAATTTAAAAAAAAAAAAAGATCATGACAACGAACATACCTCTTGATGTGTAGCTCGGATATCGAAACAAGTGAAGAAAAACTTGAGTAGGTCCTGTGAGAATGTTGTCAGGTCGTCTTTGGACATTTTCACGATGTGATCTTTCAGCATGGACATGGCACACTGTGCACAAGACTGTCAAAGACAACAACAACAACAGTAGAAATGATTTATTTTCTAACTTTGGCTAGCTGTTTTTTTTTTTTTGTATTAAATATTTCTCCTCTTCTTAGTTTTCACAGGCTGTAAACTCTGGCTGAAAATTCTGGTTGTTCATTAACTTCTTGACTTTAGTCTTGGTTCAGAACCTGAATTGTGCATGCACATCTGTTTTACAGAGCTGTTTACTTGTGCGCAGACTGTTGATTTCTCACCTCTCAGGCAGACGAGCTCCAACTTTTGGTTAGAGGAGAAAAAACACTAATTAGTCGCCTTTTACGGTGGAGGTGAAGAAAAAAGGGAAAATAATATTTTCATCAATTATCCCAAACAAAACTAAATAATTAACAATAGTAAACCTATAGATTAGTCTATAAACCTATAGATTAGCCTATAAACCTATAGATTAGTCTGTAAACTGTGAGACAAGTGAGAAGACATGGTCTACAAGCTGGGAGTGGTGCTACTGCTCTCCCCAGAATAAACATTTATTAGCTAACATACAAATGTGACAGATGAAGGGCGTTCGTCCACTTCTTTATCTAGTCTCAATTAACAATTCTCCTCTTTAAAATTTGTAATAAAATATACGACTTACAGCCATCTTGTCTTGTAGAGCCATGAAACTTTTCTCCAGCACTGGTAAAAATGTTCGAGTTGGTGTCACTGTGGCAATAGTGGAGCTGCGGAAGACAAATATAGGTCAAAGAGCGTAGCAAAATGTATAAGCAGCGAATCAAAGGTGCAAAGCAAACACATCGTCATTATCCGTCAGCAGGTCTTTAAAAAAACCACTTTCTTCACGACACACCTAAAAGTCTCTCCCTCCTTTAGCTAATTTTTTCAACTCCGTGCACTTTTATAGCATCTTCAGCGTCTTGTATCAACATTCCGCAGAAATCTGCCTGAAATATATAGTGGATACAAAACCAGAATTTATTGCAAAATGTTCGAATCAACTTATCTCATCCAATGGAAACAACATCTTAGACACAGGATTTATGTAAATTCTGCCTCAAAATGTAACTAAATTTCTAACACTGACAATGGATCAGAGAAGCTCATGCATCCATCACAGCTTTCACAGACCAATGACCCTCTCATCCGAAAACCACAGGCATGAACCATGAACAGAAGAAGTCACAATGACAAAGTGCATTTCTTTTCACCAGCCTAAAGTCAAATCTCAATACCTGAAATGTGCAAACAGGCAATAAGTTATCAAGTAACGGTAAAGGACCCTTTTCACACTCACTGGCTCACAAGATATATGGTGCCAGTATTATATATTTTTAACAAAAAGGGTGGCATGGTCAACATCACGCTGGCGGCCACAAAGGCATCTCCTGGTACCCAGTTAAAGATGGGCCAACCTGGCAGCACTTAGTTAACTATATATATATAAAAAAAAAATATTCAGCAATCTTTGACAGACAGAAAAAGCAATCTTAAAAAAAAAATTATTACTGAATCAAATAAGTTAAAAAAAAAAAAAAAGAAGATATAGCAATTTTGGAAGAAAAAAAATTACCGGAGATAACAATAAGGTTGTGTAGAGAAGCATCTCAGATAAAAAATTAGTAAATGACCAAAACAATTATTATTCTTGAAAGAAGTACAGAAAAAAAATATGTTCAAATACAGATCTACATAAACACAGAAGTCAAACTGGCAACAAACACCCACCAAATCAGCTTGACTTTCTGGCCAACAACTGGCTTCTGAGAGTCTGCTTGTGAGCCAATCAGGGAGTTGATGATGCAGATCTGAGGATAGAGGTCAAGCAATGATATTAATGAGGGTCGCAATGCAAAGGAGCTTTTTCACACAGGTGGTACACTGGGCATAAAATGCTACCCATTTTTTTTTAACAGACCAATCATCAACTGGTTGTCCACATCCTACTGGTCACCTTTACTTTCCAGGACATTCCCTAGTATCCATATTCCGCTGCAGTGACACATGAGTTGAGGTCAATTTAGAAGAAAACATTTGAGTTAGCATCTAGCACAAACGCTACAGTGGCTCCCCACTAATGAAGGTAACAGGTCGATTCTTACAGCAAACATTGCTGCGGGATGTGAAGCCTTAGGTTAATCACAGTTTGTAGGCTATGACATTTCTTTTTCTTCTGCATTCGTCTGAGGACAATTATGTCGTTTACAACACAGATGCAATATTTGTGCCTTTTAGCCAACATATCCAACTTCTGAACGGATTAGCCTTCTTGGTTGATTTTGTGCGACACTGCAGTATCATTGCTGTGTGGTCACCTTTGTTTCCAAATCCACAGGTGGTTCTTTCCTCCCCCCAATGCTGGTCTGCAGCAGCCATGTAATGTTGATCTACAGCAGCCATGTAATGTTGATCTACAGCAGCCATGTAATGTTGATCTAAAGCAGCCATGTAATGCTGGTCTACAGCAGCCATGTAATGCTGGTCTACAGCAGCCATGTAATGTTGATCTACAGCAGCCATGTAATGCTGGTCTGCAGCAGCCATGTAATACTGGTCTACAGCAGCCATGTAATGTTGATCTACAGCAGCCATGTAATGCTGGTCTGCAGCAGCCATGTAATACTGGTCTACAGCAGCCATGTAATGTTGATCTACAGCAGCCATGTAATGTTGATCTACAGCAGCCATGTAATGTTGATCTACAGCAGCCATGTAATGCTGGTCTACAGCAGCCATGTAATGTTGATCTACAGCAGCCATGTAATGTTGATCTACAGCAGCCATGTAATGTTGATCTACAGCAGCCATGTAATGCTGGTCTGCAGCAGCCATGTAATACTGGTCTACAGCAGCCATGTAATGTTGATCTACAGCAGCCATGTAATGCTGGTCTACAGCAGCCATGTAATGTTGATCTACAGCAGCCATGTAATGTTGATCTACAGCAGCCATGTAATGCTGATCTACAGCAGCCATGTAATGCTGGTCTACAGCAGCCATGTAATGTTGATCTACAGCAGCCATGTAATGTTGATCTACAGCAGCCATGTAATGCTGATCTACAGCAGCCATGTAATGCTGATCTGCAGCAGCCATGTAATGCTGGTCTACAGCAGCCATGTAATGCTGGTCTGCAGCAGCCATGTAATGCTGGTCTACAGCAGCCATGTAATGCTGGTCTACAGCAGCCATGTAATGCTAGTCAAGCTTCATGAGAACACAGGGGCAGACCATGAGTATTTCCCACCATCCGAGGAGACTTCCATAGATAAGGAGCACAGTTTTTTGGTTGTCCATCCACTTTCAGACTTTGGTCTTGTTCCAGAACTTGAGTTTTGTGTGCACATCCGTTTTACAAATCTGGCTAAATGTATACAGACTTGGCTCCCAGCCTCTCAGGCAGATGCACTCTGACTTTAAAGGAAACGCCCAATTAGTCACTTTTTACAACCTGCCTGTTACAGGGCAGCAAGTCTATTATTTCTTACCCAAAATGTAGACTCAAAACTTACACAGGGACTTCTGGATTGAGGCCAATGCCTCCACAGCCAAGCGACAGTATATAACAAAAGCATATGAAGCACTTAGTAATGCCCAATATAGGACAAGTGTCATGTGTATTACTCAAGATTCAGTCGCATAACAGGAGAACAACACAAGGAATTGCAACATGGGTGCACCCTCCCAACCCAGATAGTATCAGGGAGGCAAAGGGGTTAACAAGTTCAGGTGAATAATGATCGGAAAACTCCTGTTGCGCTAGCTTTGTGGCATTTCTATCCTTCTTGTAGTCCATGCCGTTTGGCGCTAGTAGTCATGTCTGTCCACAACCTTTTGTCTCATGTACTTTCAATCAATTCTGACACAGTTGATCCTCCATGCCATGATGTCAAACTGCCCAGCATCTTCTCTCTCAGTCTCCCTCTGCCGCTCTTCCTCTTCAAATATTCCTACCGGCATGACGTACCCCAGGTTTTTCACATATGATCTTTCACTCGCTGTCAAAATGTCCAGCACCTTCTCTCACTGTTTTCTTCGGCCTCTATTATATAACAGTAAACGAACAACAGTTAATTATCTAAATGGTAGAGGGATAGTACCTGGACAATGATCTCTAGCAGGTAAGGGCTCAAAAACAGCGGCACAGACTCAATGATCTTCTGAAGAGATGACACGGCAGCCAGCAGCAGGACCTCATGGCTGTCAGATCAAACATAAACACATTTCACCTCTCAACTGCCCCGATTTATCAATACCAATGGAAGTATACTTTTACCGGGAATTAAAACCAATAACTATGTCACTATTAACATTTAATATATTAGAACTAACTGTGACCATAAATGTATTTAATTAATTATGAATGTATACCACTAACCACAAATATATACCACTAATCACAAATGTAAACTACTATAGTCTGTTCCAAAAGTCGTACCAACTTTAAAAATCTGTAAATCAGTAACTGTTTGGTGAAAGTTGTTCAAATTTGGCATGCAACCTGTTAATAATCATGTCCCTGTAAGAAATGTCTTTAAAATGTAGACAAACATCAAGTTTTCATTTGGTCTTATCTGCGGTGTATGAAGGAAACAAAACCCAGACGATTCAAAGCAAACAATCAGCATGCTTACAGGTCACTGAGTAATGAGAACTTTTCAAAACATCAAACTGCGTGTGTTCAATAGGTGTTTCACTCTCAGGTGGTCAACTCCAGCATTAGACTCCAGTGAGTTACATGAACAAAATTTTTCATTGTATGCATGATAGGCTATAAAAAAAAATCAACAAGATTGCTGCACACATGACCTAAATTTCCAAACAACCTCCACGTCTGTGTCAATTACTGTATATTCTAATTTTTTTTAGAGGGTACACAAATAGTAAGTCAAACAAAGATCTAAGAAATTCGCTGCTTTAAGAAAACAGCAGAAGCTGTGCAACTGTTAATTATAAAATCATAGAGACATGCAAACATTTTGTTGACTGGCATAAGAGTTTTTAAGATTTTTGTTAAAGTGTGAAGGCATAACTTTTGAAACACACTATAACTATGAATGTACACTATTTATAGTGAATATATATACAACTGCGACTGTAAATGTATACCATTAACTATGAATGCATACTACTAACAATAAATATTTACTGCTAACCATGAATGTATATGATTAAATATGAAGGTATATAGATAACAAACAGTATATATTACTACTTTAAAGAAAATCCTTAGAATTCCTTGAACAGCTAAAAAAAAAAAAAAGCGATTAAGATGTCTTGAAAGAGTTGAGGACTTAAAGACAACTTATCACAAACATCAGAAAGAGACAGTCATCATTTTTTGGTCAGGTTATGAGAAGAAGGAAACAAGAACATGTTGTCTTCTTCTTCTTCTTCGCGTTCACCAGCTGTACACTCTGGCGTAAAGTTCTGGTTGTTCGTCCACTTCTGGACTGCAGTCCTGCTCCAGAACCTGAGTGTTGCGTGTGCATCAGTTTTACAGATCTGATTCAAAAAATAGAGACTGCTGGTTCCTTGCCTCTCAGGCAGATGCACTCCGACTTCAAAGGAAGCTCCCCAGTTAGTCGACTCTTACGACATACTTTTGGGGAGGCAGTGGGTCTATTCTTGTTTTCCCCACAATAGGGCCCCGGAACCCACACAGGGGACTAGAACATGTTGCGACCACTGGAAAGATCTGTGGAAAGAGAGACAGAGGAAGACAAAGAGAGAAGATTCTTGACAGCCTTTTTGCATGGTGATTTGACAATACAGATACACGCGGCTGCAGATCGCAGAGTGAGGAAAGGCATGATCACCCATGCCAGTCTGAAAAGCATTTGACGATGACGATGATATACTACAACTACAAATGTATACTACTAATCGATATTGTATTCTACTAACCATCAGTATATATAACCATGAATGTATACTACTAATCGATATTGTATTCCACTAACCATCAGTATATATAACCATGAATGTATACTACTAACCGATATTGTATTCCACTAACCATCAGTATATATAACCATGAATGTATACTACTAACCGATATTGTATTCCACTAACCATCAGTATATATAACCATGAATGTATACTACTAACCGATATTGTATTCCACTAACCATCAGTATATATAACCATGAATGTATACTACTAACCGATATTGTATTCCACTAACCATCAGTATATATAACCATGAATGTATACTACTAACCGATATTGTATTCCACTAACCATCAGTATATATAACCATGAATGTATACTACTAACCGATATTGTATTCCACTAACCATCAGTATATATAACCATGAATGTATACTACTAACCGATATTGTATTCCACTAACCATCAGTATATATAACCATGAATGTATACTACTAACCGATATTGTATTCCACTAACCATCAGTATATATAACCATGAATGTATACTACTAACCGATATTGTATTCCACTAACCATCAGTATATATAACCATGAATGTATACTACTAACCGATATTGTATTCTACTAACCATCAGTATATATAACCATGAATGTATACTACTAACCGATATTGTATTCCACTAACCATCAGTATATATAACCATGAATGTATACTACTAACCGATATTGTATTCCACTAACCATCAGTATATATAACCATGAATGTATACTACTAACCGATATTGTATTCCACTAACCATCAGTATATATAACCATGAATGTATACTACTAACCGATATTGTATTCCACTAACCCATCAGTATATATAACCATGAATGTATACTACTAACCGATATTGTATTCCACTAACCATCAGTATATATAACCATGAATGTATACTACTAACCGATATTGTATTCCACTAACCATCAGTATATATAACCATGAATGTATACTACTAACCGATATTGTATTCCACTAACCATCAGTATATATAACCATGAATGTATACTACTAATCGATATTGTATTCTACTAACCATCAGTATATATAACCATGAATGTATACTACTAACCGATATTGTATTCCACTAACCATCAGTATATATAACCATGAATGTATACTACTAATCGATATTGTATTCCACTAACCATCAGTATATATAATCATGAATGTATACTACTAACCGATATTGTATTCCACTAACCATCAGTATATATAACCATGAATGTATACTACTAATCGATATTGTATTCCACTAACCATCAGTATATATAACCATGAATGTATACTACTAATCGATATTGTATTCTACTAACCATCAGTATATATAATCATGAATGTATACTACTAACCGATATTGTATTCCACTAACCATCAGTATATATAACCATGAATGTATACTACTAATCGATATTGTATTCTACTAACCATCAGTATATATAACCATGAATGTATACTACTAACCGATATTGTATTCCACTAACCATCAGTATATATAACCATGAATGTATACTACTAATCGATATTGTATTCCACTAACCATCAGTATATATAATCATGAATGTATACTACTAACCGATATTGTATTCCACTAACCATCAGTATATATAACCATGAATGTATACTACTAATCGATATTGTATTCTACTAACCATCAGTATATATAACCATGAATGTATACTACTAATCGATATTGTATTCTACTAACCATCAGTATATATAACCATGAATGTATACTACTAATCGATATTGTATTCCACTAACCATCAGTATATATAATCATGAATGTATACTACTAATTACAGAGTACACAACTCCCAGTGAATGTAGACTACTCACCGTGTGATGTCCTCCGACTGAAGCTGTGAGATGACCTGAGGCATGAAATCCCCCAACAGCTGAATGCAGTGAAGTTTAACGCAGCTGACAACTTCAGCAATACACAGCATTGCTGTCGCAGACACCACTCCATTGTCATGGTGACGGGTGAGAACTTTCACACAGACTTTCAGAACCTGCAGGCAGCAGAGCAGATAGGATGAAAATATAAAGATAAAAAAAAGAATATTTTTTTATACAGTGACTGGTGCTTAAGAGATTAGATTATATGTCTTACAGTATATCTTTCAGGTAAATGTTGTACATCTAAGCGGCTACTATAGAAAATAAGCTAGTTACTTAAGTTTTGTGTATTCGTGTCTGTACACATAGTTTTGCTGATTTTGTAGTTTGTTGCTGATAAAGGCTCTCTAGCTGCAATGTGTCACCTTCTGTTTGTGTTTTGTTACATTATGAAGCTCACTGGTCTACTTTTCGTCTGGTTTTATATCTTTTCATTACAGTATATCACAAGTCGGCTCTGTGGCTAAGTCGATGCGAATGATTCGTAATGTCGAGTTCGATCCCAGCTGCGGGCCATGCACCTTGCGTTGGTTTCGACAGTGGTATCAAGAAAACTGACCATCCAGAAAGCAATGGCAAACTACTAGACGTAAATTTGCCTAGAAAACCCATACAATAGCCAGGGGCTGTTGGGGTTGGTTCTGCAACGTCCTGTAAAGGATACACAACTAACCTATATCACAAGTGTTTTGCTGAATGCAACAGTGTAAACTGCAAGTTTGGTTTGTTCGTTTTGTACTATGAAAAAATGATTCAAGAACTGAACCAGTGCAGTCGATACTGTCCCACATGAACTCTACCTTCCTTCCTCAGTAATCAAGAGGAGAACATTCTGACCCTAGCTGCCCCTTTCCTCATTGGCCAATGAAAAGAACATTCCTGCACAAGCTGCTTCCCCCTCCTCAGCAGCTAATAAAGAGGACATTCCATCAGGAGCTGTCCTCTCACAACCAATGAGGACGACTTTCTCACATGAGCTCTCTCCCTTTCCTCAGCAGCCAAGGAAGAGAACATTCCCACACAAGCTGTCCCCTTCCTCTGGCCGACAGCAAAGTTGACATTCCCACACAAGCTGTCAATTTCCTCTGGCTGACAGCAAAGTTGACATTCCCACACAAGCCGTCCCCTTCCTCTGGCCGACAGCAAAGTTGACATTCCCAAACAAGCTGTCCATTTCCTCTGGCCAATAAAAAAGACATTCCCACAAGATCTCTGTCCCCTTTCTCGGCAGCCAATAAACAGGAAATTCCTTCTTCTTCTTCGCGTTCACCAGCTGTACACTCTATCGGAAAGTTCTGGTTGCTCGTCCACTACTGAACTGCAGTCCTGCTCCAGAACCTGAGTTTTGCGTGTGCATCAGTTTTACAGATCTCATTCTCTTGAATACAGACTGTTGGTTCCTTGCCTCTCCGGCAGATGCACTCCGACTTCAAAGGAAGCTCCCCAGTAAGTCGACTCTTACGACATGCTTTTGGGGAGGCAGTGGGTCTATTCTTGTTTTCCCCACAATGGGACCCCGGAACACACACGGGGGTAACAGGATATTCCAACTTGAGCTCTGTCCTCCTCAGGAGCCAATCAACAGATCCATACCGAAGGTACCTATTGCAGCCTGATTAAAATTACACATATCATTTTTGTTTGACACAACCGCAGGGACAGCAAGTAATACCTCAATAAAATGTTTGTGGTTCTTTTCTCCCAGAATCCTACACAAAACCTTGAGACTGTACAGGGCTGTCTGCCCATTGACAACCTCTTCATCTTTGGAGTTTGTTTTGGTCCCCTTCAGCAGAGTCTTGTGGACAATGGACTGCAGTTTTGTTGTGATGGACAACAGCTTTTCAACCTACAAAAATATGAGCATTGAATGTTACAAAGAATTGGAAACAAGTGACCGTCTTTACAATTAGAAAATGTGAATTACACACAACCAACCATTTCTAGAAAACAAAATATTTGAATTAAGTCCAACCGATTATATCTCTCCTTTAAATGTTCATTGTGAACTAGAAACATTAGATCCGATGTGTTTGCATGCGTGTTATTCAACCTCAGTTTTATAAAAATAAATGTATGCAACCCACAGTTCTGGATACTTGTCATTTTCCATAGTTGAACTTCTGCTGAACGCTGTGGGTTTGTTTCACAGGCTTCGCCATCCGGTTCATGAGTGCAATTTTTATGGAGATCTATGGGGATCGTCGCTGGAGCTATGGTGTTCATGTTCTGTGTAACATTCTCAGCTATTCGCTCTGTGAGACTGAGCCATATGGTGAAAAAACCCAGTGCACCTTGACCTTGAAAAACCAGCATAGTGTGCAAGACCAATACAGAAACATCACATAAGTGGAGAAGTATTTAAGGTAACAGGGTCATGACTGAGCCTAGCACATACACAGGGGATGGTATTAGGGCCAGGTGAGTAGTTTTATCTAAACAGATGGTATTAAGCCCAGGTGGATAGTTCTATCTAAACAGATGGTATTAAGCCCAGGTGGATAGTTTTATCTAAACAGATGGTATTAAGTCCAGGTGGATAGTTTTATCTAAACAGATGGTATTAAGCCCAGGTGAGTAGTTTTATCTAAACAGATGGTATTAGGCCCAGGTGATTAGTTTTATCTAAACAGATGGTATTAGGCCCAGGTGATTAGTTTTATCTAAACAGATGGTATTAGGGCCAGGTGGATAGTTTTATCTAAACAGATGGTATTAGGCCCGGGTGATTAGTTTTATCTAAACAGATGGTATTAAGTCCAGGTGGATAGTTTTATATAAAAAGATGGTATTAAGCCCAGGTGGATAGTTTTATCTAAACAGATGGTATTAAGTCCAGGTGGATAGTTTTATATAAAAAGATGGTATTAAGCCCAGGTGGATAGTTTTATCTAAACAGATGGTATTAAGTCCAGGTGGATAGTTTTATCTAAACAGATGGTATTAAGTCCAGGTGGATAGTTTTATCTAAACAGATGGTATTAAGTCCAGGTGGATAGTTTTATATAAAAAGATGGTATTAAGTCCAGGTGGATAGTTTTATATAAAAAGATGGTATTAAGCCCAGGTGGGTAGTTTTATCTAAACAGATGGTATTAAGCCCTAGTGTATAGTTTTATCTAAACAGATGGTATTAAGCCCTAGTGTATAGTTTTATCTAAACAGATGGTATTAAGCCCTAGTGTGTAGCTTTATCTACATGGGCTTTAGGAACTGCATTGAGAACATACTCTATCCCAATACCCTGGGTAGAGACAAGTTACAGTTCCAACAACAATCAATAGGGAGAGACTGATTGATTACCTGACTGGGAGACAAGCCCTCCTTGTAGTGCTGCAGCTTGGTGTTGAGTAGCTCCATGGCTCTTCTTTGTACCAGAGGCAGTGAGTGACTCATCAACCCCAGGACCACGTCCAGAAACATGGAGTCTGGCAGTAGGTTCACCAGCTGTTAAATTATTATAAAACACACTTTACATGAATGAAACATGGAGTTTGGCGGCAGGTTCATCAGTTGCTAAATTTAAATAAAACACTTTACAAGAATGAAACATGTAGTTTGGCGTCAGGTACACCAATTGTTAAATGCAGATAAAACCCACTTCCTGTGGCAGGTTCACCAACTGTTAAATTCACAGGATTAAAGGCTGGACGGAATGTCCTACATTATGTCCTGTGTTTCAAGAAATAGCAACAACAAAAATAATAAAAAAAAAAAAAAAAAAAAACAACTTCACTGCATGTCATCTACTAGACATAGATATGGACTACACACAATGCACAGGCACCTTTTGAAATTTGCATGAATAGTCAGATTTAGGACTCACCTTGTATATTATGTAAACAAAAGGAACATACGCTTAACCTAAAACTTCCGTGATAAGATGCACAGTGAAATAACTGACCATGTGATTTGTATTTCAGTTAAAAGAATTAATTGCTGTTATTCACTACATATTGGTGTAAATTTTTTTAATAAACCTGACAAGATTAGGCAAAATATACCAGGCAATAAATTGTGCAAAATATTATTTGTGACTCATTATTTAAATTCAAAATGAGAGAACAGTTTTCAGGAAAAAAAAAAAAACAACAACTGAGAACTCACATGATCCAGCAGGTCATGCGACTTGTGAAGCAGAAGTCTCCAGAACCTGCTGGTATGTTCGTCTTTGTGAGAATCATGTGAGTGTGTCACCTGACCAATGAACTGCAGAACGGCTTCCATGACGGACTGGTAAGTGGCCAGGAAAGAGGACGGCTCCATTTCAGCCAGCTAGAGGGAATGAACAAAACAAAGACAAATGTTTAAAAATTACTAATCCCAGTATGTTGTCAATGCCAAACGTGGACACTTGCATCCTCCAATGAACATAAAATTATGACAACAAAGATGAAATGCCTTAGAAGAGCTGCAGGAGTTTTAAGGAAAGACAGAATACGAAATCATGAAATCAGACGAATGCTAGGAATAAAGCCAGACTTACAGGTCATCAAAGAACAACAAATGAAGTGGTTTGGACTTGTTAGAATGCCCTGATACTATCTGCCACAGCGAGCCACACTAAAACATTACAACGGGTATAGAGCGAGTGGAAGACCTAGGAAAATATGGAGTGATGGCATTAAGAACAGCCTTACAGAAATGAACACCAGTCTTGACAGAACTCATCAACGAACATTACATCTCCCCTCAACACTTCGATGAGGTACAAGGTGGAAGAGAGAAGAAGAAGTATAAGGTCTAGATAGGCCAAACAAACTATATTAAAGTAAAAAAAAAATATATGGCTAATGATGGCTAAAAATTTACCAAGCTACGCTAGAGTGACTCCAGCAAAAGGTAAAGTAAAAAACCCTTTTTACGTCAGCTGTGCTTCGTGTATATGATTTTGGACTCATATTGTGTTGCTCGCATTCACTGGCTGTAAATCCCGGCAGAAAGACCTGGTTGTTCACTATCTCTAGACTTTGGCTCTGTTCTAGGGCGTGAGTTTTGGGTGTGGACCTGTTTTACATATCTTGCTTATTTGTATGCAGACTGTTGGTTCCTTGCCTCTCAGGCAGAAGCACTCAAGACTCTGAAGGAAGCCCCCATTTAGTCGACTCCTACAACATGCTTGTCGGGTAGGCAGTGGGTCTGTTCTTGTTTTCCCCACAATGGGACCCCGGAACCCACAAGGGGAACTCACATTTTTATAAACCAATTGGCACTTGGCGACAATGTGGTCAACATCATAGTGGCCGCTTCTACTTTTCAGGTTTTAACCTTGTACCCACTTTAGACTCAAGTCAACTGGGAACAAAAGAATAGATCCACTGTCCGAAGTTGGAGACTCCTTCAAAGTCAATGTGCTTTTGCTTGACAGAAGAAGCCCCAAGTTTATATACAAATAAGCAAGATCTGTAAAATGGATATGCATGCAAATTTCAAGTCCTGAATAATGACTAAAATCCAGAAGTGGCTGAACAACCGGAACTTTCCACTGGAGTTTATAGCCTGAAAACATTAAGAAAAAGAAGAACAGGTGACAAACACTAGACTAATTGAACAACCGCTCACCTGTGACACTAAATGTTGGCTAGACACAAGATGGTTCAAGATGTACACCAGGGCAAACTTGAAGTGTCTCAGCTGTTTGGCTGTGTGGTAGTTGACACTGAAGATTTCTACGTCCGGGTTCAAATCTTCAAAATTGGGAGCTTCCTTGCCAGCCTGCACTGCTGTGTTTAAATTCAAAACAAGACATTATAAAACAGCAACAGAAACATAAACATAACAGGAAATCTGTAACATATTTGAACTCACAGCCCTTATCATCATCTTATTGTGATGTTATACGTCTCATAGAACCCATAATCCGGTCTTCCCTTCTGTGCAATCCTTTAGATATCATGGACAGAATCCAGTCCAGCACGTCTCAACAACATTTGTCTCAGCGTTTCTCTCGGACGTCCTTGATCTCTTTCAATGTATTTTGTACCCATATTGAGTTGGGTCAGCCTAGAAGCCAATTAAAAAAAACAAAAAACTGCTTCAGTGTGGATTTAAACCTTAGATCTTTGGGCTGACAAGCAAGTATCTCCCACTGTTTAAGTCTGGTGGTGTAACTATGTGGCAGCTGTTGTGTCAGAAGTATGAGCTTGGAGAGGACAAGGAGATCCCCCCAATTCAGTCTCCATGGAGATGGTACTTTGGTACTGAATCCCCATATGCGGGGAAGGGGCAGACCCAATGCAACCTCTGACAAGCATGTTGTACAAGGCAACTAATCAGGAGAGTTTCCTTCAAAGAAAGAGTGCAGCTGACTGAAAGGCGAAGAATCAACAGTCTGCTTATAAATAAGGCAGATCTGTAAAACAGATGTGCTTGCAAAACTCAAAAGTTATGGAACAAGATCGAAGTCCAGTAGTGGATAAACAACCAGAGCTTTCTGCTGAAGTTTACAGCCAGTGAACGCTGAGAAGAAGAAAGGTACTGGACCAGAAGCAAACTATCTACACTAGCTTGACTCTGGCGAGGTCAGTCCTCTTCAAGGCTCAACAGAACTGAATATTAATAAAATGTATTATTTCTTCTACTCAAGTCCTGTTCCACCTTTCAGCATCAGGTTTGCAAGAGGCACTGGGCCTTGGTATGTGTTAAATAGATACTGGTATTCACAACCTCGGATATAATATTCAACCATCCATAACGTGTTCATGGATTTGTAAGCATAGCAAGCTGGTTAGGTAGCAGTATGTCTATTCTCTTTCACCGCCAAAATTGGGGAGCTGGAACCCACAGAGTAACAAGCAACCAATCTATTCTAGAACATAAGAAAGTGTAACAAATAATTAACCACTCACCTCCCTGCTTCTCCTCTGGAAGTTGAATGACATAGGTAACGGCCTGATAGAAGCACTGCAGCAACTGAGGTCCTGAGAACTTCTCACACAAGCTGGTGAGAAATTCCAGATCTGATGTCGTCACGGGACCAGAAGGCTGAGGAGTAGCCACAAAAACCAGTGGTTTAATGATGTTAGTTGTTTAGTCGACTGCACTGTCCAGTATTAACTCAATTCTAAAACAAACACAAATTGGCTGGGCAGGTCATATAGTCTGCATGTCTGATCACCGACATCCAAAAGGAATTTTCTATGGTAAGCTATTAAAAGAAAAACGCTCACGGTGGACAGAATTTTTTTTTTCAAGGACAGCCTCAAGACCTCACTGAAAGACTTTTGAAAGATCCTAAAACCTGGGAAGTCACTGCATGTGACCTCTTATCCTGGCGCTCCTCTTTTTATTGAGGAGCTGTGCCCAAGAAGTTGCTAGAACTGCAGCAACAATTCAGAAAAGACAAGACAGGAAAGACACTGAAGCAAATCACCACAGAGATGCAGCTTCAATTCTCTGGCCACATTGCTCAAGAACTTTCAGTGCTAGAATTGGTCTTAACAGCCATCTGCGCACTCACAAAACCCAACCCAGTCACCATTGGATGAAGGGACTGGTCATCCTCACTTGTGATGGACAAACAACAACAAAAACCAAACAATATTTAACTGACCGTTTATCTTTCTCGCACAAGTTCATAAGCATTCATATCCCATCTTTATAATTTTAAAATGGCTTTAGAGGAATGCCAAGATGCAACAGCGGTGGGGTAGCAACTAAACAAAGAAAAGCTGAGTGGCTCAAAAGCGTGATGTGTGCAACCATACTCAAACATCAAAAGTGTGATTTGTTCAACCATACTCAAACATCAAAAGTGCGATGTGTGCAACCATACTCAAACATCAAAAGTGTGATGTGTTCAACCATACTCAAACATCAAAAGTGTGATGTGTTCAACCATACTCAAACATCAAAAGTGTGATGTGTTCAACCATACTCAAACATCAAAAGTGTGATGTGTTCAACCATACTCAAACATCTAAAGTGTGATGTGTGCAACCATACTCAAACATCAAAAGTGTGATGTGTGCAACCATACTCAAACATCTAAAGTGTGATGTGTTCAACCATACTCAAACATTGAAAGTGTGATGTGTTCAACCATACTCAAACATCAAAAGTGTGGTGTGCAACCATACTCAAACATCTAAAGTGTGATGTGTTCAACCATACTCAAACATCTAAAGTGTGATGTGTGCAACCATACTCAAACTTCAAAAGTGTGATGTGTGCAACCATACTCAAACATCTAAAGTGTGATGTGTGCAACCATACTCAAACATCTAAAGTGTGATGTGTGCAACCATACTCAAACATCTAAAGTGTGATGTGTTCAACCATACTCAAACATCTAAAGTGTGATGTGTGCAACCATACTCAAACATCAAAAGTGTGATGTGTGCAACCATACTCAAACATCTAAAGTGTGATGTGTGCAACCATACTCAAACATCAAAAGTGTGGTGTTCAACCATACTCAAACATTGAAAGTGTGATGTGTTCAACCATAAACATCAAAAGTGTGATGTGTTCAACCATACTCAAACATGAAAAGTGTGATGTGTTCAACCATAAACATCTAAAGTGTGATGTGTGCAACCATACTCAAACATCAAAAGTGTGATGTGTGCAACCATACTCAAACATCTAAAGTGTGATGTGTTTAACCATACTCAAACATTGAAAGTGTGATGTGTTCAACCATAAACATCAAAAGTGTGATGTGTTCAACCATACTCAAACATGAAAAGTGTGATGTGTTCAACCATAAACATCTAAAGTGTGATGTGTGCAACCATACTCAAACATCAAAAGTGTGATGTGTGCAACCATACTCAAACATCAAAAGTGTGGTGTTCAACCATACTCAAACATTGAAAGTGTGATGTGTTCAACCATACTCAAACATCAAAAGTGTGATGTGTTCAACCATACTCAAACATCAAAAGTGTGATGTGTTCAACCATACTCAAACATCAAAAGTGTGATGTGTTCAACCATAAACATCAAAAGTGTGATGTGTTCAACCATACTCAAACATCAAAAGTGTGATGTGTTCAACCATACTCAAACATCAAAAGTGTGATGTGTTCAACCATAAACATCAAAAGTGTGATGTGTTCAACCATACTCAAACATCAAAAGTGTGATGTGTTCAACCATACTCAAACATCTAAAGTGTGATGGTTTCAACCATACTCAAACATCAAAAGTGTGATGTGTTCAACCATACTCAAACATTGAAAGTGTGATGTGTTCAACCATATTCAAACAGACCTGGTATCATTCTCATTACCAAAAGTATGCATATTCTCCTTCTCGAGTGTGGTACTAAAAAAATTTTCTCTAATATTTAAGATCAGAAGTCTTGACTTCAGCTACTGTAAGTAACTACTTACACATGAAACAAAAAAAGCACAATACCTTGTCTTCATCAGGGACCGTGTCGACTTTCTCCTCCACTGACTGCTTGGACGACCTGACAGTGACACTTTCAATGAACAGAAGGATCAGCCTCCATAGGTACTTCTCAGCTCCGACCACGGTCATCAGTTTGTCAAACAGCATGATCTTTCTGTGCGCTGGGATGTGGGGGATGGCATCCACAAAGACCCGCAGCACGGCAGACATCATGTCCTCTGACTGGACATTCTTGGCTGCAGCGAGTGGCTTGGATGAGTTGGTTCTAGTGGTCATCTTGTCTCGGCTCTTCTCCTCGCAAGCCTAGATGTCAGGAATACAGAAGAGTTTTTCAGTCAAAAAACTGTACCTATTTGTTTATAGACAATCCTCATCTGGTTTCCAGGAAGACAAAGGAACAGACTCACTGCCCCTTACCATCTCCAACAACCATGTCGTAAAAGGTAACTAATTAGGGGTATTTCTTTCAAAGTCGGAGTGCATCTGCCTGAGAGGCAAGGAACCGACAGTCAGAATATAAATAAACCAGATCTGTAAAATGCATGTGCATGTAAAACTCTTCTGGAAGAAGACCAAAATCCAGAAGTGGATGAACCCTCAGAATTTTCCATCAGAGATTACAGCCTGTGAATGATGAAAAGCTATAGATAAAAAGAAAAAAATACAAACAAACCAGCTCCAGAATGAGTCTAACAAGTGCAATATCTAGTGATCAATCATGCACAATCTAGTGATCTTTATTTAATCTACAGATCTATCATTTATCATCTTGCAATCTGTCTAAGCATTAAGTGATCTATTACCTACTATCTAACGACCTATAATTTGTCATTAAATGAACACAAATCCACCCCAACAAAAGTCTAAAAAATATGTGACACTCACAGACAGATGTTGCATTCACAGAAAGATGTGGCATTCACAGAAAGATGTGGCATTCACAGAAAGATGGGACACTCAGAAAGATGTGACTGTCAGAAAAATGTGATTCTCAGAAAGATGTGACTCTGTCAGAAAGATGTGACACTCTCAGAAAGATGTGACACTCTCAGAAAGATGTGACCCTTTCAGAAAGATGTGACTGTCAGAAAAATGTGATTCTCAGAAAGATGTGACACTCTCAGAAAGATGTGACTCTGTCAGAAAGATGTGACACTCTCAGAAAGATGTGACCCTTTCAGAAAGATGTGACATTCCCAGAAAGATGTGACACTCTCAGAAAGATGTGACATTCTTAGAAAGATGCGACATTCTCAGAAAGACTCACAAAGCCTACTTACCATAACTAGGGCAGGTATGACATTCTCCAGAATCCGACCAATGACGTGGAAGCTGTAGGCATCATCCTGGCGCAGAATGTTGGCTCCCATGAATGTGAAAACAGTCATCATGTTGTGCAGCAGCAGATCCTGTAGAAGCAACAATAAATACATTGAAATGTGTTCCACTCTATCACAGTAAATAGTTTCTTGTTAGACTTATTTACAAAACCAAAGTTTGGGGTTACTAATGTAACCAATCAAAGTTTATTATTAGACTAATCTAGCCAATCAAAGTTTGGGGTTAGACAAATCAAATCAAAGTTTGGGGTTAGATTAATCTAACCAATCAAAGTTTGGGGTTAGATAATTCTAACCAATCAAAGTTTGTTAGACTAAATCTAGCTAATCAAAGTTAGGCATTAAACTAATCTATCAAATCAAATCTAATCTAACAAATCAAAGACTGGGGTTGGACTAATCTAGCTTATCAAAGTTTGAGATAAGAATAATCTAGCTAATCAAGGACTGAGGGTTAGACTAATTTAGCCAATGAAAAACAGGGTTAGACTAATCTAGCCAATCAAAGTTTGGGGTTAGACTAATCTAACCAATCAAAGTTTGGCATTGGATTAATCTAACAAATCAATGACTATTCTAACAAATCAAAGACTGGGGTTGGGCTAAGCTAATCTAGCCAATCCAAGACTGCAATCAATGATGATAATAACAACATAATGAAACTAACAAAGCCAGACTTACGGGTGATATCTTGGCTGCAGTACTCAGTAACATCAGGGCCTGCTGGTGGGTGTGAGGGTTGTCAGAACTTCTAATACACTGAACAATCAAATCCATGTTCAGATGCTCTCCTTTGACAGCTAATTGGCCAACAGAAAGAATTACATCAGATTCACCATCCTAGTTTATTAATCATCAAATACTGGGAAATTTATGTGGTGGTTTCGCTATCATTTCACACCTATATAAGAGATTCCATGCAATAAATATTGTATTGAGAGTCACCTTTCACCAGGTTCTCTTCCAGCCTTGGTTGGCTCAGTCGCCAGGTCAATAATTGGCAGGTCTTGTACAAATCATTGCCCTAGTCATAGCACATCTAAAAGTCTGTCTTTCTCTACCTCTATGAGCTTTCATCATCATCATCATCAGTTCTCGTCATGCCTAGTGGCACATTGGGCTTCAGAGAGGACTTTCCATGCTTACCTGTCCTGTGCAATCTTCAGTGCAGTTTTCCATGTCACAGATGCTGCACTCAGGTCACTTTCCATCGTTCGTCTCCATGTTGTTTTTGGGCGCCCCTGTTTTCTCTTTCCCTCTGGTGTCCATGTGAAAGCTGTTTTGGCAGGTATATTAGGATGCATTCTCATTACGTGGCCAAGCCATTTCCATCTTCTCTTGGTTATCATACTGTCTAAAGTTATGTGCTTTCGTAGCCAATGCATGTTCAATGTTCTGTATCTACTTTCGTAAAGGTCTGCCTCTGCCTCATTTTCCAGAAACGACCCACCATCCCTACTCTCTCTAAGCCACCACAATGTTCAACATGGCCAAAATACCCCAGCTTTTGGGACAGGATGCTGTTTATCAGTCAATTCTCCTTGATGCTCATATCAGGTAGGATGTTGGGGTTTTTCTTCTTGGTAGCTGGCAGACACTGCCTCTGTACATTCTAGGCAATCCGTTATAATAAAGGGTGTGCTATTCCCCACATTTCCCTCACAGACAATTCCCAAAAAACTCATAAACACATCTCTTCCATGAGACAAAGACCACACCATGTGACAAAGACCACACCATGTGACAAAGATTAGGCCATGTGACAAAGACCACACCATGTGACAAAGACCACACTATGTGACAAAGACCACACCATGTGTCAAAGACCACATCATGTGTCAAAGACCACATCACGCAACAAAGACCACACCATGTGACAAAGACCACACCATGTGACAAAGACCACACCATATGGCAAAAAACTCTGCCATGTGACAAAGATCACACTTACCATCTGCAGCGCTGTCACCACTAACATCCGGATGCTTTGAACAGATGAAGTGTACTGTGCCCAGCAGAAGCTGTTTGATGTACTCTCCTGATCCCTTTTGCTCAATCTCCAGCACTCTGTCAAATACAATAATAATGTCAGATCATATCCAACACTGAACAAGTTGTCAGTGACATGTGTGCCACATATAAATGTTATTAGGTGATGAGGTGTCAGGTTACTTTTCTCACCATTGTTTATTTCTTCCCTATTTCCAGTTACCTATTTTGCAACTGGGCGTGTCCCTGTGAAATGTGACCTTAGTTACAATTATTATTCTAATTTATTTGGGAGAATCGATCCAGCGGCGCATGAGCTTTCGCCCTTTGGCCCAATGCCATGTAGTGGAATTTGCATGTTTTCACAAGCTGTTCTTTTCCTCCGTACAAGGTGTTCCACTTGTCTGGTCTCGGAGGGAGTAGCGTTCTTCTTGTCTCACTGAGTTTTGGGCACTCATTTGGGAGAAAGATCCTTGTGGAAAAACAAATGTAAATCTGGTTTCAGATCTTCTTCTGCTTCTTAGTGGGCATCGGCTGTAAACCCCAGCATAAAGTTTTGGTTGTTAATCCACTTATGTGATCTTGCTTGCATGCAAACCTGTTTTACAGATGTAGCTTATTTGTATGCAGACTGCTTGTTCCCCACCTTTAAGACAGATGCACTGACTTCGGTTATCTGTTACGACATGCTGTGGGAGAAAGTGGGTCTATTTCTTTTTGCCCCCCCCCCCCCTAAAAGGGGTCCCTGGAACCCACACAGAGAGTTGCGGGCTTCATGCAGTGACAGGCTATGTAGAATACAGTTCTGTGTCTGTTACTGTGGACGAACACATCATAATTCCCAAATACAATAAAGTAACTAATTAAGCAAGCAAAGAAAGAGCCTTCATCATGCTTTGTGGCTCATCAGGCATCCGCTGCTGTATATCTGTGTTACAGACCAATCAGCAGCTGACGAGTGTTGTGGTAAGAACTTCCTCTTCTACATTTACAAAAAAGGATCTTTTCTGCCCTTTTCAACATCCACTTTAGGCTGGGCCAATAAAAAAAACTGGCCAAGTTCTAGACTTAAACTATTCCAGTCTGGCAGAAGTGCAAGTGACTGCACTACAGCAGCTGCTATCATTCTAAAATAGACAATTAATGGCTGTCCCCATGTGGGATGCAATTTTGTGTTATTTCAAAGCCTCACCCTGGCTGTTGCCGGGGGCCCTGATATAACCCAACCCGTGGGTTAAACAGGGTTTCTGGGGCCTGCCCCCGGTTGACTCTAATCCGAATGGTGGCACCGGGTGTTTATCTCTTGGCGCGATGTCCTGGTGGGGTAAAACATTGTGTGAATAGATTTAGCTACAACTTTACAAAGTGCTGTGGCGTCTAAAGCTACCCCGCATCAACACGCTCGTATATTACCAATGAAAAAAACTTTGCTTACCTGCCGAGAACTTGGAAAGCAACTGGCACAATGAGGACAGCGTTGGTGACCTTCTTCTTGCTCTGTATCATCTCCAGCAGAATGACAATCCTCTTCCATGCCAGAGAGTCCAACTCAGAATTCTGACTGCTAAAATACAAAGATGTCAATAACATTTTTAATTATTTCTATTTTAAAGACAGCAAGATCATGGCTATGATTAAGATCCATGGCTAGGATAAGTCTAAAATCATGGCTTGGAACAAAGGTCTAAAATCATGGCTTGGAAAAATGGTATGAAATCCTGGCTTGGAAAAAAGGTCTGAAATCATGGCTTGGAAAAAAAGTCTAAAATCATTAATACTGAGTTCATAGTGAAATACAAAATTTTTTCCTAAAGGTTTTCATGGAATTTTCTACTTTTCAAGGCTAGACCAGACATAAGCAGTTTTTGGTTCTGCACAAACATGCAGATATACAGTTTTTGTGTGTGGTACATCTGTTCTAGTCTTGGCATCAGAGAGGAACCAGTAGAAAGGAAGATCATTATCAGAATTAGGAAAACTGAACGCATGGTAGCTTTCAAGAACACTGAAAATTTAATTTGTTTTATACATAGTGAGGGTGAAAAATCAAACAGGTAAGTCATATTCACAGGCTACCTTGTCCTTTCTAGAGGCAAGAACTGGGGAAAATGTACCGGATAAATGTCGTTCCTTTTTTCTGACGTTTGTCAGGTACATAAGGAATTGCACTACAGTCAGAAGGAGGTGGGGAACTGCTTCAGTATAAGGTTTTTCATTTTTTTTTTATAAGTAGCAATGACTAACATACACCACACCACTACAAATGAACTCTCCTGCCTGTCACACAAAATGTCCTGTTGGTGGACACATTTCAAGGACTTTAGACTTGAACATTTGTCAAGGTTTTGTTAAACCCTCTTAGCACGGACGGGCCGATTATCGGCCGGCGGATGTCTGGCCAAAAACACGGAACGGCTGATGATCGGCCTGATCGTGTTTCACCTCGAACAGCTAAGAAATCTTCTATTTTGAAACACTGAAAGTGATTCATTCATATTAACTTCTGTATTAGCCTTTACAAATGGCGACTTTCGAGTGTTTTGTATCGAAGTGAAAATTTTTGTTGAATTTTTTAGATAGTGACCTGAACCGCTAAAAGTACGTCTGACTCGTATGTTTCTGCCCTAAACTTTACAGATTTTTACAGGAATCCTAATGGAGTTTACATTACCTTTTTTTTTTGTAAAGAGTTCTCAGGGCAAAAGGATTAACAGGACAGCTACTCTGGGACCAAGAAAAAAAATGCAATAAAAAAAAAATACTCACGACTTCTGACGTTTGGCCTCTCGAACTGTCGTCACTGATGATGTTGTCAGCACAGACTTGAGCTCATCAACAATCAGGCTTGACTCCATGGCCATCTAAAGCACAGTCCACATCATGTTCAGTCTTTGTAATAATTTACATTTTAAGTGTATGTAAAGTCTTTCACGCAAATGTTTACAGAAATCAATTCTGCTTCAGATGCCTGATCTAAAGCAGACATTTCCAGGACCAGGATGTTATGTCTTCCTTCAATTTACAACTCATTTCCACACTCAAAAAAAAAGCAAATTTTTTTTTAGACATGTTACAAGTAGAGAAAACTTAAAATATAGAAGACAAGGAGAGAGATTTTCTCACAGGCTCTGGACATGGCTCAAAAATGTGTCAGTCAATGAATACAAGCTCTCCTTGACTCCGACTGAGTTCCATTCCAAGTAAAAGGTTATAAGTTGTACTTATCGTAAATCAAACATATTTTTCAACACAATTTCCATCCAGTAAACTAATCACAGACAGACTGCGATATGCTGAAGGATAAAAAAAAAAAAGACTCCCATTTCGAAACTCTGATACACCCCAGCCATCAATTCCGGGACTTTTTGACCCAACCACTGCAGTGTTTTTTTAAAATTTGTTAATTTTATTTATTTACAATTTTGTGTGTGGTGGCGGTGGTGGTGGGGGTGGGGGGGGAGCTCATAAGTGTAGATGGCTGTAAGTCAAGAAGAAAGTGTACCAATTAATAAAAAGGTGAAGGACACCCACAGCGGTAAAAGAGGAAGTGAAGAAGAAGAAGGATATGTACAGGTACTACAGAGGACATACCAGGCTAAGACACAGGCGGCACCGTAAGGGGAGCGGCATAAGCAGCGAAATCAAACAAGAATTTGATCTTTTGATCTGGCAATGGAAACTATTAGGGCCGGTTTTTAGGAGACTTGTGCAACAAACTGAGAAATGGGGGGAAACAAAAGGATGGAGAGAGTAAGGACGCCTAAAGGAAATGTATGTTGACGAGTGAGGCCCAAAGCTGCTGGACTAGATTCCATCCATGATATCGAATTCATTGCACAGGATGAAATGGAATGGAGGATAAGAGTAAAACCTAAGTGACATATTATGGTACAACAACAGGTCAATGATGATGGTCTTCTTCTCGATCACCAGCTGTAAACTCTGGCAGAAAGTTCTGGCTGTTCCTCCACTTTTGGACTGCAGTCCTTTTCCAGAATCTGAGTGTTGTGTGTGCATCCGTTTCACAGATCTGACTCATTTGTTTGCAGACTGCTGGTTCCTTACCTCTCAGGCAGATGCACTCCGACTTTAAAGAAAGCTTCAAATTAGTAGACTCTTACGACATGCTTTTTGGTAGGCAGTGGGTCTATCTTGTTTTTTCTATAATAGGGCCCCGGAACTCACACGGGTCAATGATGATGGTGATATATCTCTACCTACATGTTTTATTGTCTTTCGGCAGGATCTTCCCACTTCTACATTATGGCTTGTTGAGAGGACGTCCAACAGCTTGGTCAACACGGCTTGTCTCGAAGAATATGGAAGAGCAGCCATGAACTTCTTTTTCAGCTGTCAAAGTTAAAGAATGGTTAAGGTGAGCATAAAGTAATCAATTTTAAAAAAAGTCTTTAAGAGGTAGGTCATAGCACACCACTGTGAATGTCTGGTGTTTGATTACTCTAAAATACTGAAGTGATAAATAAAGAAAGAGCAGAATGGTCTCAGTATCCCCAGGTGGGTTCCACGGCCTCATTTTGGGGGGAAAAAAATAAATCCACTGTCCCTTTACAGTCAAAGGTTTGCTGAAACTGGATGCGTTAGGTCAAAGTGCAGACATCACAGCCTAGCTGTAAAACCACAACACATCATGTCAACTGCACCTTTAACCCTCTGGCTCCAGGAACACACACACACGCACACATTTTTTTTTAAGCATTTAAAAAAAAAAAAAAAAAATTGGAATTCCAAAACAAATCCTTAACTAAAAAAATAATAATAAAAAACACACACAATCATTAACCTGTTTGTTGTGCCATTATCTCACACAGGGCTGGTAGTCTATTCCTCCACTGTGTTTTATCCTCTGCAATAAGTTCAATATCGTGGATGGAATTCAGGCCAGTGCCTATGACCTGTCTGATCACCATTCGGTTTAGAGTTTCTTTTGAATGACCACACTTGCTCGAACCCTTTATTTCCCAATTTCAATGCATGTTTAGGAACTCTTGTTGGTTTCTTCTCAGAATGTGTCCAGTGTTGCGCCATCTTCTCTGTCTTTTATCTGTTGATACCAGTGTTGCCCAGACATTTCTTTCAATTCTTCACTCCTTTTGAATTCTTCCAATTTTCTCTTCATCGTTTTCCTCAGGCATTTGTTTTCAAACACATTTAATTTTCGTTCCATGTCTTTAATGGTTCTCCAACTATCACTTGTATATGGTAAAACCGAAAAAACATTAGAACTGAAAATACACAACTTGGTTTTAAAACGAAACAATTTAGAGTTCCATATTTTGCTCAAGTTATTAAAAGCTTGCTGGTGCCATGCCAGAGCATGTCACAATTTCTTGCTTTGTATTTCCTTCACTATCAAAGTTACCACCTAAATAAGTAAATTAATCTGTTACATTATTTACTTTTGTCTTAAGTTTTACATCTGCTTGATTTGTTGATGTTTTCAATATATTTGTCTTTTCATAACTTATTTGTAGTCCGACCCTTGATGCTATATTTGCTTGATCATCTGGTTTCCTTTGCAGGTTGTTGGTTTTTTTTTACTTAGCAAAACAACATCATAGGCTAAACGAGATCTTCCAACTGTGTATTCTCCACTCAGTCAATGCCGGTGTTTCATAGGCTAAACCGAGATCTTCCAACTGTGTATTCTCCACTCAGTCAATGCCGGTGTTTCATAGGCTAAACGAGATCTTCCAACTGTGTATTCTCCACTCAGTCAATGCCGGTGTTTTCAACACACATTTTTTTTCAGAGGTCACTAAAGAAAATAATCGTTAAATATTTATTTGCCAAATTTTTTTTTTTTTTAAATATATAAAGATATATCTTCTTCTTCTTCTTCTTCTCATTCACCAGCTGTACACTCTGGCGGAAAGTTCTGGTTGCTCGTCCACTACTGAACTGCAGTCCTGCTCCAGAACCTGAGTGTTACATGTGCATAAGTTTTACAGATCTCATTCTCTTGAATACAGACTGTTGGTTCCTAAGATATATGAAGGGAGTATTCAATGAGACAAACGGGTGAAGCAATGAATATAATACATTTTCAGGGGCATAAAAAAACATATGTGAGGCTTATGGGAAAATGTTATGTCAACTTTCTGCCGGTGAACGTTAAGAAGAAAAATAAAACGAAACCTTCCACTGTAGAATTCAAACTCTAATATGTTGAGGATCATAAAATTATGAAATGCATTCACTAACCTCTGAGCCAGAGCTGCTTAACTTTACATTAGCAACAAATAAAAATAGTAAATAACATTACCCTAGCCACAGCCAACATCTGGACTGTCTCCTCATTGGTCCTGCCTGCACATGGACAAGATATGGCCTCCAGCAAAGCATGAAGAGCATCACTGTTGCCCTCAACACAACCAGCCACTGAGGCGGTGAACCTCTTCAGTAACCAGACAACAACTTCTCTTTCTCCCACTGACAGAGTTTCTGGCCTGGCCATCGGAGCTTGGGAATTCTTTGTGGGTGATGTCTGCATTACAGCTTTAGCCAGCAACTGTCTCAGAAGTGGCATTAAAGGAAGGAAGCTTTCCTGTGGCAGATAAAAATTAGAAGATATTCTTAAATCAGAATCATCATCATGTGCCCTGCCAACTGGCATAGGCGCTCATGCGTCTCCACAGATCACGATCCCTAGTTGCCTGGAACAGCTCTCTTGATGATATCCCTCCATGCCATCGTTTCAGCCCATCCAGCATCGTCTCTCTTGGTCTGCCTCTACCCCTTTTTCCACTGATCTTTTCAGTTGTCATAATGTTCTCCACATGTCTCTCTTCTCATTATGTGGCCAAAGAACAGTGTTTGTAAATCATAATATATTCATAAATTAGAAGATATTTAAAAAACAAAATTGGAAATTAAGGAAATAAGCCTGAAAATTGTTCCGGATCAACTTTATGAGAACGGAGCTTCCCCGAGCTAGCTATATCAGCACGAAAAACAACAATCCTGCCACCGCTAGGTAATGCACCCAAACACACTCACGAGGCAGGTAAACTTTACAAAATGAAGAATCCTGCTCTCTTTACCCAGCTGCTCCACTGAAGTGTTGGGGGGGGGGGGGGGGGGATCTGGATATCTTGTGTGCTTTTCCCCTCGTGAGCTGCATAAGTTAATCTTCATGTCTTTAATGAATGGAGATACTTCAGTGAAGTTATCTTGTGCATTCTTGTTCATATTCATAAAATAACGAAAACACAAACAATAGAGTGCACAACGTAGTACCTGGCATATTTCACTGTATCTCATCAGGTGCATTACTAAAGAGTCACATCAACATATAATGAAGCAGAAAAAAATGAATCCTTTTCATTGAAATATAAATCAAATTGTTAAGATAAGCTGCAGATCTCTCCACTGGAAATTCAAGATTAGCCATGTGATTGCCATGGTAACTTCAAATTTATCACAAGCTCCTTTTGCTTACATAACACACCAGAGTTCAGTTTTACCGATGCTCTTTGGCCAGTTTCAACAAATGACCATTCAAGTGTGGTTAAGATTCTGAAGGCAAAATACTTATCAACTATGTGTCCAGAGTCAAGCAAATGACATCTGTTGATGAACTGGGTTCTCTCTTCTTGGCTGATCTTGAAACAGGATCTCTACTCAGTTTTGCATGGTGAAGACATTTATTTGTTACTTTGACAGGTCTTGTTTTTCTTATTGCCCTCTTTTACCGCTTCAGGTGTCGAGGGAGATACAAGGTCCTGCTTCGTGCTCTTTTGGCTGCTTTAACCACATACACATTGTGGTGCTGCAGAGTTTCTCTTATGTTACCTTCCCATCTCTTTCATGGTCTACCTCTTGCTCTACCTAACCCTTCTTCTTTGGTATATGCCTTGTATGGTATTTCATGAGAAGTCATTCTTTCCAAGTAGGCAAACCATTTGATTTGCTGTCTTTGTATATAATTTAGAAATGGTTCTGTGCCGACTGTATGTAGTATGACCTCATTCCTGATTTCATTTCTTCTGGTCACTCCTACAATCTTTCTCAGATCTTTCGAAAGCTGTATTTATGTTTTTGCGCTCATTAGCTGTAACAATAAACAAAAACATAACAAGCGTCAGCACTCACTGCAGTGTCCAGTTTATGCAGAACTGCCAGCAGTCTTGACCTGATGCTTGTTGTGGTCAGTGGGGATGTGATAATGTCCAGCAAGTAGGTCATGGCTAGTGAATGAGGTGGAGGCTTGCTGCTGGTTCGTCTCCTCTTCTTCGCAGGGGACGACAATAAGTTAGCTTCATCTTCCAGTATAGTCTTCAATACCTGTAGATTAAGGTTTATTTGTTCACATCTGCTTGTAAACTTTACTAATTGAATGAACTTACACAAAATTAAATAAGAAAAGGGGTAAACTGCAGAAAAAACAGAAACAGAAAGGGCAAGCTGAACAAAAACATAATCCCCCAAGTAAGAGGACTTGGTTAAAACTTTAACAGTTCATCTTCTTTTCTTCCACCCTGTTCCTCAGTGAAGTGTGGGGGGAAGATGTAATGTTCGTTGATGAGCTCCGTCAAGAGTACTATTAAGACTGATGTTAATTTCTGTAAGGCTGTTCTTTCTAGGCTCGGGCTTGTGGCCTGTGACCATCCCCATTTTCAAAGTTTAAGCCCCTGAGCTAACTTAGATGAATAACCCTGATATAGGCTAAAGTAGAAATGACCAGATGGAGAGAAGCAGGCTCCAACAGAGTTGAAGAGATGCTACAGGCCAACTTTCTGCATGCTGGCAAAAAAATCTGGCATATGAACCAAAAAAAGGGCAAGTGATAAAAACAACACACATCTCACCTGAGCTAGAAACTCGTGGTCTTTAGTGACTTCCTGGCGATACTGGAGCAGGCTATTAGCAAACCACTTAAAGTTTTCGCCAGGTGAGAGGCTGTCTCTAGCCAGAGAAGCCAAAATTGTGAACGCCACTTCTCGGACTCGTTCATGTGGACTAGACAGCAGGATCAGCAAACATGGCAGAACTGGAAATATGAATTCATTTTAATAGGTTAATTAAAATAATGTCACAAAGTGCATACAATGAATTCATATGATATAAAGGTCAATGAAAAAACAGACAGCATGAATTCACATTAATCAGTTGATGAAATTAATATCACCAGTAGAGTGAACAAAATGAAATCACATTAGTGTGATGAAACAAGTATAAAGGTAATGTCACTGATAAATTGAACATCATTAGCTCACATTACTGGATGATGAATTAAGAATCTACATCATAGCACTCAGGGAAATCCCATCTGTCCGCAGCGCCATTCTTCTCAGTCCGTAATGATCTATTTGTGACTCCGCACTGTTTACTTGCTCCCAAAGGGCCCTCACAAAATCCAGCTTGTCATACATCAATTCACCACCAAGTGGTGCAGAACCGGCTAGTCTATCTGCCTACCCATATTCCAACACACCAGCATAACCTGGAGAGAATATCTGAAGGGGGCTAACTACCTGGGTTCTGAAGCGATGCTTGACACTCTGCACGAAGCATGCCACCTTTCTCAACATTCTCTCACTTACAATTACGACATATAGGTACAGCAGATTCTAAATCCAGCGGAAGGCAGCAGTGACTGCCTCCATCTCCATTCTCAAACTAGACGTTGCGATATCTTATGCCAAGCTTTGCTGCACTAAGCGACATGCATTGGCTTTTGCTATGAACCCCTATGCACTTCGTCTACCTCTCTTGCAATTATTACAAACCGGCATATCCCGTTTCGTTTTTTTTTAGGATGACATTTTTTGTTTTTTGAAGCCCCACCCTGGCTTTTGCCAGGGGCAGCAATATAGGCAGGCCATAAATATGGCCAATTGTCTGAACACGGTTTCTGGGACCTCTCCACGGGGATCCTCATCCACATGGTGGCACTTTGTGTCATGGGGTGTTTATCGCTTGTGTGATGTCCTAGTGGGGTCGAAAGTCAGTCAGTCAGTCTACCTCTCAACATAGAGTCATTTGGGGAGATAATCACATCACCTCGGCGAGAATTGTCATAAATCATTTGTTGAACTGTTTCTACAGCACCAGCTGGCCAGTCCCTGCACTCACGACTTAAAGTGATTACAACCCTTCATAAGTCTGCTTCTTGCTCAGACACTTTGACAAACTCCTCTTCTCGCCCAAATTGATAAAACCTGCACACATCTAATTGTGTCTTCAGCTTGCGCCATCCAAGACTTTTCTCTTTTCAGTCTGTCACCCTTAGATCTACTGAGGGCTTCAGGCAGCAGGTGCTTCTTGTCTGCATATACTCTGAGATATGACTTTGCTAGCAGTACTTTGTGCTTATCAAGAATTATAGGCAGTACAAGTATATATTGCAAACATAAGGGATGTTTCTCATACATCCCAAAATTATCCATATGGCTTCATTCTGTATGCGTTCAAGTTTCATCAGCTGACTCTTTGATTAGATAAGCATTTCAAGTTCATAATCTATCACCGACAGGATCACATGCTGGAACATTGTGAATGGCATTCCTTGTTCCATGTCCATTGCTGCCATAATCTTGAGAGCATTGAGTCCTTGACTTCGAAGAAAGTCCCTAATTAGTCACCCCTTAAGACATGCTTGCTGGGGAGGCAGTGGGTCTATTCTTGTGTTCTCAACAAGAGAGCTTTGTAACACACATGGGGGGAGTTTTATATATTTATAGTCATAGGAGTCTTAATCCAAGGTGAGCTTAGGCAAATTTCTGCACTTTCTTTTAAAAGGCGCTTGGAACACTGTGTTGTGGTTTACATCTAGGCTGCGATATCTGCATTTTTTTTAGGGCTATACATTTAAAAACCCTGAATTAGCCGCCTTTTATGACACGCTTTTTAGGGAGACATAGGGTTTTTCCCCCTCCTGAAAAAAAGGGCTATGTGGAATCCACATAGGGAAGGCAGGTAACATTATATAAAGCAGGTTTTAAAAACTCACCTGGACTGGGATTATTCACGAGTGTTGCCACTTCAGAGTCCGAGAGAGAGTTAAAGTACACCTGGGAGAACTGCAGAATGTGAGCTTTCTGGACCAAACTAACACCTTGCTCATTGCTGGCCATCCACAACATGCACAAGAACCGGGCCACAGATCGAACATCATCCAGGACCTGACGGATAAGATATTATACATTCTCATCAAAATGTCAGTCCTGAAGGTATTCAACTATTTTAGCATTTTTTTTTTTAAATGTCAAGCTTTTGGACAATATATTGACTGTTAACTAAATCTGGCCAGTCTTCAAGACTGTTGGAACTAAAATATGTGCACCAAACAGCTCGTTGCGCAGGCTATCTGTTAAACACATAATTATATCACTGCCGACAATAGGTACTGAGATTCTCCTGGTGTGATATTTATGGAAACTGGTGCACTTTTTGTCAATAAAAGTGGCGCTTTACATGTGCTACTAAGCAAACAAAAACAATGTTGACATGAACACACACACAATTATCTTAACAAAAACTCAATCATGTTAGCAATGTGAGTGAAGTGAGTGTTTCAGCAATTTATTGAAAACTAGGACAATGTTTAACAGAAACCCACTGACCTTGAAAAATGTGTCAAAAACACCCTTGCCCATCGCAGAGAAAGCTGCGCTCTTCCTGGCAGACAGGTCCAACAGGAAGTTGATCGCTGTGGTCATAATTCTTAACCAGTTATCTTCTGGGGAATCTGTATCTGCCAGGTCCCAAAACTCGACATCTGCAGGTACGAGTTAATATATTTGACAAGGAATAAGGGTACTGTAATAATTTTTACAAAAAAATTAGGTAGCCAAATAGTTGCACACAGCAACAACAAAAAAAAAAAAATTAGGTAGCCAAATAGTTGCACACAGGAAAAACAAAAATATTAGTTGCGTGTCATGTTTACACGATGTGGCAGAACCAATCACAGCATTTTTGTGGGTGTGATTTCAAAAGGTATTTTTTACGTTCCTTTCATTAGTTTGCCACTGCTCTCTGAAAAGCACACAAGACAATCCTTAAATTTAACTATTAATACATTTTGAAGACGCCAAATTGTTAATGGCCTGAGAAACTGAGCAATGGATTCACTAAATTCTGCCCCCAGAAGGCAAGCAAAACATGCTAAAGAGCTCCCTAGAGGCGTATGTGCAAGACTTTGGAACAGATTGTGATCAGAAGGAAAGACAGTGAGCAAATGAAGACAGAAGTCCAATCAGAGAGATGAATGGAGGAAGAGGGTCAGAGCTGCAGCAAATGAATGTCACGGGGCTTGGAATACTAAAGAAGAAATTGCAGTTTCATGAACGATCTCTTTTAATCATTCAATTACAGCTTTCCTTGTGTAACATTTAAAATGAACAGCATAAAGGAGTACACCGGAGACAAACAAACAAAAAAGAATCTTCTTCATGCTTTTAGCATTCACAAGCATAAATTTGGGTGGAAAGTTATGGTTGTTCATTCATTCCAGGACTTGAGTTTTTGCGTGCACATCCATTTTACAGATCTGGCTTTTATGTATGCAGACTGTTGGTTCCTTGTCTCTCAGGCAGATGCACTCTGAATTTGAAGGAAGCAGCCTTATTAGTCACCCCCTACAACCTCCTCCTCCTATGCTTGCTGGGAAAGGGGGCAGTGCGTTTATTCTCCCCAGAACACACATGAACTAATCTAAGAAGCACCCAAACATACACACCAGCAATGTGGGAACCGAATTATCTCTTAAAAGAAAGGTCACATACACAAAAGCCAGTTAAATTACCTGGCCCCATAATGCCATGTGATGACTGTTTTCTTTAATCTCTATTTACCTTTGAGTTTGCCAGGAACAGAGGCCAGATTTAACTGACCGAGAACATCAACAAGTATGTCACTGGAAAGTGTTCTTGCTTTGGCCAGCTGGGACAAATAGTTCACTATTTTGGCTTCCCTGCTGTGAGGTTCCTGGACAGACGCTTCCGACTTGGCAGCCCCATGTCTCTTAGAGTGAACAATGTGCTGCAATTATACAAGAAAGTGACACGTTCTGTCTGCACCTTAATTCTAGCACTGTAAAAAATAATAAAAAAATAATATCCTGGTCTTTCCTTTTTTTGATAGGGTGTACAAGCATGGCAAAAGACAGAAAATATAAGTAGCGACTACGGCGTTAGAAAATTTGCGGCCTTTTTGGCAATTTCCGCTACCATGGAAATCGTTTGAAACTTGTTTGGAAAATGTTTATGGTTTCGGGATGGGTCCTAATCTCTCACAAAATTTTACGATTGGTGTGATTTTCAATAGCTATAAATAGCTGAAAGCGGCGGGAACGAACCCGATTAACAGCGCATGTCTACGACAGCCGGACGAAAATATCGGTAAGTATTCAAGGTTGGCTTTAGGCCTTAAACATTACCAGACATGGTAATGCTAGTTATAATTGAATTCTCCGTCCAATTTTACATTTGTATATAACATTTCTTTCCTAGGTATGGCTAATTCGATTTACAGTGACATTTTTCAGGCAATCGCTATTATGTGGCTGTGTCTGAGAAAAACTGTCTGCCATCTTGTCCAATGTAAAGAAAGCCAAAACAGAAGTGAGCAGTTTGGTTGCGCAGAGAAAACTTTTTGTTTCTGGGACGCAAGTTTTCAACAGCTGTTTTTTTACATTTCATCTCCACAAAAACCTACACATCTCAGCTCAAAAATGACATACCAGTCTAAATGAGGTACCGTTAGAAAGAGATTGTTTACAGCTATCTAACTGTGCTGGTTTTTTTGGTGTAGAGGGCGTTTAAAAAATTTGACTAAAGTATCTGATATAAGGGACATATTGCATCCAACCTTCATTATGGAGCACCACTTCTTTTTCTTCTACATTCATTTAAAGACACAGATGCATTGTGCCTGTCTGCAACACAGCTATGATATCTGTGCCTTTCCACTTACACATCTGACCACTGCAGATATCTGTTTCCCTGGGTTATCTTCCCAGTTAGTTTCAAGAGACATTGCAATTTCATTACCACGTAGTCTCCTTTGTTTCCTCATTCACAGGTGACTCCCCCCCCCCCCCCCCCCCGGCCATCCCAGTGCAGCCATGTAACTCTGGGCAGCCCCCAAGAGAAGACAAGGGCAGAACATGAACATTCCCCACCATCCAAGGAGGGTCCCATGAATGCAGAGCCAACATACAGTGCCCTGATGCTGGGCTCACCCAAGAAACGTCACGCCCTGCTGATGACTGTTAAACCTCACATTCATATACTTAGCCTATCCCTCATCATGGGCCATGCCCTTAGAAGTTAGCAGGCCTGGGATTTTGATAACCTACACAAAATGAGTGCTTTGCCTTTATGCTCGTCAGACTTTCTATTGCAGCGGAACTCCATTCCCGCTATAGTTTAATATCATATTTCACACACAGATGTCTAGGGGGAATCAGTGTGGTAGTACATGGACACATGCATCTTATCCCACCCCTCCCTCTATATTTTCTTAACTCTGCATCTCTAGAGACTACAGCTACAAGATTCTTTCACAGCTTTTTTTTAACACACTCAGAGGTCAATGTGAATATAGAAGCACCACTTGAATCAACTGAGAATTCTCTACTAGAAGACCAGACCCCTGACCTTGTTCAGCGACAGATGTGAGATCATGTAGACCAGCTGTTTCTGTAGCTTCAGCCTCATGTCTTCTGCCGAGGACTGCCGGATCAAAGAGTCTGTAACCAGTATGATCACTAGTGCGGCCGAGCTAGATCTTGGCGTGCTGCTCAAACTATTGTACATTGACGAGATCTGAGGATAGTGAAATAAAAACATCAGAATCAAAATAGGAGGGAACGGTAACATCATAAATAAACAGCTGCTAGTTCATCCTTTTGAAAGAGGAACATCAACCGCTTATATCTATCTATATATCCTCTTTATGATTTCCAGTCTAAAACGAAGGACTAGGCACAGCAGAATGTAAAGCTTCGAAGTTATTTTTGCTTCCGACGGGGCTTTGTTAAATGCAGCTTCCACATATGGATGGTAGTCTAAGGTTTCGCTGTCTTAGCTGAGTTTAGTGCCTGGTGCAGAACAGCGAGCTGTTTTTTCCCTCATGTGGAATGCTTTTTCGTTTGTGCAGCGGTACAGTTGTTATATTCAACTTGGCTGGTAGCCGGTTTACGCCTGGGCTGGAAAAATACCTATGTAATAATTATACGTGTGTATAGCCAACGTATCCTGCCCGCTACTTCCATTAAAGCTGGTGGCGACTGTTGGCTTTGGCACCTCTAGCAACTACCATATGCATTTACTGCGTGCTCATATTTCTGGATTGCCAGGGACTAATTGTTTGTTTGCCAATTTATTTCAAATGAGCACAGGACCTGAGTTTTGTACATACATCCGTTTCACTGGCCTATTTGTGTGCAGTTTTTGTTCCCTGCTTCTCGAGCAGATGTACTCCGACTTCAAAGGCAGATGTCATTCCTATCTCTAGGATGACTGCTGCCATTGTTCATAGGACAAGAGGTTGCTTTTTGTCTGTGGTGTACTCTTTGTCTAAAGATGCTGCCAGTGGATACATACATGTGAACCTTATTGCCAACAGGAGGATTTGTGATGCTTAGATGTTGAGACTTAGCTTAAGTGCCATTTGAGCCTAACCAGCAGACTCATAGTGGCTGTCATGGTGTACCTCAACGCAGGGACGACAACTTTGAGGGATGACAGAGGATGTGCGAAGAGAGGGTTTTATCACGAGAAAACGCCCACACGAGATGTTGCTCGTTGAAGCTGTGGGCAAATGTTTTGGTCTAGGGCCGAGTCTCAGCAGTTTAGTTTTCCTTCCACTTGACAGACTTTTAAACAAGAGTTGTCATTTAGTGGTACATTCGGCAAACAGACTTTATGTTTCAGTGAGTTCTAAAAGACATTTTCCCATATGCATTTGGAGTAGGCGGATGAGAGTGGGACTGGATCCTAAATCTCTGGAAGCCAACAGCTCAGAGATTCCCTGCTAGCTCTGTTAATGTTCATTTGAGACATTTGAAGTGGCGCACGACGGGGACGTGCGGCAGGAGTCTTGCACGAGGTTCTGTAAAACCAGCACAGAGAAGGCGGGCACCCTAGGTGAGGTATGGAGTATCTCCTTATACATATCCCATCGGATTTAACTTTCCCTCATGCCTGTGACCAAATTCACCATGCCAATGGGGTGATCCGATTGCAGTGAAGCTGAAAACTCAACTAAGACACATCCTCTTCGCATCAATGTTGGCACATAAGACACCTGATCTCCACACATTTTCCTTTCTTCTGCAGGTTTCCTTAGGTCAATCACATTGTTCACCCCATCTGCCATCAGTGGGAGAAGTGGCCTTGCTAAAATGTCACGAGGCATTCTGCAAACATGTCCAAGTCATCTCCATTTTTATCCTTTGATAATGTGTGGCAGTAACATTTTATTTTCCAGTTCTTACTCTGTGACCCTGTTTGGCCATAATATTTTCAGAATTCATCTAATGTATTCAAAATGAATAGCCTTTGGCTTATATTTAATTCCTGCTGCCATTTTCCAAATCTCACTGTTGTACAGACCAAACTGGCCCTTCAGATTGGGAGCTGGGCAAAAGGCTGATATTACATTACTGTAAAAAAAAAAAAAGGACCTTATTACGGAAACAGCATCAATATTATCTGGTTATTGCCAATAAATGTCATATCATGGTGCATTAATAATTCCTAAGAGATTTAACAACACACTGTAACAAATCTGATTACGTATGGTTACAGAACTACATCAGAGTACCCAAAAAAACTGACAATCAAGATGTCACCAATAAGAAAATACACCTGTAGAATAGGCATGAAAGTCACAGACACTCATTCACAGAAGAAGGAAAAAAACACAAGTTACAGAAAGACAGTTACAATATATACAAACTTACAGTATTGCACATGATTGCAGGGTTTGTCATCAGGAAAGAAGCCACAGATTCGACCAGTCTGGCACACATGTCAGCCAGAAGTTTCTCATCTCCCTGGTCTGTTGGTGGCTGAGCCACTGCTATCAGCCATTCTAGAACATTCAAATATGTTACTTGTTACTTTAGAATAGAACATTCAGATATGTTACTTTAGAAAAAGAACATTCAAATATGTTACTTTAGAATAGAACATTCAAATATGTTACTTTAGAATAGAAGATTCAGGTATGTTACTTTAGAATAGAACATTCAAATATGTTACTTAAGAAACAAACATTTGTGACATCTACAGACCTAGTTTAATGCCACATACAGCTAGAGGATTTTCAATACTCTTTGCATAGCTTCAAACATGCTGAAGCTGGAGTGAAAAAGTAAAGGCAAGCAAGTAAGAGGTAGACAGTGTTACAGATGGAAGGACAAAATTATGAAACGGATGAACAAGTGTCAGTGATATAATACATCCAGGGTAAAAGACAGATGACGGTGTAGATCCATCACAATCAACCTTCACTGTGCAGACAGCATTTAACTGATTGACTTATGCGTTTAGATAATTATCCTTTAAACACGGCAAAAATTAATTCGCACAGCAAGTAAACTGCTGCCAAATTGTTATTTATCTAGCTGCAAACTGTTACACAGCTGCAAACTGTTACACAGCTACAAACGATTTTGTAAAACTATATACTCAATAAAAAAGTTGTTTAGCCTTTATACGGCTTAAAAACACACTATAATCCATTTATCGAACACTACATTTTAAACTTTTTTCCACAACTGAATGTTAAATTAAGAAGCAAAATCATAGCACTCCCATAAGCGCTCCGTCCCCAACTTCAGCAGCAAATGAAAAGTTTCGATTCCGATGGCACCAGTAACTGCTGATTCTAAGACTGGGAAACTGTTAAATACTTTATTCTGCTAAAAAAAAAAAAAACTATTACAGTGTTGTAAACTGATATTCTTTTCTTCTTAGTGTTAACAAGCTGTGAACATACCTGCACTGACGTGGGCCAGCAGCTTGTTCCAGGAAGTGACCGGTGACTTCAACAAATCCACAGCAAGGTCCAGTTCAGTCACATCAAGAATGACCAGAAAAGACAGGACAATAACTGCGACCTCCGAGTCTGCTGCAACATTCTCCGGAACACAACACAGCGCATGTAGAATCTGGTTCCTTGTCTCGTTTCTGGTAATTTCCAAGTCTCAATATGTAAAGTTTAGGTAAGCACATAGCTGGTATTATTAAAAAAAAAGGTCTGCATCAACCACTCATTCAATACAGGCTGGGGCATCGTTTAGCCTGATTTAGGATTGCATGGCTGCTGTGTGATTCCCCCCCCCCCCCCCCCCCCCCCCCCTCCCGTGCCCAGAGAGAAAAATCCATAACCTCACAGAGGGTTTGAACTTTGGTTTCCCGCATGAAAGCCCAGCAATATTAACCGTTCAGCCCAAGGGCTTCTCTGTTATCATAAACTACCCATAAATATTATTCTAAGGCTGTAATCACAGACATAAACAAACAGCCATAGATGAATGTAAACATAAACTGCTATTTGAGCTCATAACAAAAACCATTCTACAATGTGCCATCAATCTAGAAATCTTAATTTTGACAGGCATTTGTCCAATCTGCCTTTTACTGCCACTAGTCTACCAGTAGTTATTGTTATATATGATAAACAAATATACATTTAATGATCAGCACTCACAGAAAGAGACTGAAAGATAGAAGAACTAGGCCTTGTTGTAGCCTTGAGGTGACAGGTTCAATTCTAAGCATGGCAAATACAGCTTTTAAATGTTGTGTTATCTAGTGAGTCCCATCTTTCAACTTCTTTCTATGAGCGCTGTTCAATACAAGTACATTTATTTAACATATATAATGTCTCTTCTGCCTCAAAAGTCTGGACAGTCCTGTAAGACATGCTCTCCTCAAAAGCAAGGACAGTCCTGTAAGTCATGCTCTCCTCAAAAGCAAGGACAGTCCTGTAAGTCATGCTCTCCTCAAAAGCCTGGACAGTCCTGTAAGACATGCTCTCCTCAAAAGCCTGGACAGTCCTGTAAGACATGCTCTCCTCAAAAGCCTGGACAGTCCTGTAAGACATGCTCTCCTCAAAAGCCTGGACAGTCCTGTAAGTCATGCTCTCCTCAAAAGCCTGGACAGTCCTGTAAGACATGCTCTCCTCAAAAGCCTGGACAGTCCTGTAAGACATGCTCTCCTCAAAAGCCTGGACAGTCCTGTAAGACATGCTCTCCTCAAAAGCAAGGACAGTCCTGTAAGTCATGCTCTCCTCAAAAGCCTGGACAGTCCTGTAAGACATGCTCTCCTCAAAAGCCTGGACAGTCCTGTAAGTCATGCTCTCCTCAAAAGCCTGGACAGTCCTGTAAGACATGCTCTCCTCAAAAGCCTGGACAGTCCTGTAAGACATGCTCTCCTCAAAAGCCTGGACAGTCCTGTAAGTCATGCTCTCCTCAAAAGCAAGGACAGTCCTGTAAGTCATGCTCTCCTCAAAAGCCTGGACAGTCCTGTAAGTCATGCTCTCCTCAAAAGCCTGGACAGTCCTGTAAGTCATGCTCTCCTCAAAAGCAAGGACAGTCCTGTAAGTCATGCTCTCCTCAAAAGCAAGGACAGTCCTGTAAGTCATGCTCTCCTCAAAAGCAAGGACAGTCCTGTAAGTCATGCTCTCCTCAAAAGCAAGGACAGTCCTGTAAGTCATGCTCTCCTCAAAAGCAAGGACAGTCCTGTAAGTCATGCTCTCCTCAAAAGCAAGGACAGTCCTGTAAGACATGCTCTCCTCAAAAGCCTGGACAGTCCTGTAAGTCATGCTCTCCTCAAAAGCAAGGACAGTCCTGTAAGTCATGCTCTCCTCAAAAGCAAGGACAGTCCTGTAAGTCATGCTCTCCTCAAAAGCAAGGACAGTCCTGTAAGTCATGCTCTCCTCAAAAGCAAGGACAGTCCTGTAAGTCATGCTCTCCTCAAAAGCAAGGACAGTCCTGTAAGACATGCTCTCCTCAAAAGCCTGGACAGTCCTGTAAGTCATGCTCTCCTCAAAAGCAAGGACAGTCCTGTAAGTCATGCTCTCCTCAAAAGCAAGGACAGTCCTGTAAGTCATGCTCTCCTCAAAAGCCTGGACAGTCCTGTAAGACATGCTCTCCTCAAAAGCAAGGACAGTCCTGTAAGTCATGCTCTCCTCAAAAGCCTGGACAGTCCTGTAAGTCATGCTCTCCTCAAAAGCAAGGACAGTCCTGTAAGTCATGCTCTCCTCAAAAGCAAGGACAGTCCTGTAAGTCATGCTCTCCTCAAAAGCAAGGACAGTCCTGTAAGTCATGCTCTCCTCAAAAGCAAGGACAGTCCTGTAAGACATGCTCTCCTCAAAAGCCTGGACAGTCCTGTAAGTCATGCTCTCCTCAAAAGCAAGGACAGTCCTGTAAGTCATGCTCTCCTCAAAAGCAAGGACAGTCCTGTAAGTCATGCTCTCCTCAAAAGCAAGGACAGTCCTGTAAGTCATGCTCTCCTCAAAAGCAAGGACAGTCCTGTAAGACATGCTCTCCTCAAAAGCCTGGACAGTCCTGTAAGACATGCTCTTCCTACTAGACCGAAGGTTTTGAGTTCACTTCTGCAGTAGGGATGATTTTTATAATCGACCTAGGCCCCCTAGACTGATTCGGGCTAAAATGAATATTACAAAATGTTCTGGCGTAATGCTGGCCACACAACACATCAAATGCTGATTGGCAGATAAAAATATGGGCTAAACATGACATGTCTGACAAGCTAACTAAGTGAGAAGAACATTTTCGTTTACTCAGAAAACAAACAGAAACTTTATTTTCACACTACAACATACAGTATACTTAGGCAATATCTTCCTGGCAGAAAACCACACTGGAAATAAATGCTTACCTCCCCAACTTGCCACCAAGTGCTGCCAGTTTTTTCAGCAATGTCTGGTACAGAAGTGACTTGTCTACAAACAGTTCCCATAGACTCTACAATACACAGAAAAAATGCCATGTATAAACTGTCATTATACAGGACAGAATCATGTTATTGTTATTTTTAGATTTTGAAAAACAATATACATAATATCAAAGCATTTGGGCATGCTCCATCTTCACCAGAAAATGTCCAAGAACATGGATACTTTTACTTTTTTTAGTGGTAGTAGTCACAGAAAATGATAACAGCGAAAGTGTGTTGATTGTTACACAAGACATGCCACAAGTGAGATAATGTTTCTATGTGAAAAGGAAACGACGGAAAATAAAGTGAGAGACATACAAGATACACTGAGAGGCAGACATGAAATTATAACCACAGATACACTGAGAGGCAGACATGAAATTATAATCACAGATACACTGAGAGGCAGACATGAAATTATAATCACAGATACACTGAGAGGCAGACATGAAATTATAACCACAGATACACTGAGAGGCAGACATACAATAATAATGACAGATACACTGAGAGGCAGACATAAAATAATAATCACAGATACAGTGAGAGAGACATAAAATAATAATCACAGATACACTGAGAGGCAGACATAAAATCATAATCACAGATACACTGAGAGGAAGACATAAAATAATAATCAGATACACTGAGAAGCAGACATAAAATCATAATCACATACACTGAGAGACAGACATAAAATAATAATCACAGATACACTGAGAGGCAGCCATAAAATCATAATCACAGATACAGTGAGAGACAGACATAAAATAATAATCACAGATACAGTGAGAGGCAGACATAAAATAATAATCACAGATACAGTGAGAGACAGACATAAAATAATAATCACAGATACAGTGAGAGACAGACATAAAATAATAATCACAGATACAGTGAGAGACAGACATAAAATAATAATCACAGATACAGTGAGAGGCAGACATAAAATCATAATCACAGACACACTGAGAAGCAGACTAAAACAAGATGAGAAGTGAGAAAGAAGACTGCCTGTTACCTGTGGATTGCCCAAGACAGCGCTGACAACGCTAGGATCTTCATCCTGTAGCCTAGCAGCAAGAGCCGACTGCACACTGTCTAGGTCATCCATCTGTAAGAGAAGATTGTTGTCAAAGATCTACTTGTAGACATGTCATGAATGAATAAACTGAATCTCCACAATAAAAGTTAGCTGCAATGGATCACCAAATGTCTCCTGAGGTGGTTGTACACTCTCTCATACTGCTGTCAGTCCATCTCTTGATGTTATCTTACCCTCCCCACACACATTTCTATAAGTGTTATATATTTTAGTTAGCACACTTGGCTCTAATATCGGAGACCCGGGTTCAAATCCTTGGGAAGGTGGGAGATTTTTTTGTTTCTGTCGTGGGCAAAAACAGAAAATCTTAACTTGAACAGACCATGGAGACATGGCTCTAAATCCTCAAGCTCGGACCCCCCTGCCGACACCAGAAAAACAGTAAATGCTGGCAGTAATGATAGTTTTAAAATTTAGGGGGGAAAAACACCTTTCCTTAAAATGTTTAATGCTTAAACATTTCTTCTTCTGGACAGCAGCCCTGTTCCAGAACCTGAGTGTTGCGTGTGCATCCGTTTTACAGATCTGACTAATATGAATGCAGACTGATAATTCCTTGCCTCTCATGCAGATGCACACCGACACTGAAGGAAGCTCCTAATTAGTCAACTCTTATGACATGCTTATGGGTAGGCAGTGGGTCTATTCTTGTTTTCCATATAATAGTACCCCGGAACCCACACAGAGATTTTAATGATTAAAATAATAATGTGTTTAATGGCAAATATACCTTTAGCGATAAACAGAAATGGAGGTTTACACATCATATTTTAAACAGATAATCAAGGTAAAGGGAGGAAATATTTTTGCATTATAAACTGCTAACCATGGGGAAAAAATAAATGGGTCATGCAAGATAAGGATATAGGATAAAAAACATGACAGTCAACCTTTAATGCGTAACAGCCTTTGATGATAATGTCACATAAAAATCCCAACATGAAAGGACATCTTACCAATGTCATATCCTGGAGCAATCGTTCTACCGCCGTTTTTCTCACAACTCCCTGGCGATGGTACAAGCAGACAGCCATACAGGATGTTGGTTCTGAGGTCAAATCTTTCTGGGCAGCAGCGACAGACAGTTGAAACAAGTTTCTCACAATACCGCTCATTTCCCCGCTTCCATCTGCAGAAGTCACCTCCTCAACAACCGTGTCCAAAATCTCAGAGTATCTATAGGCAGAAATTTTTTTTGTCAAACTCAGTGAACAGAATTATAAAAAAAAATATCAAACTATTTTAAACAACTAGAAAACCGACTCTCTGTATGATTTATGTGGCCCCATTTGAGAAAACAAACATACAGACACATTGTTACCCCCCCCTCCCCCAATGGAAGGTGCAGACATCGCTGCCTAGCCGTGAATCACAAAATACTAATCATCCTTTTAAAGGTGAATGCAGAAGAAAAAGAAAACATTACAATCTGACCTAATTAAAAAATATCAAACCATATTATAAAGATATAAGTATATAAAAGATATATATATATATAACGCCATATATATATATATATATATATATATATATATATGATATATATATATATATATATATATAAATATGGTTTGATATTTTTTAATTAGGTCAATATATAGAGTATATACCAACCTACCGGTAAATGATTTCACAGAACATCAAAATATGAAATGGTTTGGTCATTAATGGAACAAAATCAGACAGTAGCTAGAGCATACCAGAAGAGAACAGCAGGCTTCAAGACAAGAGGCCGACCATGAAACAGATGGGTGGAAAGAGTAAAAGTGGCAGAAATGCAAGACAACAACATAAGCTACACAACTATCGAAGGACAGGTAACTACATCCAACTCCTCTCTAACCCTTTACGGAATAAGCAGGAGGACAAAAGACAGGAAATTATAACTCCTCTATGCCACACTTTACGGCATAAGCAGCAGGACAAAAGACAGGAAACTATAACTCCTTTCTGCCACACTTTACGGCATAAATAGTAGGACAAAAGACAGGAAACTATAACTCCTTTCTGCCACACTTTACGGAATAAGCAGCAGGACAAAAGACAGGAAACTATAACTCCTTTCTGCCACACTTTACGGCATAAATAGTAGGACAAAAGACAGGAAACTATAACTCCTTTCTGCCACACTTTACGGAATAAGCAGCAGGACAAAAGACAGGAAACTATAACTCCTTTCTGCCACACTTTACGGAATAAGCAGCACGACAAAAGACAGGAAACTATAACTCCTCTCTGCTACACTTATGGCATAAGCAGTAGGACAAAAGAAGAACAGAGTAATGCTTAGAATATTTAACTAGACCTCAAGCGTGACAGAAAGTGACATGTAAAGGGCATCATAGCTCAAAAACTACTTTATTATATATGGTCTCTTGGTTTTAGGAACTGATATTCAAGCACTCCAGACACCTTACAGAGGCTCTGTCTCCCTTAGCAAGCATGGCAAGGTGTAAATAATATGGCTGAAAACAATAACTTAAGTCAACACAAATTATGATGAAAATTTTCAAAAGAGGGAAGGGAAAGATTTGCACAAATACAGCCAAAAATTCTATCAATGTCTTTATCAAGGACAAAACAAAGAATTACAGATGGTAGGTGATACCTTAGCAAAGCCTAGCAGAAATGAGAGGAAGTGGGGAAAAAAAGACAAGTGGAAGATAAGAGATAAATACACGGATAGCTATGAAACATGACATTGTGGGGACAAAAACTGTAGTGACTGTGTGAAATGGCAAACTATTTTTGGATTGACAATTGATGATGATAACAGACAACAGGTACAATTGACATACTTGTTTTCCAGAAGTCGGAAGACTCTGAAAGCCCCATCTGCCTCGGTGACCTCATTATCCACCTCCATGTCATTGCTTTCTTTGTTCTTGTACCAGTTTAAGACAGCTCTAGAGACAAAATATAATTGTGAGTGCTCTTTGTTTGTACAAAACTGTAATGTAATCTCTGTTACAACCATATAATTTCTTATAAGTATATTTATTTTTCAATTATCAAAACTGTAGCATTACCATTCAGAATAAAGGGGCTTCAAATGAAAACCTTAAAACTTGGATATAAATTACAATAGCCATGTCATTGTCTTGTCACTTGTTAGTACTCTTAAGGATGTCAAGAGTTCTAAATACGTGACATTATGGTTCAGCTGAACACTGTGACATCATAATGACAATTTAAAAATGGCTGCCCCATGTTTTGTTATCAGATTTCACATTAGTGAAGGGGTTAAACCTACAGAAGTTAATTGGCAAATGAAGGTCCAGTATGATGCATGCCTGTCACATATGTTGCAATAACTGTTTTTAACAATGTCATTCCACTGGCAAGACATCAATGTGGCTGCTTCAGGATACCCTACCCAGTTAAGTGATTTTGTTTATTTTTGTGGTGGTGTTTGATTTATGTATGTGCTAATAAAGGCTTCAGAGCCACAACGTTCACATTTCGTTTGTTATATTGTAAAGCTCACTGATCAACTTTTTGTTTGGTTTTATATCTTTCCTGTCATTACAAGAAAATTAGACAACCCTGTTGCTATTGTAATAAGCAACGGCAGGTGCTACATTGACTGAAGATTGCCGGCCCATGGATCACGCAAACATGTCATCGCCCTTAGAGAGATAGAATGTTCTGAGGATTTTGGAAGCAACGTGTCCACATCACTGCTAAAAATACACGAATTGGGAGTAAAGATCGGCACAGCCAAGCATGAGAAACAAACTAGACGCACACAAAGTCTTGGTAACCAACATAGGACTGGCACGACGCTGATGATTATGTTGAGAGGGGAATTTGAACGCCTATGGATGTGTCCAGAGTGCTGGGAAGATAATCTAACTCATAAACAGTCCTGTTGTCTTTGTAATAACCAACAAAACATATAGTGATATGATTAGTACATTTAAAGTTATTATTATATTAATTCACTGAAACAGAGGTAGATAACCAACCTGGCAACCACAGCAACTGACTGCTGTTCCAACGGAACTGAACTCAGCATGTCCAAAAGAAGAGATATCAGTGATGGAGGGGCTGAGTCATCATTTTCCTCAGCGTTGCTTTCACTGGTGGCCCCACTGCTCACAGAGTCTTTCAATGCCCTCTCTGCAAGCATGGCCATAAATGGAGTCACAAATGGTTCTGTATTGGCCTCTCGGCTGAGCCCCGCCAGCAGTGGGGTCAGAGATGTGTGTCTGCTCAAGTATTTGAATGCCCTGCAAAGATACAGCAAACAGCATTATTCAATATGATCAATAAATGATGACTGGATCACAATCCATGTGTATCTTTCTCTGATGACAGCATAGACAGAGCTGAAGTGTATGTGGCAATAGCCCACAGATGGTATATAAACCTCAATGAATTAGTGAATAGAGCTTATGTCAGTAAGGGGACTATACAGAAGGCATGTACTTGTACATACCGGCTTTAAACCAGCGATAATTCTGGTTGTTCATCTACCTGGAAGGGGAGAGAATAGGTCCACTGTGCTTTAACAAGCATGTCATACAAGGCAACTAATTAGGGTTGTTTTCTTTGAAGCCAGAGGGATAGAATGACTTAAGAAGAACATAACTGCTAAGAATGCAAGAATGGGAGTAAAGATCGACAGTTAAGCATTAAAGGCATGCCAGACGTACAAGAAGTCTTGTTAACCAGCATAGAATTGGCACTATTAACCACGGGACATTGATCTATATGGTCAAGAGGCAATCTCAGCACTTATGGACGTATTCAAGTGCTGGGAAGATAACCTAACTTATAACTGACAGTTCCCATTGTTGGTTCCAGGGCCCCATTTTGGGGACAACAAGAACAGACCCACTACCTCCACAACAAGCATGTCATAGAAGTCAGATAACTGGAATCTTTCCTCGAAGTCTGAGTGCCTCTGCCCAAGCGGCAAGGAGTAACCAACCGCACCAAAAAAGCCAGTAAAGCAGATGTGCACGCCAAAATCAGGCCCCGGCACAAAGATCAAATCCAAATGGACGAACAACCAGGACTTTCGGCCGAAGCTTACAGCCGGTGAACAAGGAAGAAGCATTTATAGTGTTACCATTCTCTGCTTCACCCTTACAGCCACCAGTAAGAAACTGACAGCCGGTGAACAAAGAAGAAGCATTTATAGTGTTACCATTCTCTGCTTCACCCTTACAGCCACCAGTAAGAAACTGACAGCCGGTGAACAAAGAAGAAGCATTTATAGTGTTACCATTCTCTGCTTCACCCTTACAGCCACCAGTAAGAAACTGACAGCCGGTGAACAAAGAAGAAGCATTTATAGTGTTACCATTCTCTGCTTCACCCTTACAGCCACCAGTAAGAAACTTACAGCCGGTGAACAAGGAAGAAGCATTTATAGTGTTACCATTCTCTGCTTCACCCTTACAGCCACCAGTAAGAAACTGACAGCCGGTGAACAAAGAAGAAGCATTTATAGTGTTACCATTCTCTGCTTCACCCTTACAGCCACCAGTAAGAAACTGACAGCCGGTGAACAAAGAAGAAGCATTTATAGTGTTACCATTCTCTGCTTCACCCTTACAGCCACCAGTAAGACACTGTTGGCTGTGTGATTCACTGAAACAATTAACCAAACAACAATATCTGGTTCAACGGTTTTCACAATAAGGCAAACAAAAACAACTTACTTTTTGGACACTTTACAAATGTCTTGTTTCTGGAACATGATGATGATGACAGTGACTGCACTACTGAGTAGACCAGGCTGAGCATTCTGGGAAATCATACAGACAAATCATTAGGAGATACAAGCTAACAAATTAAAGAAAATACAAACGGCTGCAGTCAGGCAGATTTACTGTAAAACTGGCCTGAATCCTATATAAATCGTCTTAAGTAGTAAACAGTTAAAAAAAGAGCAAAGGACCCCCTTTATAGACCAGTGGTGTTTGGGGTGTTTATTATGTTTTAGACTTACTGACTGGCCCTCAGTGGGCATTGTGGTAAACACCACAACAGTTGCAATTACTCTGCACCCAGATCAGGTTGGGTCAATAGGGAGGTGACGGTCATTTTGTTTAAATGCGACTGGATGCAGATTTAAACCCATGATCTTCAGGTCAGCAGGTGGAGTGTCTAGCCGCTTCCCTAGTCTAAAATTGGTATCACTGCGGCTTGGAAGGCAATGAAATAGCGGACAGATTGGCCAGAAGCGGCAGTGACATGGTACAACCAAATAGCGACTTAACCCACCAAGAAAGGTGGCTGGATACCTACACAAGATTTTCTCCCCAAGACTCACTTCATCGCCTCTCTAGAGAGGGACAGCGTATTATATTCAGACTAAGGACAGGGCACAACAGATTTGGTCAAAATATGTTCAAATTTTTCAGTGTAGGAAATACGGAGACGTGCCCCTGCAGCGTGGCACCCGAAACTGTATGGTACACGAGAGGATATGGATTGCAGATTCATTTTTTTTGCAAATGCAACCTTAGTCACTTTCTTTCAGACTTTTACTTAGACCCAGATAAGTATCAGATACTTTAGCATAAGTCTGTCGTCTACCATTACTTTGCCCCGGTCAAGCTTATAATATTGTAATGCAGTCACTTCAGAGTTAGTGTATATTTGTATGTGAGTGTGTTTTTTTCGCCGATGAAGGCTAATTTCGGCAAACATTTTCTGTTCACTGTAATTGGTTTTACAAAGCTGACATAAACTATTTATTTTTCTTACCTTTTTTTCTTTTTCTCCTGACACGTAAAATTGTGTTGTTGAAACTTTACTCATAAAGCAAGTTTATGAAATGTATATATTTACACCTTGAACATCATCTTTACTCACACAGAGCAAGAAATCAACTTTAAACACAAACACAATGTCTTTTACATACCTTAGCAATAACATTAAGAAATGAATGCAGCAATGACGGGTTCAAGCTGGTCTGCATGAATAGCTGACTAAGGATCATGTACGAGGATACCATGTAATCTGGCAGGTCACGAGAGGTCAGACCGGAAGTCACAACTGGAATCAGTGTAGACAAGATGGCCTCAGATGGTGGCCCAGTGATCAGGACTCCGAGGACAGTTTGCGTGTAAAATGAAATGATCTGCTGCAGGTGACGAGCAGACGGTGTTCCAGATTCATCAGTGTTTGCCTGTCAAATATAATTTACATAGTGCCACTTCGCATTTATATTTGTTTTTAACACACAGAACTATAAATAAACAGCTTTTAGATAATGAGATGTCTGGTATAAATGGCTCGAAACAAAAATAATATACAGAGAAATTAAAAAAAACATCTAACATGTCTTGGTCAAGACATGAAACATGGACGTAAATAAAAGAAAGTATTGGAAGTTGAGAAAGGAGGGTGGGGGAGGGAAAGAGAGAGAGAGAGAGAGATATCAGCAACAACTACATCCGACAGATACGCAAAGACATCTGGGTTCTGACTATCGGAGGAATGAAGAGAGTTGCTGAAAATATTAAGCAGCAGAAATACTATCAGACTATAAAATCTTGTTAAAAGCTGGTTGACACCCTATGCTTCACTCAACTGAGGGGTAAACAGCAAATAAAAGACATCTGATGACAACAACAGTCCTGAAATCCCAGGCTTCAACAGTTGAAGACAGTTTTACACACAAAAAACAAACATAGGCAGGTCTTACTAACCACACTCGCCATCACTATGAGCTGTGATTCCATTCCCCTACAGCATAATATATAATGCCTTGCCTTTTTGTAATGAACAGTTTACTCAGCAAATAAACCTACATTAACTTTTTAAAATTCCGAAGTCGGGGTGTATCTGCCTGAGAGGCACGGAACCAAGTCTGCATACAAATGTGTCAAATCTGTCAAACGGATGCACACGCGACACTCAGGTTCTGGAACAGGACTGCAGTCTAGAAGAAGAAGAACAACCAGAACTTTCCACCGGAGTTTACAGCCGGTGAACGCGAAGAAGAAGAAGAATTTAAAAAATATGCAATACTAACCTCAATATGCTTGTTAAGCATATCACACATAAAACCGAGAAAACCCTTTGTAGCTCGACAATGAGTGATCAATGTTTGCCTCGGCAGAAACACATTGCCTTTCTGAAACATGAGGTAAACAAAAAATAAGGCATTACTGCTTGCAACGATTAAAGCTTGAGCTGAAAAAAAAAGCAAGCAGATAATCTGTTAAATAAAAGTGTCTAATCAATTACAATCTACAATGATGCAGAAGAAATTGTTATACTGAGATGTTAAAAAATACAATGTTTCTAAATTCTGTATTTCTTATAGTTATATATATATTATGAGGCTGAATGTAAAGTTATTAGAGATGAAAACTATTTTGGGATGCTTGAAAAGGAATGTATACGGAGATGAATCTGAGATGTTTACAGCAAGTGTATTGGTGGAACAATCAGCACCTACAGCTTCACCATATGCTGAGAGAGACTAAGCATCTATGGGTTAGCGTAGAGTGCTATACTGTAACTTTATTAACTAGTCCTTACGCTAGAATAGCCTTACAGTCCATGTTACTGATATATATATATATATATATATATATATATATATATATATATATATATAGACATTTATATATATATATGTGTGTGTGTGTGTGCATATAATGTATGTGTCATATGTGGTGTGCAAGTATGGTATAACTATATCTTAAAGTATGCATTTACCATCCATGTTTTAGTGTATTTTACTTGATATTCTTAGTATGTATATTGTTAAATGAACATAAAATGCTTCAAAGATAAAATACATCCACAGTATACAAAAATCAGTGTTTGGGAGGGCCAAATGTAAGACAGGTCTGCATGTCCGATCTGTGACCTTTTGAAGAAAAAAAAAGTGTCCATTTATTCTGTAAGCCAGGGTTCATAGCCAAATTTACCAATCAATTTCAAGGCTTTTCAAGGTCTTTTTCAAGGTCTCCTTAGTTTTTTTCAAGGTTGTCTCGGTGTAATACTAATACAAGATTTTTGCCTTGTTCAAGGGTGTACTGAGCACACAAGGTACTTCATTTGTGCCACATGTGTTGGTATACCAGCACAGATATCATCATCATGTAGCATTTCCTTTGTCCTGACAAAAAAAAACCTCGGTCTCTCACCAGCTCTCCAGCCTCATGTATTTTTTTATACTCAAGGAGTCACTTATATCCTGTGCCCATCTTCGTGTTAGTCGGCCCCTGAGCTTCATATAGTGTTTGAAATTTTTTTTTAGGGCTTGGTGGTAGAGGGCAGCAAACTGAAGTCCTGTCTGTTCTGGACCTGGTACCTGAGAGGGTTAGGGGAGAGAGAGAGAGTCATGAAGAGAGAGGAAGACACATGCTGAGGTAGGCTGGGAGAGACAGTGTAAAGATGGACAGATGAAGGTAGAGAAAAGAAGGAAAAGAAGTCTGGGAAAGGAGGAAAAAATGAGAGGGAGGGATGGAGACATGATGAGGAAAAGTGGGGAAGGGACAGCGAAAGACAGAGAGGGAGACAAATACAGAAAGAGGGAATGCAGATACAGAGATGGGCAGATGAAAAGAGAAGGAAAAAGGGAACGAAACAGAGATATGGAAGGAGGAAAATATGACAAAGAGTTGAAAGAAGGGAGACAGAGGGAGAGAGAACGGACAGGGTGAGAAGCAGATGCAAGCAGAGAGAGATGTAGACATAAAGGAGAGAGAGATAAAGGGACAGCACAGAGAGGCAAGCAGACAGAGGGAGAGAACCAAAGAAAGAGAAAAAAGGCAGAGCAGGAGAATGGGAGGGAGGTATACAAAGAGGAAGTGATGAAGGGAGGCAAACAGACATAAAGCAAGAGAGAGAGAGAGAAAGGTGGGTAAGGAAGGCAGTGACAAACACAGATTAAGAGAGGGGGGAAGGAAGGGAGACAAGATACCTCAAAGAAAAAAAAACAGCCACCCACTCCCCCCCCCCCCCCACAATTTCAAGTGTAGTGGACACAACCACTAGGAAAAGATAGTTATGGGGCAAAAAAAATATGTAGATGAACCAGGTAAAAAAAAATGGGGGGGGGGGGGAGAGAGAATGAGAGAGGGGAGCGGGTAAGGAAATCTAGAGAAAATGAAAAGACAGGATGGAGAGGAGACAAAGAAGAGATGGGACAGGAGAAAGGGCAAGGAAAGAAAGAGAGGAAGAATGGAGAGAGAAAGGAGAATAGTAGAAGATCAAAGGAAAGAGAAGGGGTGAGAGAAGAAAGGTAAGACACGGTTGTGGGGGTGGGGGGTGTAAGAACAATGAGTACCAAAAATAGAATTAGGAAATCTCTAAGTGAGGCCACTTTTCCGGTTCCTACCCTCTCCCAATGTGAATGTGGCCGTGGTCCAAAAACAACAGTGCTAACCCCTACTGCCCCTTGCTTGTCCTATCTGTGTGTGACAACAATAATTCAATTTCTTACACTTAAGGCTGGTGACCTGAGAGCCAAGGTCATTTTATGAAGAAAAAAAAAAGTCCAGGGGATCCCAACCCACCACTGGTGGAAAATAGAGAAGTTTACCCACACACATAAATAGGTCAGACACATAAATAGGTCAGGGCAGCAGTGGACTTCGTTTTATTTCTGGTTTTCCAATTACAGAAAGGAGGGGAGAGAGGAGGTGGTGGAAAGTGGTGTAGAAGGCTGAGGTGGTAAGGGTGAGACAGAGGAGGTGAGAGAATAAAGTTTAAGAAAATAAAGTGGGAATGAGACAGGGAGAGAAAGAAGGGAGTAAGAAATAAGATGAGATATAGAGGGAAGAAGGTAGCAGGAAGGGGTGCACTCCCTCCCCTAGGTGTCATCAATGTAGGAGGAGAAAAAAAAAGGGGGGGGGGGGTGACGGCAAATGTGTTTTTAAAAGTACACATATATTTAATGTGTGGGAGGGGGGAATGATGGACATGAAATGTTCTGCACTAGGCAACACATAACCTTATACACCAACTGAAGGTATGGAGAAAGAAAGAAAGAGAGAGAGAGAAAGAGAGGAAGGGAGTGAGGGAGAGCGGCAAATACAAAGAGAGAGAGGAAAGCAGTGACACAGACAGGCAGAGAGTGAGGAACAGGTAGGACAAAAATGTGAGGGGGCGGGAAGGGAGATGGACAGAGATTAAGGCCGCTAGGAAAACAAACACATCAAAAGAAAATATCCACCATGTTCCCACAGAATGCCCCCCCCCCCCCCCAATACAACTTCCTGTGTACTTGAGTTGCTAGGAAGAGTTATGGAGCCCCACATTTATTAAACATTTAAACAAGAAATAAAATAGGAAAAAGGGGGAGGGGGACAGGAAATGGGAGAGTTAAAGGAAAGATAGAGAGAAAGAGAAGAAGAAGATCAGAAGGGAGGGTTAGAGACAATGCAGGAGACGGGAAGGAAGGGGCAATAGGTAGAAGAGTGAAAGAGGGAGGGAAGAGAGAGAGAGGGGTGAGACAACAGAAGAGGGAATCTCGGGGAATTTCAATACTGATCGCCAAACACACTGTCAAGATAAATCCAGGCCAAAAATAGAACTGGGAAATCCAGCTGCAGTCACTTTGCTTAGCTTCTCTAATTAATAGAGAAGGCCGTGCTTAGCCCCCACCACGGCGACTCTATTTATAAATACAACTGAACCGAGCCCCACCATATCCCAATGTAATCCTTTCTAGAAACCACGGCCATAAACGATTTAAACTGTTCATTCTGCCGGACTCGCTAGAAACAAAGGCACACACGCGCGGAAGCTGCTACTTCCCGCCCCATGCCACACCGCTGCTGTCTGCATGTTTTCATGATCAGCAACAAAGCCCGCCCTCCCCTGGCCTTTAACAAGCCATTTCGGCTGAAAATAGCCAACAATCAGCTGATCTCACACCTGAAACGACCATACAACGAAAGTAGCCAAAAACTAGTCAAATGGCCAAAAAAGCCAAATGGCTTCCCCAAAATTGCCTGTGCTGAAAAACACAGGATTTCTGACGATTTCATTGCCGCGGTCAAAATTCACGGGTTTTTAAGGTCGGAATGTCTTTTATAAGCTAAAAATCCCGGTTCAAGGTCAACGAAAAAAATCCCGGTAATTTCCCGATTTCCCGGTCCACTACGAACCCTGGTAAGCAGTAATGTTTAAAAAGGTCAAAGAGACTAAATTCCTTGGATTCTCTCAGACCAATACACTGTCATCATCATGTAGCAGGACCTCTGCAGAACGTCGCTCTCATCGTGGTCTGCCTGAGAGAAACTCGGTCTCTCACCAGCTCTCCCACCTCATGTACTTTCAAATCACAGGAGTCACGTATAACCTGTGCCTATCTTTATGTTGGTCAGCCCCTGCCCCTCCTTTCTGATACCATACTGTCTGCTATTATTTTTTTCCCAAATCCGTCATGGCCAAAACTTTTCAACTTCCGAGACAAGAAGCTGTTAATCAGCCAATCTTCCTTGACGTTCAGATCTTTTAGAATGTCAGTAGTTATTTTCTTCTTTATCCATGGTATTCTGAGAATCTTTTTATAGCCCTTCAGCTCAAAAGCCCATACACTGTACCTAAAATACATTGGAAAGTTGTCTATGATTAGAAGATGAAACATATAAGAAAAGACACAAACTAAAAACATTTTATTGAAAAAATAAGCTGATAAAGAAATACACTAGTCAAGGAGAAATACAAAAGATTAAACGGACATACCTTGACAGGCTCTAGCCACCTCCACTTGGCACAGTTATTGCCATCCAGTCTGATCAGACGCAGGGCCATGATGAACGGTTCCTGGTCATGGTAGGGCAGCAGACACATCATCAGGTCATCAATGTTGCGGAGGTGAACGTTGTACCTGTGGCAAGTCATTTGACAGCAATCTATTTATCATTAATATAACAATATGAAGAATATTGATTCATCAGCATACCCCATGCCTTCCCCTTCATTTCAACTTCTTTAGCTACCTTTGTTTTTTTCTCTCCAAAATCTGCTTTGATTTCTTTGTTCTATGAGTTTCGTTGTAAAGACATCCTATTTATACTGTTCGTAGGTCTTCTCAATGGGCGTGTTATCCAATGACAGTGTCTTTTCTTCACCTCTTGATATATCAGATATTAAATAATGTGAAGAATATTATCGATTCGTCGGACAAAGTGATATAGAAACAATATAACCAGAATGAATTTGCACTGGAACTCACAGGGGCAGACAAATAAAGCCAGTTCATAAACAACAAAAACACACAAATGAAAAAAAGGAGCTAGAGAATACAGTTAAAAGGATAGGGAGGACACAGTGTCAGCTGCATGCGATAGCCCAGGACAGGACGATCCGGCGTGAGTTGGTTGAAGACCTATGCTCCACCAGGGGATAAATGGCAGAAGAAAAAATAAGATGAGCAGCATTGAAATGTATGAATTATTTATAAAACACACATTATTACAGACATATTATCACATAAAGCCAAATTACACGACATACAGCCTTTATCACTGATAGGGACAAACACACTGACACAAACTGATACCTGTGTACCATCCACTCCATGGCTTTGTGGGCTTCCCTCAGCTGCATGTAGGGAGACAGTCGCAGGAGGAACTTGGAGATGGCCTCATCCAGCATCTTGTTGACTTCCGTTGTCTGCACAAACCTCTGCAGTGTCTGTGACGACGGGCTGAACAGATTATGTTCAAATTCTTTAAACCTTTCATCCCTTGCAATAAGTTGCTGTAAGCCATTGATACCTGCAGTCAGGACAAAACATGTTTAGTGAACAATGAGGACTCATAATGGGTGGAAAGGGAGAGCTATCCAGACTACTAACAGGGGCACTGAATCAACAAAACAATAACCATCCAAAGTTTCACCAGCAGGGACTAGTTACTATTCTTTGCTTCTAGACATAACAACATATAAATAAATGCTAATTCTCCACTAACATGTGCCTTGCCAGCTGGCGAAGGGAATTTTGCATCTCAACAGATCTGGGTCTTTGGTGCTCTGGATCAATTTCCTTGATGATATTCCTCCATGTCTCTGTCTTAAGACATCCATCATCAATTATCTTGGTCTGCCCCTGCTACCGGTCATCTTTTTCAATCGTCACAATATTTTCCAGTGGTCTTTTTCTCATCACAATACCAAAGAACTTTGTCTCCTTCTCGTTGTTATATATAATGTTGTATTGACATTAGCCATTTCCAGGCAATCATTGATAGTTATTCTGGCAGTCGAGGGTATAGGGGAACTGAAAATGGGACAAACCATTAAAATTTTGAGCTGAAAATGGGACATCTCAAGCACATCAGTGTAGCCCCCCCCCCCCCCCCTCCCCGTTTTTTAGGTCACTGGGGTCAATAGGTTAAATACTAGCTCGCCAATTATACTAAAACCTGCATCATTGCTGCCAAGAAGTAAACTAAACAATATGCTCTTTTCTGAGTGCAATTAACAAATCATGCCATGATGAAAATTCTCATCAACATATTTCAGGCATTAAAAGTAAGTTAAACTATGAAATCTAATAAGGTCAACAGTGTATGTTCTATTCTTAAGCTTATGTCTAGACTTTTATAGAATGGGACCACTATCACATATTTAGAGTACCAAATAAATACAACATGAAAAAAAAAGCACTGTCAAAATAATAACGGGACCTATTACCAAATTACTGGACACACCAGCTTCTATATGCCGCATGAACATTGATTACTGTGAGTCTTCTGATGCCAAGGTCACAGCTATCAAATCAGGATTGTCTCATAAAAAATATTTTATAAACCATTACTATTAGCATTTTTCAATCTTGTTTTTTCAAGTACACCCTTCCTTTTTTTTTTTTATACTGCCAGTTGAATGACGGCAGCAAAATTTTTTTTTTTGGGTAGCTGCTTCATTTTCATGATAATATCAGTTTTCCTTTTTTCGCTAGGGAGTTAGTGCGACTGAGGGAAACCATCCTTGAGTTTATATTTTCATCATGTGTGGTTACCGATTGTGTTGTATGGTTTTTGACAATGGCGGATCAGCGTTTGTGACAAAAATAACACTATGTGGGTAGCCAAAGAAGAATAATAAACGAACACAGATCTGATGTCATCAGCCACTACACGCTGCAGGATTTACTGGGGAGGGGATCCTGGCACTTACAGACTGAGTGTTTCGATGCGCAATGAGGATAATCTATTGGCTAACTAATCAACATCCTACTTTGTAATCTCACCTTGCATCGTTCAAAGTTCCTTTCCAAATAACGAAAAAAGCGACTTTGACTCACCAATGTTATAGAAATGTTGCCTCTCATATGTAGCTGCCTCTTTGCTATCATACAAAAATGAGGCTTGAGTGTGGTCCCTGCTGGCAAGTACATTCTGTGCCTGTGGTGTGGCTAGCTTCTGCAGCTGTTCTGCTAATGAAGTTCTTTTCTCTGTCATGGCTTCACTTTATTTTGAGGTTTCTGTCACAAAAACAACAAAATAGCAAGTGTGAAGAGTTTTCACAAAATCAACAGGGTTTACACTAGAAATATAATCATGCAATTACTTAGGTACCATTTTCCCAAAGAAGAAGGGATGTAAAAGATCTGTAACACTGTCCCTTGTCTTGATTGTATACTATTTAGGGTGATATTCACCTATATCATCATCACTGCCTTCCTGTGCTGTTATGTTATACAGGGCTCGCAGTCTATTCGTCCAATCGTTACTCTGCCCAATGCAATCATGTTGAAACCATGGAGGGGGTTCAATCTAGCACCGTTGGCGTATATCATCAATCTTTATTTTTAAATTTGCTGTCCTCACTTCCTGTCTTTTTATTTCCCATATTAGTGCCAGCTTGGTGATTCTCTCAACACCCTTCAACCCCCCCCCCCATGTGTCCAATATAGCGCCATCTTCTTTACCTTACGTAAAACTAACTGTTGTTACCAGTGGTTTACCTGTTCATCCATAGCACATAATTTTTCATCATCACAAGCCAAGCAGTACAGGAAATTATGGTCCATAAACGTTTGGGGGGGGGGGGGGGGGGGAGGTTAAATTCACTTACTGACATACTAATCTGTCAACGTGTTCTCTCACATTTAAAAAAAAAAAAAAGTTGGAAGTCTTATCCTAATGTGAATAAAAGTCTCTGAGATCTGAAATATTATACTACAGTAATTTTTCTTTTTTACATTCACTAGCTGTAAAAGTGTTCTCTCACGTTTTGAGAAAAAAAGTTGGAAGTCTTATCCTAATGTGAATAAAAGTCTCTGAGATCTGAAATATTATACTACAAGTTCTTTTGTTTTTACTGCCCTGGCTTCTGAAATCTTGTCTTCGTTAAATACCAATTATTATTATTAATAATATAAACTAACAGCCATGGTTAAGTGTGATTCTAATGCGAGAATATCTTTAGAGGGAGGCTATAAATTACTTATAAAAATTATTTTAATTGTACTCCTTTGACCTAGACTCTCAGATCAGGAACTTCGGGAAGTCCCTTGTCACCAACTGAAAAGAGAAGGCCAACCAGATGACAGATGAAATTGAATGGGGGCGGGTGACATCTATCAGCGGCAATGAATATCAAGGGCTTGGATTCTGGCTCTCCTGTAAACTACGGCTGGTAGACAACAGTAGTCGGAGTTCTGTCCCTTTGCTACAGTGCAATTACGGAGTGAAAAAGGCACGAATCACAACACAAAGTGACGTCGACATGGCTTGCAGACCTCGCGCTGCGACTCAAATTAGCGACCGCGTTCAATTACCGCTTCTTGCGACGCATTACGGAGTGGAATAGAGGGAACGAAACAAGTGACATAATTACTGTGTGTTGGTGATAGACAGCGTGCAGTGCCCTACTGTCATCATACGGTTAGGGTTTGGATTAGGGTTAGGTTTAGGGTTTGAGTTGCTAACTACTATGAGTTTGTGCGAAGACGAGATGTGGCGACACTAACCCTAACCCACACCCTAATTCTAACCCAAACCGTATGATTATAGTTATAGCAGTGCACGCTGTCTATCGCCAACACACAGTAATTGTGTCAATTGTTTTGTTCCCTCCTTTTCCACTCCGTAATTGCACTGTAGCCAAGGGACAGAACTCCGACTAACCGGCCGTCTACTGTTGTCTACCGGCCGTAATTGACAGAAGAGCCTGGAATCTTCTTCTTCGATCCTTCTGTCAGAAAACTTATATCAGGAGGCCGGTGGCCTTTATGAAAGTTATCGTGCAATCCATATCCTCTCGTGTACCATAGTTTTGTCTTCATTGTGGTTGGAACAGGCCAGTTTGCATCTCTGTTGTCAGCATACAGTTGACAGTGTTGGAGCACATGCTCAGCATTTTCGAGTGCCATGCTGCAGGGACACGTCTCCGTATTTCCTACACCAAAAAATTTGAACATATGTTGACGAAATCTGTTGTGCCCAGTTCTTAGTCTGAATATGATACACTGTCCCTCTCTAGAGAGGCGATAAAGTGAGTCTTGGGAAGAAAATCTGGTGTGGGTATCCAGCCATCTTTCTTAGATACTAGATTGTATTAATGTTTTCGTCTCTTGGTAGGTTAAATCGCTATTTGGTTGTACCATGTCACTGCCGCTTCTGGCCAATCTGTCCGCTATTTCATTGCCTTCCAAGCCACAGTGACCTGGAATCCATTGCAGTACAGATTGTTCTACCGAAGAGCCTGAGTAAATCAACTGTTGCGTCAAGTCTACAAACTGAGTGTCTTTTGGGTTAACAATTGCTTGTAGAACTGACATAGCATCAGTCAGAAAGACCACTCTGTCGTTGTGCTGTTGTCCATTCAGGACAGACCATGCCGCTAGTTACCGCTAGTGCTTTTGCCTCTGCTCTGTAATTTGAGGAATATAAATAAACCTGTTAGTACAGTACAGCCTGGTTGATTTTTAAACCAACTGCTATGTATATTCTTCCTCCTCCGTTTTTTACTGCTCTCTTGGCTGAACCATCTGTTATACACTCGAATCCAACTTTGTTGTGGATAAAGTTTGTTTATCAATCCTTCAGTAGTTGATTTCCTATTAGTGCTGCTCATTGATGATTTAGAGAAGATCCCTGTTACAGTGGTTCTGACTGTTGAAGAAGACCAAGGCTATATTATTATCATGTGAAAATGGATACTTCTCTCATTAACTGAATGTAACTTAACGGTGTATTTACTGACCTGTATCCAATAATAGCTAATAGGCAAAATTTCCACACACAGCACGCACGAGAACCAGTGTTGTGGTTAAATAGCAGTTTAGTTAGCGACATAAATTTATGTAGGCGACATAGTAAACATCGTTATATCTTAAATCTGTGTTGATTTATATAACTACGGCTACATTTATATTTACCTTTTCTACAAAGCTCAAAATATCTGAACAATACAACAACAAACGATCATAAATCCGCTGTGAGTTGAGGGAAAGTTTAAACACGCCTGATTGTAGACACAGCAACAAGGACTTGCTAGTTGTTTCCCCTTAGTGGCTGCCAGGTTTTCAGTTATGTCAGGCTCTCTAAGCAATGACTGCTACTTCTTCTATTATCTCTTACAAGTAATATTTAATCTATACTACATTACCTGACCAAAAACAGTTGACTAGCATCAGTAATAATTATTGAAATAAAATAAAGACCCAGTTCCAATTATAACCTAGATGGATTAAACATGATTTAGGTGTTTTAATTATTAGCTGCTGCTACGACTACTTCTACAAAAACAGCAAACACTACTGCTGCTGTCTACTACTGCAGATGACTACTGCTGCTGCTGATGCTGCTGATGCTACTACTACTACTACTACTACTACTACTACTACTACTACTACTACTACTACTACTACTACTACTACTACTACTACTACTACTACTACTACTACTACTACTAGTGGTGGTGGATTATGAACAGGATAATATTTACCCCCATAAAATCTAGCTCTGGTCAAATCCGCAGGCGAGTAGGTTGAATGTTGCATTAAAAATCGACATCACAGCACTCGAGAAACTTACATAAGGTCCCAGTCTTAGGCAGCAAGAGAAGAGTTCCTTATTCTTCTTCTTCTTCTTCTTTTTCTTCTTCTTCTTCTTCTTCTTCTTCTTCTTCTTCTTCTTCTTCTTCTTCTTCTTCTTCTTCTTCTTCTTCTTCTTCTTCTTCTTCTTCTTCTTCTTCTTCTTCTTCTTCTTCTTCTTCTTCTTCTTCTTCTTCTTCTTCTTCTTCACGTTCACCAGCTGTAAACTCTGGTGGAAGGTTCTGGTTGCTCGTCCACTACTGAACTGCAGTCCTGCTCCAGAACCTGAGTGTTGCGTGTGCATCAGTTTTACGGATCTCATTCTCTTGAATACAGACTGTTGGTTCCTTGCCTCTCCGGCAGATGCACTCCGACTTCAAAGGAAGCTCCCCAATTAGTCGACTCTTACGACATGCTTTTGGGGAGGCAGTGGGTCTATTCTTGTTTTCCCCACAATGGGGCCCCGTAACCCACACAGAGGGGAAGAGTTCCAATTCTGATATTACAAGTAACCGCCTTATTGTACATCAGTATCGCCTTTCCCTTTCCGCAGGCAAGAGTCTAGAGGTGTAAGCCATTTCAATAGACTGGGTGTGTCATCTTTTGCTTCAGCTGAGTGGGTTTGCAATACATTATTGAAGTAGAGTGAGTGTGTAATACGTGGATTCAGCTGAGTGGGTTTGCAATACATTATTGAAGTAGAGTGGGTGTGTAATACGTGGATTCAGCTGAGTGGGTTTGCAATACATTATTTAAGTAGAGTGGGTGTGTAATACGTGGATTCAGCTGAGTGGGTCTGCAATAGATTATTTCACTAGAGTAGGTCTGTGATATTTTGTAATCAATTGAATAGGTCTACAATATATTATTTCAGTAGAGTGGATCTATTTAATATTTTGCTTCAGTTGAGTGGATCTGTCAGCGTCTGTGGCTTAGGTGTTGCGAACAGGCTTCGTAATGCCGCGGTGCCAGGTTCGATCCGAGCTGCGGACGATTTGTCTTGCGTTGGTTTCGACAGTGGTACCGAGAAGTCGACCGTCCAGAACTTGAGTGAATCTATAATAGATTTTTTTCAGTAGAGCGGGTCTGTGATAGGTGGATTTAGTTGAGTGAGTCTGATATATTGAATCAGTGAAGTGGTTGCGTGATACACTCATTTTGTTATGTAATGAAGACTGGCCACATCACTCATCAGGTACATCTTGGTCTATGAAAATATGTCTGGCGTCATGTATTCAATTAATAATCACTAAACACAAACGTTGACAGCAATGATCCTGAAATCCAAGGCTATAATTGTGGAAGACTTTTCTTAACGCGGGCGGGTCCTGCTAGTCACACTCGCCATCGCCATGGGCTGTGAGTCCCATGCTTCCTTATAGCGCAATATAACACAATCGTTTAGAAAGACGGAAATGTGCCAATAAATCACTTGAAAAGAATTCTACACTATACTCTCATTTTTGTTTTATTTTATTTTATTAATTTAAATATTGGCGTCATGACTCTAAATTTAAAGCCAAGTTGCATAGAAAAGACAGGCATTCAAATTTAGTTAATTAAGTTTTTAATGAGAACTCATCTGACAGGGTAAACATCAATGATAAAGTCACAAAAAGAAAGAGAATACGTGTGAATGAATGGGACACTATAGAGTCATATTTTTTATACATAAACTTTTTAGACTTCACGTTCTCCCTGCCAGAGGTTTTATATGAAAAAGCCAAATGTCTCTATGAAGTGCGAAACATGTCTTCAACTTTTCCGTACAGATTGGTTTCCATTGGAATGCCAACAGGCAAAACCTGGAATCTCTTTACTGCATTTAGAGATCATGTCAGTAGTACATTTTCAGTATTTTGTGGTGTCTGTTCACATGTGTAAAGTTCTGAACCCACCAGCCTCGATTTTCGTGTACATATGGCTCAGAATGTTGTATCCAGTTCGTAATCTAAATAAAATACTCTGAAAAAATGAACATGTGAAATCATGGAAAGACAACGCCAAAGAAGCACTGCAACAGTACGATGTATATTATTGAAGTGGCCAGAAAAGCCACATGCAGATAGTTAAATCTCCCTTAACACCCGCAGTGGTAAAAGAATGTGAAGGAAAAAATACATTTGAAAAATATGACATTGTTGGAAAATTGTTGTCGCGGAAACTCTAGAAGCGCCTAAAATGGCTTCACATACCGGTACAGAAAGGGAACGATTAAATAATGGTGCAGTTGGGAGAAACCTAATACTGTTGGTGAATATGTTTTCTGTCACATGTAAGTTTCTGTGTTTATAGATTCACTGTCTGAAACTAGGTTTTCTTTATACATTCCTCAACTTTAACTGTTTAATGTGTACATTTACATGGTTCAAACTGAGTTTTGTTTGTAATCAGCCGCAACTGACATATCTGCCAGTATTCACGTCTTTTGTGGCGTAGGTGGAGAGGGGTTGGTGGGGGGGGGGGGGGATGTACGGCTAACTGTTGAAGATGGAGACGTAGTACTTGTTTAAAATATCGCGAGTGCTGTGATGTCAGTTCTTAATTCAATACAACATGAAAATATAGAACACTCCTAGAAATAGAGCATGAGGAAAAAGTCAGTCACAGACAACCTAAAGGTAGGTAGCGGTAAAGTCCGATGACAACATCAAGAGACTGCCCAACAGCTGTCTGCGAGAGTGTTCAATAGAAGCGGGACAGAAAGTTATCTGTGCTTCCAAAGATGTAATCTGAATATTCAGAAAATGGCCAGCGGCTGGTAGCCACAAAAGTGGCGTTGTACTTTTATGCAGTAATGCGCGTGCATCTGCTAGTGTGTCGTTAATGTTGTCTCTGTCAACTAGAAACATCAATCCTATTGACAGATTGTAAGTCTTGGCACCTCTGGCAGCTGCCTTATGAATTTAATGCGTGTGTGAGCTGTTTAAGCGATTTTGCTGTCTGTTTGACTGTTAACATTGGATATTTTGTTGGGTTTTAAAGGTATGGAATAGAATAATTACGCGATAAAATTAGAACCCCTACTTATAATGTTTTAGTCTGAGAAAGTGGTAAAGATCCTTTACACTGAGTCTTTATATAGAAGATACAATGAAATTGGATGCCGTGCCCACAATGAAGTTGTTTCTTCTCCTCCTCTTCCTCCACCTCCCTCTTTCTCCTCCTCCACCTTCTTCTTCTTCTTCTTCCTTCTTTTTCTTCTTCTTCCTCCTCTTCTTCTTCTTCCTCGTCATATTCTTCCTTCTCTTCTTCCTCCTCCTCCCTCTTCCCCCTCCTTCTTGCTCCTCTTCTTATTCCTCATCTTCTTCTTCCTCCTCTTCTTCTTCTTCTTCCTCCTTCTCCTCTTCTTTTTCTTTTTCTGCTTCTTCCACCAATTACCTCAGCGCGGTGTTGGGAGATGTTTCTGCGCTTTTTCCAAGGCACTGTACCAGTTGGTGTTCATTTCTTTTAGTTTGCTCCTGATGGTGTCGTTAAATATTTTGCGTGGTTTTCCACTTGCTCTATGTTAATTATATTTCTTTAGCGTGGCTCTCTGTGGCACTTGGTACCAGGACATTCTCGTCAGGTGGCCAAACCATCTCATTTGTTGTTCTTTAATGAACTGTATGACTTGTTTCAGTCCTAGTCTTTATCTCATTTCTTCATTCTGATTTGATCTCTTCTTGTCACACCGGCAGCTTTCCTAAGACATCTCATCTCTGTTGTTACGATCTTCCGCTCATTAGTTGTAGTTGTCGCACTAGGGTTAAATAATAATAATAATAATAATAATAATAATAATAATAACAATAATAACAATAATAAAAGGAGGTACAACACGCTGTTTATTTATAACGACATTTGTCACTACTAATAGGTTATAAACAGTAGATAGCGGGGGTTTTGCCATATACTCTAGAGTGGCTAAAAACGAAAAGGTTTGAGACCAATGCAACAGACAACGGATATTGCTTCGATTAGCCTTGATCAGAAGAACAGCAATGAGAAACAAGTCACAACGCAGAAAGAGAAAAAATGAAATGACTCTGAAATTACCTGTAGTATTTTGTTTCTCGTCTTTGTTCTGCTGATGAAAGTTATTGCCGTAATAGACCCCGACCCCTCCCCATTTTTCCCCCACACACACGCAAATTATGCCGTTTAAAGCGACTAATTAACGGTGTTTCCTTTGAAGTCGAACTGCATCTGCCTGACAGATGAGGAGCCAACAGTCTGCATTAAAAAAAGCCCGACCTGGAACAAAACCAAAGTCCAGTAGTAGACAGACGCCTAGAACTTACCACTAGAGTATTCAGACGGTAACTGCGAATAATAATAATAATAATAATAATAATAATAATAATAATAATAATAATAATAATAATAATAATAATAATAATAATAATAATAATAATAATAATAATAATAATAATAATAATAAGACACAAAAGATGAAGAAGAGGATAGTGTCGAGTAGTTGCTTAAAGATGTAGGGCCACATAGCTAGTGCAGTGACCACAAACTATGCTGGTTAGGAATCTGTAATTACAATTTTTGAACATTAAATTGTGTACATAGTGACAACTTGATAAATCGAGTTACATCTCATGTTAAATATTCTCAGTACTGACTATTGGAGTAGAGAATCTGGTATAGAACTGGTTGAAGTACAAGCATGCAAGGATGGTTCAATCATGTAGCTAATCCACCTACAACAGAGACAAAAAGCATCCACCCACTCCATCAATGTTCTGCTAGGAGAGACTGAGTATCTTAAACATGTCCTAAGTGCAGTGACCTCACTTCTTTATCAATTCTGATGATGTATTTAAATGTTCAAGTATCTTCTTCTTCTTCGTGTTCACCAGCTGTAAACTCTTACGGAAAGTTCTGGTTGTTCATCCACTTTCGGGCTGCAGTCCTGTTCAAGAACCTGAGTGTTGCGTGTGTATCAATTTTACAGATCTGACTCATGTGTATGCAGACAGCTGTTTCCTTGCCTCTCAGGCAGACACACTCCGACTTCGAAGAAAGCTCCCAATTAGTCGACTCTTACGACATGCATTTGGGTAGGTAGTGATTCTATTCTTGTTTTCCCTATAACAGAGCTCCGGAACTCACACAGGAAGTTTAAGTATTGCATATATGGATTAGTCATAGTTACGATGCTTTGGATATGTGTGCAGAAGGGGAGATAATTGAGGCATATGAGGCCAAGAACCAGTCCACCAGGACGACCCAGGATGCGTTAACACCCGACAGTAAAAACCCTGCTGATAGAGAAGTCTGGCGATCTCTCTGGCAAACCACAGACCATGAAAGAAGAGGAGCGACTAAATAAGTATTTACTGTACGCATGCAGTGGAACAGTCATAGAGTTTGACTAATCGCTGGTAACGGTCTCATCGTCAGCTTCGTTGTTGTTGCTCTCATAGGGATTCTGAACCCAAAGTTTGTTTGTATCTACATACTGCTGGGAGTTGCTGCTGCTGGTCTGCGTGTCTTCTGTTGGAACCACCTCTTTAACCACTGTAATCTTCGGCAGTGGAACAGTTGCATCATCTTTGTGTGTAGAGTTTGAGGACATTAACTGGTTACTCCCACTTCTCAAAGCTGAGCTAATGCCTTCACCCGTCAGCATTTGCGCTGGGACTGGTGACGGCAAAGTGGCATCATTTGGAGCAGACAGATTCATTGACGCTTCATTGGTAAAGCTGCTAATTGGTAGTGCCATGTTTCCCTTGGTGTTCACTAGCTGAGGTGCAGTGTCTCCAGTGCTTGGATTTTTCTTTGAGGCAGTCACTGTGGGTAGTGGTGAAGAAGCTGTGAAGGTTGTTGGTGATTGTGTCTGAGCATTTCTTCCCCTTGCAGACTTGATTCTCTGCGTTGCTATGGAGCTCTCGGGCCTGTAAGAGTAAAAAGACGAGGTTAATGTTGATGAATAACAGAAACAACTATGGCGGCAACGACAAAGCTCACTACGTTAGGATAGAAGACACGTTTGTATTTGTTCAAGATTCCTTGATCTATAAACCTCGACGTATTAGGGGGAGTGTCTGCATCTGTGCAAGATTTCTTGATCTACAAATCTCAAACTTTAAGGTAAATATCTCTTTGTGTGCAATATTTCTTGATCTACAATCCACAGACTTTAGGTTAGGTTAAATGTCAGTATGTGCAACATTTCTTGATCTACAAGCCTCAAACTTCAGGGTAAATGTCTGTATATGTGCAACATTTCTTGATCTACAAACCTCAAACTTTAAGGTAAATGTCTGTATATGTGCAACATTTCTTGATCTACAAACCTCAAACTGTAAGGTAAATGTCTGTATATGTGCAACATTTCTTGATCTACAAACCTCAAACTTTAAGGTAAATGTCTGTATATGTGCAACATTTCTTGATCTACAAACCTCAAACTTTAAGGTAAATGTCTGTATATGTGCAACATTTCTTGATCTACAAACCTCAAACTTTAAGGTAAATGTCTGTATATGTGCAACATTTCTTGATCTACAAACCTCAAACTTTAAGGTAAATGTCTGTATATGTGCAACATTTCTTGATCTACAAACCTCAAACTTTAAGGTAAATGTCTGTATATGTGCAACATTTCTTGATCTACAAACCTCAAACTTTAAGGTAAATGTCTGTATATGTGCAACATTTCTTGATCTACAAACCTCAAACTTTAAGGTAAATGTCTGTATATGTGCAACATTTCTTGATCTACAAACCTCAAACTTTAAGGTGAATGTCTGTATGCGTGCAATATTTCTTGATCTACAAGCCTCAAACTTTAGGATATATGTCTGGATGTGTGTTATATTTATTGACAATCTCTATACTTTATAGTGAGAAGCAAAAGACCTTATGTCAACTAGTCTAAACATTATGTTGCAAAATGAATGATTATATGTATAGGCGTTGGAGAAGCCTAGAAAAATTCTTCTTTCCCCATCCAAGAAAAATACATTAAAAAGAACAACAACTAGTATGCGTTTTACAAAGCTGGTCCAAAACCAAAAACCACACCAACATTAAACAAACAAAATTCATGCCATTGTTTTGTGTCAGTTTGTTTGTTTAAAAATATTGAGTTAGCAGCATATACCAATGCACGTAGAAGCATGGGACATGATTTTTATAACTTGTATAGAACTTATCGGAGAAGACTAGGTATATACTGACACTACCCAATAGATCAGGAGAGTTTATTACAAGCCAGTGGTTGATTAAAAAAAAAATTAAAATGTTCGGCCCTATGTTGAGATCAAACCAGGTAGCTTCTAATATCTTTTTCGTCCTCTTTTTAGCGTTTACCCCCTGTAAATTATGCCTGAAAGATTTGGTTGTTCGTCCATTTCTGGACTTTGTTTCAGAACTTGAGTGTTGCAGGCCACATAGACATGAATTGATAGCTAGGTAGGAAGTAAGCAGACGGGTGGATGGAGAGAAAGAGATAGAAAGTAGACGGATTAATGGAACAGTAAACAGAAAATATGAAACAGACAGACAGACAGACAGACAGACAGACAGACAGACAGACAGACAGACAGACAGACAGACAGACAGACAGACAGACAGACAGGCAGGCAGGCAGGCAGGCAGGCAGGCAGGCAGGCAGGCAGGCAGGCAGGCAGGCAGACAGACAGACAGACAGACAGACAGACAGACAGACAGACAGACAGACAGACAGACAGACAGACAGACAGACAGACAGACAGACAGACAGACAGACAGACAGACAGACAGACAGACAGACAGACAGACAGACAGACAGACAGACAGACAGACAGACAGACAGACAGACAGACAGACAGATGTCAGACACAGAGACAAACAGATAAATATACATACATATATAGACAGTCTGTCAGATTTAGAGACACAAACGGACAGACAGAAATATGTACCAAATAACATACAATGGCTTTAAGAAAGTACTACAGCGTAAAATGACGTACATACATTAGTGCTGAGAAAATGAGGGGGTAATCCGTGAGTATTAGGTTAATATGGTGAAACCGTTAGTCGAAATAAGTGCAATAGCTTGTGAGAAATAACATAAAATAAGTACAGTAGAAACCGTTAGTAAAAAGTTAACAAGGAACGAAAGCAGAAAATAAAATTCGTAGGGTCACTATAACATCTTGAGCTAACAACGAGACCTTACACTAATATTTTTTATGATATACTTTCTAACCAACCCAACCAGAAATAAAAAAAAAAATAAAAAAATTATAGAATCGATTAATTAAACAATGAGTACATTTTAAGAACAGGAGAATATACAGGCATACACATTGTATAAGCTATAATAATTAATAAATTAAAAACAGGTTGAATGAAAATTGTTAATATGAAAAGGCCCATCAACACATTTTAGGCATACAAAATATATAAAACCCAAACATCTTAAAAGGTCGACAGATACAACGGTAAATGTATATTTTATTCTCCGGTTAATTTCTAGATTTCTATTTTTTTTTTTTTTTAAACTGGACAATTTGCGGGTATTTTGTAGAACCGAGGGGACGACCGGGACAGGAATCAAAAACACAACAACTGGACTGTGTGGGTAAAAACGGGACATATGGTCACCCAGTCATACGCCAGTACTGGTTATACAAGGGCAATTTCCCACGACTTCGGGGGTTATTGTACACATAATGCCAGACCAAGTCCGTCTGCGCCATGGAAGACGGCCTTGGCTAGACCTAAAGTTTATAGGCCAATAGGAACTATCCCGAAAGTTGAAGTATTTGGCCACATCAGAGGTCACGGTGGCTTGGAAAAGACGGTGATGGAGGGTGCAGTTTATGGAAGGCGAACGAACGAACGAACGAAAGAACGAACAAACTTTATTTTCAAAGGGTTTAAAATTGGGTACGCAGGCCCGTTGACATTCGGCTCTTCTAAGCACTCATTTTCAGAGCACCAATGCCTGTTTTCAATAATGCATGTTATGGATATAATAAAGAAATATACATTATAGAAGGCAGGGGTCGACCACCGAGAAGATGGGTACAGGACATGGAAAAAGTAATGTTATTGAATGCACATGAGGCCGAAGAGCTGGCTAGGGAAATGGATACTTTAAGGCGTGCCGTGAAGAGAGCGACGTTCTGTAAAGGTCTTGCTGATTGATGATGATGATGATGATAAGTACTCGGTTGTTGATGTGGTCAGCACTCCACCCGAGGGTGAGCTTTAGGTTATAATTGCGACTATGTCATGTGCATCATATGAAAGGGCTTAGCATTGCTGGCCAACAAGTAGCCGTGAAAAGGACTCTTAAAGCGTTGATGCGATCAAAAGGAAACATACTGTCCAGTCGGCGAAGAAATCGTCTACCGGAGAACCAGTGAGCGACCTGGTCGCCGATGTGTGACCCCAAAAGTCAGCAAATGAAAAATGTATATCTGAGGGCTTATAGTTAATGAAACAATATTAGTTTTAATGCAAGGCGTTACTTGTTAATGCCGGGAGATTAAAAAACCCATAGACCAGGGAATTTGTTCATAAACATGATACAACCTCACAGACTACGCCCAGACCTTCCCAGACTGCTTTCTTTCTCCAGGCCCTTCCGTTTGATGGAGGTGAAGCTGTTGATAGACTCGGTGCTTGTGTCCAGAGAACCATCTGCGGTGGCGCCTCCGACATGCTTGCCATTGGGTAACCGTCGAGACCGGACGCTGGACACTCTTTTCTTTGGCTCTGGACCTGAGACAAATGTTATAAAAAGTAAGTGAAGGACCCTTTTCACGCCTCTAGAGCATATCTTTACTTCCCATAAAATTTACTGGTACCCATTTTAGAATGAGTCTTCCCGGATGCCCTTCTTCTTTTTCTGACTTCTATTGCCCAATAGACCATAATTCCTCAATCATCTCACGTTAAGCTGTTCGTCCATTCGTTATTGCATGTAACTCACCCCATGTCTTCCCTATCGTTTGAACTTTACTCTCTAGCCTCCTTCCCCATGTATTTTTGGGGTCTACCTTTATTTCTCTACCTCTGTGGGTTCTAATGCAAAGACATTCTAGCTTTATCGTCATCAAGTTTTCTCCTCGTGTGTCCTATCCAACGCTAGCGTCTTTTCTTCACCTCTTGGTCCACTGGAACTTGCTTAACTCTCCCCCAAAGCTCAATATTAACGATTCTATAAAATCATTTAATTCACTCTGTTTTAAAATCAGCGCTGTTACGGATTTGAACTCAAAACCCTCAGGCTGACAGCCAGGCTTTCAATCACTGTCTACCGCAACTTCTTAGGATAATGAATGAGCACAACTCTGTCAGCCAAGGGTAATCTGAACACTCACTGCAGTTTTGATCGATTCCATTTAATCTGTTAGTAGTTGACACGTTGTAGTGTAGTTTCAGCTAAGCTGAGATATCTGCATTTTTCAGTCCAGCCCATCCTTCTTCAGCAAATCTCAAATTAGTCAACATTTACGACATGCTTATAATATGGCAGGGGGCCTGTCTCCCATCGCCTCCTTCTTTTATTTATCAGACATAGGGCCTTGGAAAACCACACGGTGAAACGGTTAACAAAAGGGCAGTCTTTCACTGTATTAACCTGTAGGGTAACGGAAGAGGGATGGAAGTTAAATTGCTTCCAATGTTATATATATCAGCGTCTGTGGCTTAGGCGCGTTGCGAACGCGCTTCGTAATGCCAGTGTTTCGGGTTCGATTCCATTTCGATTTACTTTAGCGCCTTCCTTTGGTTTCGACAGTGGTATTGAGAAGCCGACCGTCCAGAGGCAATGGCAAACTACTGGACGTAAATTTGCTTAGAAAAACCACAACGGCCAAATAATGCTAGGGTTGGTTCTGCAGTTTCCCATAAAAGAATACACAATTAACTTTTTAATTTTATACATAGAAAGTAAATACCCGTTTGTTAAAAAAAAAAATATGTTATTAAACAAAGTGAATTGTCTCCATACAAGATTAAAAAAAAATTATTTAAAAAAAAAATGGAATGTAGATACTTCCAATCAGAATTTCATATTTTCTTCTTCTTCTCTTCTGCCTTGTACCTCAGCAAAGTGTCGGAGGGAGATGTAACATTCGTTGATTAGCTCTGTCAAGAGCACAATTTAGACTGATGTTCATTTCTGTAAGGCTGTTCTTTGTGCCATCACTCCAAATTTTCCGAGGTCTTCCATTCGCTCTATACCCGTTGTAACGTTTTAGTGTGGCTCGGTGTGGCAGATAGTACCAGGGCATTCTTCTTAGGTTTCCAAACCACTTCATTTGTTGCTCTTTGATAACTTGTAAGACTGGCTTTGTTCCTAGCATTCGTCTGATTTCGTGATTTCGTATTCTAGAAACTCCTGCAGCTCTTCTAAAGTATTTCATCTCTGTTGTCACAATTTTACGCCTGAAAAGACGGAAAGGTGCCAATCAATCATCAATCACGTTCATTGGAGGATGTAAGTGTCCACGTTTGGCACTGATAGCATAGTGTTGGCCAAAAAATAGTTATGATAAGATTCCCTTTAGTACTTCGGGGTATCTGCTTGTGTGTCAACAGGGAAGATAGTTGTGAAATTCATATCACATGCATAAATGGGATATTCTTATAGGCAAATGAACTTGTTACATTTGAAAATTTTGTGTACTGAATTAAAAAAAACACCTGTTACTTAGAAAAGGAGGATCACAAACGATTCTTCAAAATGACTGCGTTATATGCGTATATATTCCATCTTGATATACAGAAGTGAATCAAGGACAGTTGGCAAAATGGTGAAAACTTATTTGGAAACTGCGGAGATGTGGTTTTATAGACGAATGGTAAGAGTACCCTTGACAGATAAAAAGAGTAATTAAGATGTCTTAAAAGAAACTGACCCACGAAGAAAACTGATTGCCCTCCTCAGAAAAGGACAATCTACATTCTTTATTCATGTGATGAGAAGAAGAAAAACTGGAGTTCATTGCGACAATATGAAAGTTGGATTGGGAGAAGAGGCGGAGGAAGACTGAGAGAAAAGATGCTGGACAGTCTGAGATCATGACATGAAGGATCATCTGTGTCAGAGTTGACTGAAAGTACAGGAGACAGAAGGTTGCGAATAGACACGACTTCCAACACACACGGCATGGACTTTAAGAAAAGGAAGATATGCCTTTCATCAGGGTATTCGTTACACAGACTTACTATCTTTCCATTGCTGACCCTTAGCGACACTCGAACAACTCCTTCCCTTTTTACCCTTGTCGTCGTCCTCGGTTCCTGCACTGGATGTCGGCGCAGCTGCCTCTGATTGATCAAGCTGCCTGCTGGTCCGCCATGACGCTGAGCATTGATGTTCGTACACCTGAAGGCCAGGATACACAAGAATCTATCTTCGCTTCAAGAGTTTTTTACAGAAACAGTATACATTCAACAACACATCCATCCGAGAGATCTATGATTTCATCAAGACTTTAGTTTTGTTGAGTCAGTATGTAGGCTGTTACCAGAGGTATGAGAGGTACAATCAACTTTGATGGTGTAACGGCGAAGGAGTTTGTTATAAAAAAAACGGAGTCAAGCAGGGGTGTGTACTTGCTCCTACCTTCTTTAAAATATACTTTTCACTTACTTTGACACATGCCTTTCAAAATCACGAGGGTGGTATATTCATTCATTCTAGATTTTGACGGCAGCCTTTACAATGCTCGCAGGCTGAAGGTAAAAACCAGGATAAGAAAGGTACTTATCAGAGAGCGGCTGTTTGCAGATGATGCCGCAATAACAACCCACTCAGACGAGGAGCTGCAATGTTTATTACCTCCCTTTGCTGATGCGTGCTGTGAATTGGGACTAACAGTCAGCAAAAAGAAGACAAAGGTTATGGTGCAAGGTGTCAATGACAGACCTACAGTCTACATTGACGGTGAAGAGCTTGAGACAGTAGACCATTTTACCTATCTGGGTTCCACAGTGAATAGTAAACTATCGCTGGACCAAGAAATCAACATCAGGATAGGTAAGGCAGCAACAGCAATGAGCAGATTGACAAAGAGAGTTTGGGAGAACAGAAAGCTCACAATTAAAACTAAAACCCTTGTCTATCAGGCTTCTGCTTTATGGCAGTGAAACTTGGTCAATCTATTTGCACCAGGAGAGACAGCTAAATAGCCTTCATATGCGATGCCTAAGAAGAATACTTGGCATTAAGTGGCAGGACACAATCACAAACACTGAGGTACTGGAAAGAGCAGGTACTACAACAGTCTTTTCCATGCTCAGTCTACGAAGGCTCAGGTGGCTGGGTCACACCTGGAGAATGGAGGATGGCAGAGTTCCTAAGGACATCCTTTATGGTGAATTAAAGAAAGGAAGAAGATGTCGAGGCCGACCTTTACTACATTATAAATATGTGTGCAAGCGGGACAGGAATGATACTGGTATTGAGGTAGACTCATGGGAACAAAATGCCATGGACCGTGTTGCGTGTATCAGGAAGGCAATGAAAGTGAAAGAAGAAATGATTGCAGAAAGGATGAGAGCTGAGCGTCTGCAAAGAAACGAATCAAACACAAATGTCGACAACAATGGTCCTGATATCCCATGCTATAATTATGGAAGATATTTCTTGACACAGGCGGGTCTTGCTAGTCACACTCTCCATCGCCTTGGGCTGTGAGTCTCATAGCACAATATAACACTATCGTCTGGAAAGACGGAAAGTTGCCAATGATGATGAGCGACTGCGGATGCAAAACCTAAAAGTGGATTCTAAAATTAACGTGGGCTTTTAGATTTTTTAGTGCCCTGTTTGCACGATTTTTGAACACAGTCTTGATTATTTGTTGCCTTAGAATTCGTGCTAACAAGGTTGTGTTGTATGTAACTTTGATAGAGCAGTCCTTTGTTGATTTATAACTGTTACATCAATCTATAGTAAATATATAACTTAGATACATATATCTATTGTAATTATAGCTTTGATGAAGTTATCTGTTGTAAATATATAACTCTGACGAAGTTATCTATTGTAAATATATAACTTTGATGAAGTTGTCTAGTGTAAACATAAAGTTTTGATGAAGTTATTCATTGTAAATATATAACTTTGATGAAGCCAGCTAGTGCAAATATATAACTTTGATGAAGCCAGCTAGTGCAAATATAAAGTTTTGATCATCATCATTATCACTACCAGTCAGCAGAGAAGACTAGACAAGAAGAAGAAGGATAATAATAATAATAATATTAATAAGAAGAAGAAGAAAAAGAAGAAGTAGAAGAGGAAAAAAGAAGAAGAAGAAGAAGAAGAAGAAGTAGAAGAAGAAGAAGAAGAAGAAGAAGAAGAAGAAGAAGAAGACGAAGAAGAAGAAGAAGAAGAAGAAGAAGAAGAAGAAGAAGAAGAAGAAGAAGAAGAAGAAGAAGAAGAAGAAGAAGAAGAAGAAGAAGAAGAAGAAGAAGAAAAAGAACAACAACAACAACAACATGTGAGCACTGTATGTCGGTTTCCTGCTGACCTTGAACAGCCGCTCCAACTCCCGGCGCCAGTCACTTCCATTATGCTGCCTCTGGCATATGATGCTAGTGTCTTCCCAGGGGTTGTCCTCTTTGGCTGTCACATGGCTCCAACAGTTGCTATCGTAGGGCAGGCGAGCAAGCTTGCAGACATATTCCGGTGTGTTCCGGAAGTCCCTAATCGGTGCGCAAGTTATTATTTCTTCGTCTCGCCTGTACCCTTTTGAGTAAAGAGGGTTGGAAGATTTTCTGAAATGAGTAAAGAAGCCCGACTGAGTTGTAGATATGTTGCATAGCTGCTCCAGGGGAGCCTAGAAATCACTAGCCCTAAGATCTCAAGAACAACTTTAAAAAATCAGGCACAAATCTTTTCTAGGCAAAGTGTGGGTGGGTGTGGGGGGGGGGGATTTAGGGGTCCAGTTCTCTTTTAGATGTACACTACTATTATTACCACCACCACCACTCCCGCTGCTGCTGCTGCTGCTGCTGCTGCTGCTGCTGCTGCTGCTACTACTACTACTACTACTACTACTACTACTACTACTACTACTACTACTACTACTATTACTACTACTACTACTACTTCTACTACTACTACTACTATTGTTACAAAAAATAATTGTTATTTTGTGTGCTGAAATGCATTTAAATATCATAATGATACATATAAACTAATGTGTATAAACAAACACTTAAACAAGAGGGCCCAGTTCACGTTTTCAGGCACATCTACACACTGGCTGACCTTTCATTCATACTTTCTCAGACTCGTCTACGTTAGAGTTGTGTCACGTTGTCTTGCCCCCAATTACATCAGCTCCGGTGTCGCAGGTTCTAAACTACATGACGACACAGTTTTTAACGACCCCCAGAACATCTATAACTGACCCTAACCCAAACCGCCCTACCCAAAGCCTGAGCCTAGATCACACGAGACTCTTTTCGAAGAAAGCTGTACAACGTGACACCCCTCTGACCTAGATCAGACTGAGAAAATGTGTAGATGGGCAGGGAAACGTGAGCAGATCCAACAAGAGAATTTCTATGCATCCTTAAAGGGTTAGCTTAACCCTCTTACAAGTTTTCTAAAGTGGTCGCGGATTGGGGACTGGGTAAGAGCTAAGACGACTTAGTTTCGGTACACCTGAACTAGCCATGTTTCGGTACTCCTGAACTAGCCCTGTTTCGGTAGTCCTGAACTAGCCATGTTTCGAAACTCCTGAACTAGCCATGTTTTGGTAGCCCCGAATAAGCCATGTTTTGGTACCCCTGAACTAGCCATGTTACGGTACCCCTGAACTAGCCATGTTTGACCATCGGAGCACAAGAAGATATATGATCATTCATTACACGATTATGAACAAGAAATTAATCATTGGTTTCCCCCATAACATGTACGCAAATTATCTTTTTAAGTATCTGTTTATACACTCAGCATGTTTCATATATATTCACCACCACCACCACCACCACCATCATCATCATCAATCAGTAGGTTACGTACAGAACGTCGCTCTCGACACGGTACGCCTAAGGGTCTCTCTTCCTTTAGCCAATTCTTCAGCCCGATGTGCTTACATAGTCAATGCATCTTCAGTGTCTTGTATTCACGTTCGCAGAAGTCGGCCTCTGTCCCGTATTCAGTTTTTTCCATGCCACTAACACGACGAACATGTTCAAAATATGGCCACTAACACGACGAACATGTTCAAAATATGGCCACTAACACGACGAACATGTCCAAAATATGGCCACTAACACGACGAACATGTCCAAAATATGGCCACTAACACGACGAACATGTTCAAAATATGGCCACTAACAAGACGAACATGTTCAAAATATGGCCACTAACACGACGAACATGTTCAAAATATGGCCACTAACACGACGAACATGTTCAAAATATGGCCACTAACACGACGAACATGTTCAAAATATGGCCACTAACACGACGAACATGTTCAAAATATGGCCACTAACACGACGAACATGTTCAAAATATGGCCACTAACACGACGAACATGTTCAAAATATGGCCACTAACACGACGAACATGTTCAAAATATGGCCACTAACACGACGAACATGTTCAAAATATTCCAGCTTTCGGGACTTACTGTTTGCCGTTCAGGGCATAATAATAGTAATAATAATAATAATAGTAATAATAGTAATAATAGTAATAATAATAATAATAATAATAATAATAATAATAATAATAATAATAGTAGTAATAATAATAATAATAATAATAATAATAATAATAATAATAATAATAATAGTAGTAATAATAATAATAATAATAATAATAATAATAATAATAATAATAATAATAATAATAGTTTTAATAATAATAATAATAATAATAATAATAATATTAATAATAATAATAGTAATAATAATAATAATAATATTAATTATAGTAATAATAATAGTAATAATAATAATAATAATAGTGCAATTAAACAAAACTAAACCAATTAGAAAAGAATATAAAGTGTCTAAAACACCCCCCCCCCTCCCCCCCGCTCTTCTTCAAAAGAATTTTGATGCCAGCGCACCTGATAGTTCCCCAGTATAATTATTTTATTGGGTTGATTTGAACACCCGGATTTTGTTGTAGCTAGATTTCCATCTGGAAATGTGGCTCTTTGAGTCACTTTGGAGCCAAACCTGCAGGTGACAGTCTGAAGTTTGAAGAACGGATCAACATCATGGCACACGGGTAGTAACATAAGTGCTCCGTTTTACTTCTAACTTAAATCCGAGTCCGCAGAGGCTCAGCGCAGTGCACGGGCTCTGTAGCACCGGCGGGGATCCTGAAATATTTTTGGGTAGATTTTTAACTCCAAATTTTGACGGGCAGCGTTGTTAGGCTACTCTTTTCGATTTCCAACCACCAATGGATTTTTTACGTGCCCAACAATACACACGGGCGTCCGATCTCACTACCCAGAGACCACAGGAAATTACTAGAAGAAAAATCCCAGCCCTCACTGGGGCTTGGACCCGGGACCTCTAGCACTCGAGGCTGACGCCATACCACGAGACCACTCAGCCCCCCAGGTGACAGTGGCGAAAGCCAGTACTTAAAAACTCATGCTAACAAGGATACGAGTACTTTCAATATGAAAGCATCAGTCTACTATTATTGTGAGGCAATATAACAAATAAAGAAGGGAAAGATAACCAAATCAATGACTTCCCTACCTTGTGTATCCACTCTTTGTGTTATTTAATCTGCCCACTGAAGATATGAGTAGCCGCCCCTTGTGGGAGGAATTATTGGAAGAGCTGGATTCACGTCTGTTTAAAATGGCTGCCGACGTTGATCTTCGAAATTTATTTGTTCCTAAAACAGGCAAACTTTGTGATGTCACATTGTCTGTAAGCGAACCAATATCAGCTCTGTATCTGAAATGAACATCTTTCGTGGTGCTTTCTTGCTGATCTTGGGCTAGTTCCTCCTCTATGACACCAGCACATGCTGTATTACCACACGTCAGAGCCTCTTCAATGGCAGTTTTTCCTTGGCGGTTGACTTTGTTCGCCTTGAGACGGTACTTCTTGTAGCTCTGCACCAACAGGTTTGTTATCGATACATTTCCTGACATCGCTGCATAGTGGAGGGCCGTATTTCCTAGAGTATCTGCCTGGTTGAGGTCAAAATCTATCGCCCGGAGTAAAACTGGAACCAGTTTTTGACGTTCATAAATACACGCATAATGTAAAACATTTCTGCCAAAACAGTCCCTTTCACCAAGATAGACGCCGTGCTCGATCAGAGTCATGGCTGTTCCGACTCCCCAGTCTTCAGGTTGCATGAAGGCGCACAGGATGAGTGGGGTTCTGCCAAAAGCGTCTCTGGCATTGACATGGATTCCTTTGGAGACAAGCAGGTTGATCTGATGAAAGTACCCAAAGTGAATAATATCACACAATGAGCAGGCTGGGCCGCGAAGATTCTGCGCCGTTCTTGGTCTCATGGTATCCCTGGCTAGAATAGACAGTACAAGTTGTAACAGGATCCTCACTGGTGCAACAGAGTTCGTTCACTGCGCTGAGATTTTCAGACGCAGGTTAAAAGAAGAACATACCTGTGTGCCATGAAGTTGATCCGTTGAATAAACACTAAACAATAAACAATACAAGTTGTAAATTAACGCCAAGTCCAGCTCCAGTGAAATGTCTAGTTGGTCCAAATGCCTGTGACATACTTGTTTCTTGATATGAAGTTAATGAGGGCATCCTTGAAGGTTATATACACACGTAATATGCTCTGCAGCAGTCACTTCCTTGATGTGTGGTCATTATTTCTAGCAGACCACGACTGTTGACCGCTCTGACCGGTTACAGTTTGATCCCTGTACACAGCAGTAAAACAAGAGGTATATAAAGAGGCGAGCTTAAAGGAAAAATAAAAATACCTAAGATCTAAATTAACGCCGTCTGTGTATATGCCTAGATTTGCTTTGTCATTGTTCTGCACACACACACACACGCACACACGCACGCACGCACGCACGCACGCGCGCGCGCGCACACACGTCTGTCTTCTCTGTCCGCAGTCTCGAGCTGAGAGGTGTCGATAGTGTGGTCCAAGTCTCTAACAATTAATATTTACTTCCAGCTAAGTCATTTAGTACCAGTTGTCCAAAAGATGAAGAACTCCATTACTATCACACCTATTGCTGTAGGAGTGGCAACCATCATACATAAACAACTTCACTGTTGACTTGTGATTGTCTTTCCTGTCGGACGCCAAGATCAAAGTTCTGTGTTTAGGATGTTTTGGGATATTTTAGCGGTGTTTTGTAGACAGTTATCAATTTCGTACAATATCCAAACCACTGTCGTCAGTGAGCGTACATTTCATGAAGACTTCAGGTAGAATGTTTAAGCAACTGCTTGTTTATCGGACTTTTCACCATCTTTCCTTGAGGATAGACAGAAAAAGCAACGATTTTGTTCTGTGGATAGATATAACACTGTTACATATACGTGTGTTTATTATGCCGATATGTACACAGGAATCCAATGCTATACATGATGTCCTCCATCCACGTTTTATTTTCTAGCTAATTTCACTTAAACACAGAAGACAGCTATCAGAAGGGCCGACACAAACAGTCTGACACTAGAAACGCAATTCTTTCGTCTATGGGAACAGCGGTTAAAACAGATCAGTAATCGTATCTACAGTTAATCAAATAAGGCACCACAGGTTCTTTGGTAACAGGCTGCTTACCACTTTATGAATTTCCCGTTCCCAGTACAAATTACATTGGGCACAGTCGATAAGCATTTAAAATTAAATCCATAATTCGCATTGTAGCGCCATGCACTCAATTAGTTGTAGGGCGACGGAACTATATCCTTTCAGTCTACCTATGGAGAAAATGCAAGAGCTAACTTGTTTCAAAAGCAAAAAAGGCATCAGCCTTATTGACTGGAGCATAGGCTGTTAGCCAACTCACAGAAATTCCCTCGCAAAAATGTGAATGCTTAGCATGATTTTGCAGTTAAAGTTTTCTTTGACATGAAGTAGCCAGTCACACGGTAACCCACCATAAAAGCCTATTACGGCAGGTATGACAGTTTACTGAGTGACTTCTCTATGCTGTTCTTAGTGTAACATGCTTTACTTTAGAATCGTCACGGGTTAGAGCCCCAGCGTAGACAGATTACTAATACTGTACAACTGGTAATGATCCGCGGGCCACTTCCTAGACAACGCGGGCCGTCAACCGAATAGCCCTGCCCTAAATGTAACAGCTACAGAAACCCGGGGTAATCTGCAGCCATATGTGGTTAAGGACGAACTCTCTTCATCCAGATAATCCATATGTGGCACCCTTATCGGTCCAATCTAGAGTTACGGTCCTTGGTCGCCCTATTGAAACAAAGGGATCAATACGGCAAGCGTCAATAATTAAGGGGGGATAATATATTATGACTCAAATATGATGAATGTATTGCCGAGAAGTTTAACTGATTTTAAATTTGAATCCACCAAATAAATTGTCAACAATGACAGATTGAAGGGGCACGGTGGCGAGAGGGGGGGGGGGGGGGGGGAGAGAAAGAGATTAAAAAAAAAAAATCCTATATTCTGCCTATATGCAATGTATTGCGGTAGGCAGGCCAAACAATTCCCTGACGCTTCAGAGATGTGGTTTTACAGAAGAATGGTTAAAACACCTATGACAGCCAAAAAGAGCAATCAAGAGCTTTTGAAAGAGGCGGGAGCCTGAATGCAACTAATCACAGACATCAGAAGGAGACAGTCATCCTTTTTCGGCCATGTTATGAAAAGAGGGTCAATGGAACATATTGTGACTTGGAAAGATCTGTGGAAGAAGGGATAGAAGAAGACAACGAGAGCAGATTCTTGAAAGTCTTGTTGCATGGCATGAAGGTGTGTCAGCACACGAACTGATGCATGCTGCAGGAGATCGCGGATTGTGGAAAAGCATGATCGCCAACGTCAGTTGGCAAGGCACCTGATGTTGATGATGGTGATTGTATGGATGTTCTTTTGCAGTGGTATCCAACCTGGGGGCGCGCCTCTGGGAGGGGTTCAAAGGGGACGTCATGCAGTTTTGTGTACATGTAAGAATCAGGATCTTTAGCTTAAACAGTCATGAAAACAAAACAACTCCGCCAGCTTGATATGGATAGTGATCTCAGCTGTGGCTCGTCTAACCTCAGACCAAACAATGGCAGATATCACAAAACAGTTTTAACCTATCGCGTTGATTCATGGACGCTACATTACTAGTTGTTGGTGACTGCTTCTTTTGTTTTTTTGACACTGTGTAATATTCATGTTTGTCTCAACGTTTCTGTTTACGTACTTGAGATTTTTCGTGTGGTCTTCTTTTTAATCACATTTTGTCATGTTTAGGGTGGAAAAAGAGGGGCGGGGGGAGGGGGTGTTTTGTCATATGCTCAGGAGCGGGAGGAGGGGAGGGGGCACCCATGAAAAAGGTTGGAGACCGATGTTCTATGGGCGCGCGGGCCAAAATCGTCTTTGTCTTCTTGTTTTTTGTTTGTCCCTTGAAAGTAAGCAGTAAAAGACAGATTAAAGTTAACGGAACAATAAAAGTAGGTCGTACTGTTCAGTGTTCAGGTTCTATTAGACAATTAGAAAAGCAGCTGGCCCCCCCCCCCCCCAAAAAAAAAAATGTAGCTTTTTTGGACTTTAAGAGTGGATTTTAGTCCACTGGAAGATGAAATTTAAATTTATTTGCTTTCACGAACTTTATATTAAAAAGAATGTGTGTGTGTGTGTGTGTGTATGTGTGTGTGTGTGTGTGAGAGAGAGAGAGAGAGAGAGAGAGAAAGACAGAGGGAGAGAGAGAGAGAGAGAGAGAGAGAGAGAGAGAGAGAGAGAGAGAGACAGAGATGGAGAATACAGAATTCCTGGGCCATCCACCTCCAATAATAGATTCTGACTATAGACCAGTGGTACCTAATAATAGAGACGGTGAATAAAGCACTAGAACAGAAAATAAGTACATGTGAAATGCGCTGTCTCCGCAGTGTCACTAACAAGACAAGAATGTGCGGGGTTGCGAAAACCCGCATTGGAGAGCAAGCTGGAATAAAACCATTCCTGGATTATTTTGACAAAAAAAGAATGGAATGGTTCGACCATCTAGTGAGAATGCCACCAGACCAAACTTCCCATATATATATATAAATTATTAAACAGCAGAACCTCGGTGACCAATGGGAAGACCCCCCCCCCCCCCCCCCCCAAAAAAAAAAAAATAGATGGAGAAATCGGTCAGCTGAAACCTGCAAATGATAAACAAACCACCCACCTTGCCACTCGACAAGCAAAGTACAATTACAGAAAATCACGACACTGGGATACAACCTGGTATCAGTGAGACGACAAAGGAAGAAGAAGAAAGAATCAGTTAGATAACTGCAAGGTACCTTTTGTATAATTCTTATCTGTACAATAACTGAGACTGTTTTATCTATGCATTTTTGTAACTGCTAGAGCCGACTAAGATTACAGACTCGACGGGAAATTAATCTTTCAAGTTCAAGCTGTTGTCTCTATAGATAACTGGAATCAATCCCTTATCACAACACTAGATACGCCATTGGCTGTCACTGATGTGTACACGAGGTTCATAGTGGTAGTTGCCAGCGAGGTTTTCAAGCTCTCATTAATCCTATCTTTGCCGGTATAATTTGGCTACAAATGTCAACTACCTGGCATTCATGTCAGGATTTAGAGAAGCCACTAGCTAGAATTATATCTTCCTTCTCTTATGTTTTTTTTTAAACCACTAGAGCAGCGGTTCTCAGTCTTCCTAATGCTGCGAACATATAATACAGTTTCTAATTTTATTGTGACGCCACCCCACCCCCTTCTTTCTCCAGGCATAAATTTATTTTCACTGCTACTTCAAATCTTTATTGAATATATGTTTCCGATGTCTCAGGCGACCTCTGTGAAAGGGTTGTTAGATGAAAAAAAAAAAAAAAAAAAAAAAAACAGCCGCGATCCACAGGTTGAGAACTGCAATATGCTCTCGCAAACCTGTTTGTAAGCTCATAATTGATTCACAATTCTTATCCTTTTTCTTCTTCTTCTTCTTCTTCTTCTTCTTCTTCTTCTTCTTCTTCTTCTTCTTCTTCTTCTTCTTCTTCTTCTTCTTCTTCTTCTTCTTCTTCTTCTTCCCCTCTTCTTCCTCCTTCTCACACACCTCCTCCTCCTCGTATCTCCTGAATCAGTGGTGCAAATGACCCGATCGCGTCTGCTAGACCAGCGTTTCTCAAACGTTTCCTCCCTTAATTAGTCTGTCTATCGTCATTAGTAAATCTCTATAATATAAACGCTAGACTCACAGTATTCTGTGAAAAGACAAGTAGCCCTCAAATCTATCTTTAAAGAAATTCCGCCACCATTGCCCTAAAAGAATCAAGCTGTCAAAAAACACACGCCAACCACGTTAAGTTCATG